GGCAAACAGTGAGTCATAGCCTAGAAGCAGTTAAAGCGTAGATAGGGGGGAAAATTCTCCCAAACATCATCACCGAGTAAAGAAGTATTACGGTTCAGGTGAATATAGTACATGTCACAAATAATCAATGCAGCAGAGAGACCTAAAAAGGGGCTCCAACTCTAAAGTATTCAATAGCACATACACAAAAGAGACTTTCACCACTCGAGAGATGAATGTCATCATCTTTAAGGCCTTTAGGAAAAAGAATGCATGACCAGCGAGAAGGCAGGCAAAAACCTCACCATGAGTTAGAAAGCGAAAGAGAAAAGAAGGCCAAGGGACATACACACAGAAAAGAAAGGGCGGCCTCGACCCTCCTCTGCTCTGGCCCTCGGCCCCTCCTCGTCCTCGTCCTCGAGCTCGACCGACTGGTAGTAGAAGGAGTAGGAGTCAAACGAGAGACCGACCATGGAGTGGCAAAAATAATAAGAATGGCAGAAAACTCGAACGTGACGCTTTGCAGGAAGGTGATGATGGTGCTGATGATAGAGAGAGATGTCACGGCATTCTACGAACAACCACTCGAGGGCAAGAAAGAAAGCCCCTAAGAAACCCCGGAAATATCTCGTGGCCTACAACAACCCCACCCTCCTTTGAATGATCTCGCCAGAAATTAAATATGTGGACCGAGAAATCCCCCCCCCCCCACAACACTTTTCACTCCGGCGTAAAAAACAGCAGCCCCCTCCGGTACACACGTACGATACAGTACAGTCCCGCCCCGCCCCGCCCCGTCCTGGGGGCTGGCTCCAATGCAGAGGTACTTGAAATTGGGGCAAAAGGACGCGCGCCGGGTGACAAATTCGCACTCCGCTCGCTGCTGCATCAGATCTACGAGAAAAGGGGGAAAGCTCAGACTAAGCCCCGAGAGTCCCCCTCCCCCTCCCCCTTCAGCTCAAGACAAGGACGGAATGCGCGGCCGGAGTGCACTTCACTGCACCGTCCGTCCGTCCGTCCGGCCGTCCGTGCGGTCAGCCGGACGGACGTGTTGAGTACCGCCGATGATAAGCGACTCCGGGGGCTTATTATTATTTTTTCGCAATTAATCGCGCAAAGTATCTTATCTGTTCGTAACTAGGAAAGAGTGACGATCGCGACTTCTACCGAAAAGCTGTCGCAATCTAGGCCCAGGCTCGCGAAGGAGGGAGGGGGAGCGAGAGCAACAACGCCGCTAGGTGCCAAGCCGGGGCTTAGTTTAATCTTTCCTCGTGCAGGCCCCGGTTCGGAGGTTAAGTGCAAGCGGGCACTGGCTCCGTCGCGAAAGAAAGAGAGAGAGAGAGAGAGAAAGTGACAACGGGGCTGGAAAGAGGAGGCGAGGGGCAGATAAGCACGCTCGGGCCAGCTTTGCTTCTGGGGGCTGGGGGCTGGGGTAGGGGGGAGGGGATGAGATCAGAGGGTCCTTTCCCCCCGGAAGAGAGCCATGGTGGGGTAAGAACCACCGGAGATGAAATTCAAGGGGCTCAAAAGTGGACGAGCAGACGTACAGGAGAAGGAGACGATTATCGAGAAACCAAAGCTTGGAGTCCGATGGGAAGAAGAGGAGAAGAGGAGAAGAGGAGGAGTAACATGCTCGCCATAAATCATCACGTTGGTGTTGTCATTTGGCCAAGGGAGTTGCCTTTGCCAGGATCGAGAAAATCAGCAAGAGGTTTTCCATTTCTTTATTACACTGTTATCGCATTCCTCCCGTTATTTAAGCTTATTAAAGCTTTTTTCGCAGCAAACGCCTTTGTTAATGCGCGACTTGATGTGAGTCGAGAGAGCATCCGACAACACCCTGCGCTGACATGGCACTCTGAGAAGTAGTAGGGTGTTGAGTTCATGGTGTGGAAAAGGAGGCAAACTGAATACATAAATATATGCACACTGGCTCAGACACCAAATACATGTACCGCATAGCTGGACATAATGGGGTTTCTTTATTTGTTTTCAAGTAAATAAACGAATTGATTCGCTCCTTCGGTTCTCCTCCTGTCCTTGTTTGCGGTCACTTGAATAATACTGTATTTCTGATTTTTTTTCTAGGTCGGGCAATTATATCGTCTAATTACATCATGCTTGGGGTTGGGGTGCGAGGAGATACGTCCATCGCCTTCATAGAAACAGCCAATCGACATAAAAAACATGCCAACAAACAAGCAGCCCAGTGCCACCGGAATTTAGACCGCTTCAACCCCGAAACTGTGCTTTAAGACGAGGTTAAGCACGAAGTCGTCGAGCGTAATGACGCATGGTACCTAAATTCCCTGCAAATCTTACCCTTCTTAAATAAGATCTTCAAAATACTAGAAGAAAATCCATCCACGGATAGCAGCAAACCAGGAAAGGGAAAAGGCGTATTAGAGAGAAGAGATTAGATGAGAGAGAGAGAGAGAGATAGAGAGAGAGAGAGAGGGGTTGGAAAGAAATCCAAGCGGTATACTACAAGCACTGCTACTCGCCGGGCGTGAGCAGAAGGGGGGAGGGGGGATGATGATGAGCGATATACGTTTCGAAAAGGTCCAGGCGGCTCAGAAAGTGAAGCCCGAGCCCGAGGCTCGAAGCTCACATGAGCCTGCCTGCCTGCCTGCCTGCCAGCCCGAGCCTAGCGTAGGCCAGGCCCCACTGTGCTTTGTAACGGATCGGATGATCTTAATGACCGGCCTGATTGAATCTCAGAGAGCACGCCTACGTGTCCTCAAACAAACCCTCGCACACAAAAGGCGCAAGCTCACAAGATTCATCTACGAAACCCAGCCCCTTCCCCCTCCACAACTCCTCCCCCCTCCCTCCCCCCCCCCCCGCCCCCCCCCACCCCCTCGCCCGACTGTTTCCGTTTGACAACCGGGCTCTAGCCACCACTGTTGGCGACGCATCAGGCAAGGCAGGCAGGCAGGCAGGCAGGCCAGCTCGCCTCGCTCCTTTACACATGTGTGTGTGTGTGTGCTTGTGCTTGGGCTTGGGCTTGGGCTTGTGTGTGTGCTTATGTCTACCCGAGTACCCCCTGTACTATGTATGCATGTTCTTGTAGCACATTCTTTTGGGGTTCCGTAAAAATATCATCACTTCACTGTACAGTACTCGCACCGAAAGAAGTAGCAACCCCCTCTCTCTCTCTCTATCTCTCCAATTTCCCCCAGGCCCAGTCCCCGGGCCCCTGCCCCTCTCGGTCGCGGGGGTCCTGCAGCCCCTCGTCCTCGTTCGCGTCCTCGGCCGAGTCAATAGAATAGAAAATGCGAGTGCTCCCCCCCTGCCCACAATTCGCAAGCTGCTGAAAGCGAAGAAGGTTGTTTTCACCGAGAAGGCTAAAAGCGCAGGGCGAGTTTATCCTCGGCGCATGAATGATAAACGTTTTTTCCCTGGTGAACAATGGTCTAGATAAGGTGGCGATGATGCGTGAGCAGTGGTCGATAGATAACAGTCGTCCTGCTCGTCCGCTCCGGGCCATGGCTGCCCTCGCTCGCTCGCTCGCTCGCTGCTCTACTCCGTCTGTCTGTCCACTTGGGGCCTGCACCAGTCTTGCCAGCATGGAAGTGTAGAAGCATTACAGACGTGTGCGATGAAGTAAGCTGCTCCGCTGCGGGGGCTGCAGCTGGTGCAGCTGGGGGGTGAGTCTTTTGTTTGCATCTTATCTAATCTAATCTACTAAACTGCCACTCACTGTTGGAAACACGTCTCATGACATTCTTTCTCGCTTCCTCGACTTCCAAAGCGCTCTCATTCATCTCTGCTTCTGTGCCCATTTATTTCCTTAACTGTTTCCCTTTACCCCCCTCGCCCCCCGCAATGCGGCTTTCACATATGCCCAGCCCCCTCCTTCCCCCCCTTCCCCCTCCCTCGCCCTGCGACGAGTGCTAGCCCCCCGGGGGCTTGCGCTGGGGGCCCGAATGATCACGCTCGTCCTTCGTCCTGCCCCCGGCCGCTTCCGCAGCGCTTGACGCCTTCGGCCCCGTTTGTCGACGCTTCCACGACACGGGCCGCTCGGACGGACCTGCGGATGTTCGCAGCCCCTTTTCGGGGTTTTTGATCCCCATGAGTTAATTCGAAGATCTTTCGGGCACTGTTGGCGACTTTGTCCGACGTTGACGATCCCCGCCCCGGTACATGTACCCCCCTGTTGGCCCAAGCCATTTCCTCTTGCAAGCCCGTCTCAGATTCTTTTCGGATCATAACCCCCAACGGAGTTGGTGGGTGGTTACGAACCATGTCCTTCCAAAATGTGATCGTTACTTTTCCAGATTCACATTTTCGGGTATCTGATTCTATTTCTTCTCGTATCCAATTATGTTATGAACTCCAAACGTCACGAAGTGTTCCAAATTCTATTCGATGTGGAGATTTGAGAGAGAAATTTCTGGTGATAGAAGATGGAATATTACAAAAGAAACCTCCAAATAAAGCAATTCTTTTGACACATTCATTAATCATCGAATGTCAATATGGAGGCTTAAGAAAGAAAAGCTGAAATTGCCTTATCAGAAACCGGTTTTTATCTCTTTGTACATTCTGCACATCCATGCATAGATATTGTGCAAACATATCCATACAATCCAGAATTGTAATCACACACTTCGAAAAATATTTCACAAATGTGATTGTAGCTATTTTTTTGTAAATAGAATGTTGAACTATAGTTCTTACAAGATAGTTTGTAAGCGACCTTATTATACAGAAAGAGAAATCTGCGACAGAAAAAAAGTACCATTTAGGTTTTGAAAGAAATACGTCCTACCCAATGCAAATTCATTGCTTCGACGAGATATTCTCGTCAGACTTTCTTCTTCAAAAATGGATGATCGCTGCCATATCGTTAATGCTGACGTGGAATAATATATCCTATATACATATATCGATTCCAAACATTGAGCAAGACATGGGAACAGAATGCTGGGAAAAAAATATCGGGAATAAAAATAAGCTCGTCGTTTTTTCGAATACCAAAAAATTATTATTAATATTATTAATATCATATTATGGTTCCAAACAAAGAAGGGTCCAAAGCGATGTTTACATTGCTAACCCCTAAAACAGTGCAGCAAATTCGTGGCCCGAAATCAATGGACATCATGGAAACTCGAGAGAGCTCACATCACACCTCGCCTCTCCGTCCGCACATACTCTTGGGGGCGGATGAGCCAAGTGTTTGTGCAGAGAGACACGCACCGACGGGAAGCATGTAAATCCACATCGCAGTGCATCTAGAGAACAATCGGATATGAAATCGGATACCTTCATGACATACCTTCTCTCGAGAAAATCAACAGATGAGGTGATGAGGTGCCCGATGCAGTCAGTACAACCGATACCCCAACCCAACCCAACCCAATAATGGGTGACAGAGCTCGAGCGAAGCATATGGGCGAGAAGTCCCCTCATCGCCCGCCAGCTCCAGGACCGAACCAATAATTTAAAGAAAAACGCCATGCAAACATGTCACATGTTACCAGGCTCGAAGAAAGCTTTTCTAAGAGGAGCAGCAGCAGCGGACATGAGAAAAGAGTTTCATGCATGCGTAGAGCGAATGATGACTCGAGGACGACTCTGAGTGGGTGATGTCCACTGTAATGAGCCCCAAAGAGTTGGTTTAAAGTAAAAAGTCCCAAAACATGCCGGAACTGCCATTCGAACTCTCATCTAGTGCTCGCTTTCCTGCTCCAGGACTACTAAAGTCACCAATCGACCAGCGCTGCATGAAAGGGGGAAAGTACTAAACCATCAATCCATGGATGGAAGCATGCTTTTGGCTACATCACTCGGTGCATGCCCAGCCCAGCCTGCAGATGGAAGTCTCATGGATGACCCCCACTCCCTTTGCTATTATAAGCCCCTTCCATCATAAAAAAGCCCCTCGTCGTCACGAGCCCCTTTGCAACGACGGTAGATCTACACTCGACATACTATTATTGCTCTCTACTGGACCTGCTCGAGAGCTGCGGTCGAAGGATGTGCCGAAGACCGAGTTAAAGTCCAGTCCGATGTGTTTGAGCAAGGTGGGGCTGCTGGCCCGCAATTGTATTTTACAATTATTCTAATTTTTAATATATCCATCCACAAGTTGTCACTCGTAGGACTCGCAACGATCTATATCCATTCCCTTTATGAACCCAATCTCACCTCTCTGACCTTCTTGGAAACATCCCCACCCACAATTGATAAATCTTTCCAGGAAGAGTAAAGGGGATAAAGATGGTCTTAAATCAGGATCGGTGGTGTACATTATAACCATTCATGCTTGGAATGATAATGGAAACAATCAAACAATATATTGCCCGCAGCTCTGAGTCCGTCTCCATCATCGTCATCATAGAGGGTCGTAGTGTGTACTCATAGTTATGCCACTTGCTTCGGTCAAGATTTGGCTTCCATGAATGGCGAGGCGAAACCATCAACCCTAAAATCTAGTAATTATTCCTCGTACACAATGCCATCAAGGAGATTGAAGCAGCCCATACGTTTCTCCCCGAAGCATGTTCTTAGAAGGTCGATCTTAATGGCGGCCCGCAAGCTTACCTTCCTTGCCAATTCCAGATTAGAAACAAACACATACACCGGACGAGACGAGCCCATTTATTGTAAGCACGTTCGGGGCCGAAGGGATGTGCACCATATGGAAATCATAGTCGACCAGCTAACGCACACTCGTCCAAAAGCACTCATGGCACTCGAGCACGGAATGATTCATCGTCGCAGCAGCAGGAGCTGGCTCCGGCATGTAGATAGAGCATTCCTTGGGCTTTCCACATCTTCTCAGCCTCCTCTCTCCCTTCATCATCATCATCATCAACATCAACTCTGCTGCTGCGATCGGGTAGCGGCCTCTGCCTGCCTGCCTCCCTCCCTCCCTCCTGCTGCCCTCGATCTCGCCCTCGATCTGCACCGGCATCCGGGTGTCATTCCGTAACATTCCCGAGGCCATCTTTCCAGCTTCCTCTCGCCAGGGTTGCCACACTTCTGCTGCGCCTGCTGCCTCCTCTCGCCCCTTTTCAGAGCGCCAGGTGGAAAGAGCACATCTCGCCCCCAAAAACGTCTGCATCGCCCCGCCGTTGAAAAGCACCCGGTGCCAGGATTGTGCTCATCGGCGCTGCAGGCCTCCAATACCCCCGCTCGCTGCCGACGACGGCGCTGTTGCTGGCCACGGTAACGTGGTCCGAACGCCGGCCCGCGGGAGGAACTTGGTTGGACGAACGGTGGCGTGGTCAGAGTTTAGGGTTCGCCAATGCGCGCTACCCCGTCCGTCGTCGTCGTCGTCGTCGATGATGATGACTCCGGTTAGCGGTGTAACTACAGCTCCTAACCGCAGTTCTGACCGCAGATGGCCTCAGTACATGTACCACATTCCGCTGTGGAAGATGTGGTTGGCCGCGAGATCTCCGCTGTCTCGAGTGGAGTTGTGTGTAGAGTACATCGTTTGAGATTTTGGCCTTGCTCCAGCAACATGAGGACGAATCCTTTGATCCTTTTGCAGCCAGATTTTGTTTTTGAGCCGCGGTAATAATAAGGCCACACAAAATATATTTTGTGGACATGAATGGTGGCGGATATTCTGGTTTACACGTCAAACCGAGCCTTTGGGGACGCAGAATGACAAACGCAGACGATAACAATCTAACAGTATTGAGCTGGGTTTAGTACCGAGGAGACTTGATATGAAATTATAATCTGGATATGTGATAAAATATATTTAAGTATGTGACGCTTTATATATTGTATGTGTAGCCAGAATTTAATATGAGTCAAACTAATCTGTCTGATGGCTGTGTTCATGAATAACTGATTTTGTTCAGATATCGAGAATTTAATATATTTTAAATTAGGATTTCAAGGTTTTTAGCTCTTTGTACAGAATTAGCTCATAGAAAACCTGAAAGACTCGTTCCGAGCAACTAAACATAAGGAATATACCGCGTCGTTCACTGGTTTGAATCATTAACATTCTGCAGACTGTTATTCCGATGGCGTTTTCCAACAAATGCGATCGTTCCAAATTCCAGTTTCGCATTCCCAAAGTTGCGTTTCGGCTTTCTAAACATGACTTCCATTAATATATTATCGCTAGAGACCGACATTTTTATATCATTGTTAAACAATCCAGAAAGATTTGTTCAATTCTGCTGACATGTACTTTGTTTCCTAGTTACAATGAAACAAATTTAAAAGACTTACAATAATTCTCAGATTAACTATAGGACATGTACGCCACACTATACTTCTTTGTGAAGTTTTAAGAAATGTTTTTGCGAAATTGATTTTACCAGGAAGAAATTCCAACCAACTCCTTCATTGTGAATCCATACGCCTCCAGAAATCCCTTGCCTCCGGCACGTCTTCGATCCCATTTGATTTTGCAGGCCTTTTGGAAGGACTCTACTTTTTGGAAGGTGTTCCTCCCGTTGGCTTCTGCTCTCGCCCACTCGTGGCTTTACTTCGTGAGTGGCTTCCAATCCGCAGCTGCTGCTGCTGATGCTGGTGCAGCTGAAGTGCAAATCATTCGTCGGAGAAGTTTTGACCTCTCTCCGAGTCTGCACATTAAAATCCCAAAAGGTCCATGGCCGCATCACAAAGAGCAGGGCAAGAGGAGCGCTGAAGTCACAAGTGGGGCTTGGAGTGGTGGCCACAATGTCAATCCACCATACATATCTATCTCCATGGCTGCGGCCGCGGCCTTCCCTTCCCTTCCCTTCTTCTTCACTCGAGGGCCCGGGGAAAGTACTGTTTCTTTGGTCTGCTTTCCTTCCTTTGACCTGGAATGTTTGTTTGCAGGGCTGGGGAGAAATGTGCCTTTTTCTCCACCGGAATGTCTTTCTCTGTTTCTTTGCTCCTCGGCTCGTCGGCTCCCTTCTTCTTCTCCTCCTCCTCCTCCTCCTCCTGCTGCCGCTGCCGCTTTTCATTTGTTGCACGTACACGGCTGGCTGCCCTCGAAATTCTACGTTTGTAGTTTCTTTCTGCATGAAGCAGGCCTTTTGATTTGGTCTAAAGCGAACAGAGCTCGCCTCGCCATGGACATCGAAACGCTCGTGCAAGTGGATCGAGCTCGTCTCGCGAGCACGTTAAGAAACCAAACAAAACGCGGCCCGGGCCAAAGCTGGTCCACCGCAATATTATAACCCGGCTGCATCACGATCATTATTATGTTTCGCATAAAGAAAGCGCAAATGATTACGGAGGGTGAACCTGCCAACTGGAAAAGACGTACCCGGTCCAAGGGCTATGGAGCCCTCGAACTGTAGAGAAGCGAAACAGAAATCAATTCTAGAATATAGCCCCCCCTCCCCCCTCCCCCCTCCCTGCGCTAGCGAGGCACCAGGGTGTCCGTGTCAAGCAAGAGAACGACGAACTAGCTTGACCTCTAGGAGCTTTCGGGGATATGGAACTACAGCCCCCGTCCGTCGCCTCTCGGATCCGACGGCGTTCTCGCACCATCTCGCACAATCTCGCCCAATGTGAGCGTCCGGGGCAAAAGTGCAAACGATCTCTGCTGCCGAGTCCTGCCTGACTCCGTGGGAGGGCCTCTCCAGCTGCACTAGAGCCGGACAATAGAAAACAAAAACTGTTCCAGGTAGGTGACATGCTCGAGAGCGAAGCGAGGGAGGGAGCGGAGGCAGATCCATCCAGTGAGGCGGTCCGTGATCTTTCGAGCATTGCAATTGACGATCATCATCGGCAGCAGCAGCAGCAGCAGCGATGGATAGGGACTCCGTTGGATTCTCATCTGCACCCTAATCCGGACCTGTTCGTCGTCCTGATCAGGACAAACGCTCCCGCATTCACAGGGCTTAAAGATGGCCTGGGGCTCACGAGTGAGTGCTTTCGCTTTAGCTCTGCTGGGAGACATCAGTGATCGACATCATGCTCTGCAGTTGGGGCAGCTCAGAGCTCAGAGCTCAGAACTCAGAACTCAGAACTCAGACAGCCAGACCGCAGCGGCAGAGAGATGAAAGTCGAGTCCAGATCTTATTCCGAGGGCGAAAAAATCCTCGCTCATCGTTTGACAAAACTGGCGGTTGTAAGGTATTCGTAGGCCACGGGAGCATTCCTGGACCCTACGACCTCCTCCTTCAACGACATCTCGGTCAGTTTCCGGTGAATCACGTCTGTCTGAAGACGACGTTCTGATGCGACAATCGCGATGGTGTGTGGATGACGAAGCTCGACGATGATCCTCGGACCCAGGCCTCAGTGATCGTCAACCCTCGGGGCAATCTGTTCTGGATCTGCGTTTGGCGTAAAAACGGAATGGATTGCTTTCTCTTCCGTGTAATATTTGAGAAGCGGTTTCCACTCGGACGACAAACGATTGAAGCACTCGGGGAGTGCCATTGGCCGGCACTTTATAGATAAGGGTGGGATAGGAAAGGGTGTTGGAGCGTTGTGGTAAATCTTTTGATAATCTGATGGGGCGAAGACAATCTGCAACGAGCATAGAACCTCGGTCGTCACGGAAGCGCAACGATTTTTCTCACCGAGGTGAAAAGTTGTGTGACCGACGGGGACATTCAACACTGCAGCATGCTAACCCTACCAGCGGTCAAGTGGTTGCAGCTTCCATCATCATCCAGACGTAAAATGTCTCCAAAATGTGGGCACCTCTTACAGCTATCTCTGACTACAGCTCACACACGGGATTATAAAGGCTCAGCTTTGGCAAGCAGAGAAATGGAAGTTATGAGTAGCAAGCTATAAACCGCCCTTTCGGTCGAGTAAGATTTTCGGTAAAGGCTCCATCAAAATTGTTGTCGCCTGTCATTTACAACTCAAAGTAGAGATTTGGCAGATTGTGGACCACCTGTAGGAGCCTCGTTTCTCCTGATAAATTGGCAGGTGACATGCTTTTCCAGGCGAGTGGCCACCCATCTATCCTTCAACCGCCCTTCACCTTTTCGAGCTTTCCTCAACTCATTGAGAGGTGAAAAACTAAAAGTTACACCTAACCAGTCAATCCGCTACATTTCATCTACAAGTCGAAGGTCCGCTTTGCAGATTCTAAAGTATTCTGCAAGAGCATAGCGATGGTCATTGGCCCCACTCCTCCGGGAACAGGAGTTATTTTTGAGGCTACTTTAGCAACCTCTGCGTAGCAGACATCTCCTACTAATCGATAGCCTTTCTTCGCCGAGGGATCCTGCAAGAAATCGAAACATTTGAGATAAATTGTTCACAATCATAAAACAGTTACTCGCAACTGTTGTTGAATACCAAGGTTTAAGACTTGGAAATTTACAAGGGACAATCAAGATAAACTCAAGACCTTTCAGCACTTCTTGCACCTTCGAACTTCCCTTAAAAGATATGTTATATGCAAGAATAAGAGCAGAAACACATGAAGTGCACTGAGTTACTGAGTTCGTTGTTGACTAATGCAAGAACAACTGAGTACGAGCTTTCTTGACGACATCAATGCCCACCTTTTATTCAACCTTAGAAGAACCAAACGTACTAAAAACAGGTGAACTATCACAATCGGGCGATTAATGTGTTGGGTTGGACTAGCATGAAAAACATAAATCTTAGTAAAGGCTCACTCCTACCGCCAGCTTCTAAGAAAGACTTCGAACATGCAGTTGGAGTATGAAACGATGCATGGATTCTAAGATCCAGCCCAGAAAGGATATAAGGACCATGGACAACAATGTCAAGAACCAAGGGCAGAAGACAACTAGACAGAATGCAGTACTTCTAGGCTTGACTGAATGCATGAAGTGACGAGAAATTTGCGAGCAGCGGAGCCACACATCTTGATATTCATAAGTAGAGAGAGAGATGAAGAATGACTCACATCAACGGAGTTAATTCCAACATCAATAACTACCGCACCAGGCTTGATCCAATCACCACGAACCAATTGTGCAACTCCAACAGCTGCTATGACAATATCTGCAGATCTTGTCACTTCGGCCGGATTTGGAGTGCGGGAGTGCACAGTAGTCACTGTCGCGTTGTGCCCCTATCATATCATGAAAAAACATCAGAACAGATATATGAGGAGGTACCAAAAATAGCTACGATTTCACGAAAGCGCTGCAGTATCAGCAGTTCTTCGATCTTCAAAGGACCCTAATATCTACATAAGCAAGAAAGTTAATTCTGCTCGGAGCTTCGTTCAAAATCTGAAAACTGCCATTTTAGTATATGAAAACCCATGAGGTCAACTGTGATCATGTATCACAGAGAACTTCTGGTGATTAGCGGAGTTCGTTAAAAGCTTCTGAAAGACTGTTGGAACTATCTCAGATTCTTTGATCGATAGCCTTTTCATTTCTCGCAAATTTTTAGTGGCATGAATTCGCACTCTCTCAAGGCACGATTTGCATCACTACCGAGATAAAGAAGATTTACTGAGAGGGTTCCCAGCCAGCGTCTAAGCATATTCAGTCTTTCTGCATCTCAGGGAGTTTCAAAGTATGCTCCTTCTAACTGACTCCAGTAGTGAACAGGGGAGGGATCGCGAGAATCATCAACCACGCGCATTAGTAGCAGGTGAGAAACACTGACCTGGAGCAAAATTGCTGCAGGCATACCCACGACGTTGCTGCGTCCGATAACAACAGCATGCTTGCCTGCTATTTCGACTCCAGAGCGAAGCAGAAGCTCAATGCACCCTTTAGGAGTACAAGACACAAAGAGCGGTGTCCTGCCTTGTAAAGCCAATCTGCCCACATTCAAAGGATGAAATCCATCCACATCCTTTTCCACGCTGATGGCCCCAACAACCTTCTCTTCGCTCATATGCTGCAGAAAACACAAAAGCAACCTTTAGCCCTCAGTTTGTCACCTACGATCACCTTCTTAAATATCGACCTCAAAAAGGTATTATAAACCTGATAGTTTTCTGAATGACTGACACATGCATTCACTGATTCTATGACAACTTTCAGGGGGTTCTACCTACAAATCTAGGATTTCCACCGCAAGAAACTCACCTAATCTCATAAGCAACGAATGGGGTAAAGGAGCTATGAAAATTAGCTCTTGGTTGATCGGTATTTCCCACGTTGAGCTCAGCATATCACAACTCATGGTTGTAACAACAAAGACTGTCCAAAACCTCGAGTAACGAGCCTTCGTTCCAATTCAAAACACGATAAACCCTCATTCAAACAAAAATCTCTGAGGCTCCAAAACCGGCAATCTCCTTCTCAACTTAGAAGATTGTTACAATCACACCTTGGTTTGCATCATATGGTAGAAGGCCCAGTACAACCTTGAAGCAAATTTACGTGACCTTGCTAATGTGGGCAAATACCTTAGGAAGAGGAAGTTGCACAAGTATCCCATGAACGGATGGATCATCGTTGAACTTGCTAACGGCGTCCAAAACCTCTTGTTCACTCGCATCTTCAGGCAGAGTGACACCGAACGACGCAATTCCGACTTCTTCACAGGCTTTCTTCTTACTGCGTACATATGTAGCAGAATCTGTGCGGTTCCCTACTAGCACGACTGCAAGCCCAGGAACCTTACCCACTGTCTCTTTCATCTTCAACACCTCTTGAGCAATCTCCCGTCGAACATCCTGAGCAATCTTCTTCCCATCGATCACTTCGGCCGTTGCTTCCGAAGCAGTCACTGCAATAATTAACGAGTTGACATTTTTGTGAATTCCGTGCCTTCCAACATAAAAAAGACAACCAGAAATACGAATACGTACTGGACTGCAATAAAATCGGAAAATTCAGACAATTCTGTTCCTATTATAACATCATCAACAAAATTTCGTTGCGACGTTCCACTACATAACTCCTGAGAATTTCTCAGTAGACTTCGAGAATTCCTCCGCTAAAGAGGTCCATCTTCCAAACCCACCTACCATCGTCCTGAAGAATTGCACGACAGGGTTGAAGATCGTGTCTGGAGGCCCAGTGATCGACAACATGCAGCCCGTAAATGGTATTCCCGAGCACAGTACATTCCGACCTCTTGACTTTCTCCGCCGTGCTACCAAAGCCCCTATAGCTGTGCGCCGATACCACCCTCGAACAACAAGTCGGAGAATTCCCCGGAACCGCAGAGCGCCATGAAGCATTCATCGCCTTGGTGACGCAATCCGGCCGGGGCGCCAGACCCAGCGTCGACTGATTCATCATCACTCCCCTCACGCACGCCCCCATCATCAGCAGCCTCGATCGCCTACCACCCAGCTTTCCTTCTCGCCAAATCCCAATCGACCCAATCCCACAAATCCGCCCTCCGCCTTGCGCTCAGATAGAATGCGAGTTCATTCAACACTGGTCCGAATCTGTCACATTCATTTCCTTACTTACTTCTTCAGTTCGTGCTCTGAAACTCTGGGAATTTCCATGCTCTCGTTCCCCACTCTCGAGCTCTCAAGCGACCATGTTCTTCTGATTTTCGGAACATGACAGATCCTAAACCCTAGACCCTACAGTACATTTACATTGACTCGCATTTCGCAATTGCTTGGATTCCTTCAGTGCTCAGTTAGATCATAGCAGCTCCATCATTCAGTCTCTGTTAGTTCGTAGTCATCGTGGCGGGAATGGGTAGCGTTCAGTTCATATCATGGACTTTTTCAGACTAAATAATCACCTGAACGTTTATTCTATTCGCTCAATTATGAGCTACACTAGCTTGTCGATTGATTTTTTATGTTGTCACATGTAGCACCAATGGTCGAGGTTCCCAACTATTTGGGTAGGCATTATTGTCAACTTTTTCGATTATCGAGAGTTTCATGGATGCAAATTCCAAACATCCGATAGAGATTATGCTAAAGCAGGGTGTAATATGGTATATAAGTATTGTTTTTTATAAAATTTTATGTACTCGATTATAAATTGATTTTATTTATTTTCGACTACTAAGAACCATGTTAAGCGATATTAACATGGATGCTGAAGTAGTAAAACTAACTTATGCAACTATCCTAAGGATTTGTCAGAGGCTCCACTTAATTTATTATTTCTGCTGCGGCTATAACTCAAAGCTCTGGACCTTCATAAGAAAGATGCAATCGTTCACAAACCTCTTCATCGCCAAAGATGCTCAGAATAAAAAAATATTAAGGCCTCTAACGAGTTGGTACACGTTTAATTATTGCTCAATAGCTCATGATGCAATATAAAAATCTGTACTAAGTATCTTGAACAAAAATGTGTCATAGTTGTGAGCAGATGATATAATTACAACTACTTCTGTGTAGTGGAAGTTCATGTCTTCAAGGAACCTGAACAACGTTGCGATTATAACAGTAGTCAACGTCATGACACGGGAAGAATGGCGGATTGAGCAAGCGTCCGAGTAATCACATGCTTTTGGCGCCTGGCCTCATCTTATATCTTTTATTACTTTCTGTCTTCCAAAAGCCATGGAGTCTTTCCATCCCTTTTGCTATGCTACTTGGTAATGTACTCTTCTCCCATAACATGTTTATAGGAGCGTAAAGACCCAACATGCGTCCTATCCCTAAAGAGTAAAGATTGCTAGAATTATATGTGCATATGCTTTCCTTGAAAAATGTAAGTTATAATCTATCATAATATCGCAAAACCCTAGGATGTAACAATGCACAATAGATTTTATTCAGTACATAGTTATTTTTGTAAAGAGTTCATGTCATATCAAGTCATGCAAGGTTGAAACCACAAGAGTAGATTGATGGTGATACTAATGATATCACATTGAAATATATGATATGTTGCAGTTGAGATATTCAAATTATCTATTTTAGAGAAGATACCTATTATTGGAAAATGCATTTAAGCATATGTATATGTAGCATGAATCAACCAATGATCTTCGTAGAACATAGGATAGAAGTTGCACAAGATGTATTCTAAGATATTGTAAAGAATAATGATACAAAGGTCATATAGAGTGATAAAATCCCAATTGGCCTAAATGGTGGATGAATAAGCGGATGATATTCTGCGCATCTTGTACATAAAGACACAATCAACTATCTGTACACTCGCCATGCAAGGAGTTGGACATTCAACATTTCTGATGACATGAAATTCTTTTGTTCATGGCGAACAAAGTTAATTTCTTCCATTATTCAAACCAACAAATAAATATCGGTCTCTTTCCTATGAATTATGCATCTCTTGTGCTGTAACAAGCAATCTTTTTTGAAGATCATCATGGAAAACAATCTGCATGCCTTCAAATGAGCAAGCAATGATATGGATTCTTGCTATATCTAAAAAGGGAGTATCCTATTGGACATATGAAGATGAAAATAGATGGATCAAACCAATTTTCAACCTCATAATTGGAATGAAGGCAGATTGTGCAGTTAGAATGACTCATGATGCATGAGTTTCAAATTTGTTTGAAACTAAAAAAGTATACAGATTCTAGGTACAAGAATTATCAAATCTAAAAAAACACAGCGCGTTTGAATTTATCACGATATATTCTAGAGATCAAGGAAAAGAAAAAAGATTAAAAATCATATTCTATGATTAGTGAAAAACATCCTCTATTTGATATACATTTTTCATCCCTAACTTTGATAACCTGGTAGCGATTAAAAGTCTAAAAGTAAAGAAAAAGTGAAAAATGTAGAAATAGCAGATTCTTACAAGTTTTTTATTCCTTTGATATTAAAACATTTTACCATGCATAATTGAAAAGGATATTTATTTGTATCAAATCTCATATAATATCAAAACTGAAGAAGACATATGCTTTTGTATCAAATCTTATTCACGAAGTCAAAACACTTATGACTTTGTGATCGAGTCAACGCTCAATAGTAGATAGTATAACATCACTCTTCTTCAATATTTAATAACAACTGACAAGTTTTTAAAAATAATGCATCCAATTAAATCTCATTTTATGTAGAGCAATCTGAAGAGTGTGTGAAGGTAGTACGTCAATGTCATACATCATTCTGAAAGAGTTGGAGATGAAGAGCAATGCTCAAAAAAGACAATGCTTTATAGTTTGACAACTTGATACCATAGAAGTAAAAAATTTCGGTAGTCAAGTAGTCAAAGATCTTTCTTAGTACTGTGCTATACATGATTCTTAGTGAAAAATACTCATTCCGTAACGTGATATATCAAATGTAGTGAATAGAACAGCCCAAATTCTACCTTTAAAATTCTTTTTCAATAAATTCCATACCAAGTACTAGCAACTAACTGAATGTGAAATTGTGAGAAATCACGATGTAACAAAAAGAAAGAAGATGAATGGTAGGGTGGAATAATAGAGATCCACAATCTCTTGATGTGGAAATTTCAATCAAGTAAGCGTGAAGTTGATGTTGGAGGATCAATTTTCAGCTAAGAAGGGCCAATAACTTCTCACGAGTTTCAATATGTCTACTGTCTCCAGTCACTAAAAACCTTATCACCGAACCTAGTTGACAATCGAGTTTAGAATCTCATAACTACGACGTAGCCATCTCAAAACACTATGCAACATGTGAAATCACTAAAAACAGCAGATATATTACAATCAAACATGCCATATCTTTTTGGTACATATAATAATAGAATGTGGACCCATCACCACGTTCTCCTAACCGAGGTTTGCTATTCGTCCAGTTAGCATCCACACAACTATTCTAACGATTCACCGATGGACTGCTGGGATACCTTGGAGAAAATATCCTCACCCCATACTATGTCTCACGTGCAGTACCGAACTTCTCTGCAGGCCAGGCTCTCCACTTCCTCTAGATTGCGTAGATTCCATCCAAGCCTAGAGCCAAGTCTAGCATCGTTAGCTACCCCGTGCTCATTTCTCAAGTGGCACGTTGAAATTCTTTCGAGATATTTTGGACATCTGATCTCGCATTCCAGCTCGCGTTGGTTTCAATCAGACTTGTTACTGATGACAGTCGATGATTCTGGAGACTAGTTTTGATTCGAGACCTTTAGATCTTAGGATTTGCACGCTGTAGGATATATTCGAGTAACCACAGAACAGACATCGATGTATCAGGAGCATGTTGACCTCGTCTACCTTTCTCCTTTGGGCTGGATTCCCGTCACATCTGGTGGCTCATGATAGAAGTTGTGTCGTAGGAACCTCCTGGATCGTCACGTGAAGGAGGTAACAGAGTTCCAGTCGTGAGACTGCTGAATGATATTAGATGATTCGGCCCCTTGCATGATTTGCGTCCGGGCTGGATTTCATTGATTTCCACGTGCTTACTTTCTAGCCTTAGAGGAGAAAGGTCATTCATCCTTTTTGTCCCGGGTTTACCATATCATATTGCTCGGATCAGAGATGATTTTGCCAATCAGGAGGAGTGTGCAACATGAAAGCCAAGGTTTTTCTTTATCCAATCAGAGTTTCACACCGACCTCACTTTCCTCAGAACTCGGCGTTAAACAAGCTAGCTCTAGAGGGCTTGAAGCATCCAGGTAGTTCGTGCACAAGCCCTGCCATTCCCCAACCTTCAGCAGCCAAATGTTGCTGGCGGCATTTTCTTTAGTAAAATCCAAAGAGACAATTCTGCCTGCCGTGTTGGCAGACAGAAACGCAAAAAATCTCGTTTGTTTGGAGGCGAAGTGGACGAAGAACAAGGAAGGACAAAACAGATTTGGACAATGTTTAGGACTTGCTTGCAGAAAACTCCTGTCTGGCGTCAGGATTTACAAATGACATTTCTTCTTGGCCAAAGGTTTAGGATGAGAAGCCAGAGAAGCATACTCGATAACATGGTTCGAATGCTAGCGGTTCCTGTTACGACTTCCTGGACTTAGATGTCCCTATACATGGAAATCAATCTACTGTGGCTGAACAATTTATACAGTTGTACGTTTTTCAGAGGGATGGTGGTGGCCAGCTCTTGGAGTAGTTTGATCTCAATTTTTTTGCGCCTCCAACGACCCGATGAAGGAGAACATGCGCTCTGCTGCTAGTTCAGGTCGATCGTCATGAGGGCAGTGACCGACATCGGGCAGAGTTTCCACATAAACATTTCCCCTCTCGTCTCCCAACCTCCGGAAGTAGTTCGCAACCTTCAATGGTCAAACAAGAAAATCCCGAAAAGTCAATTATAGCTGAGATGCTCTCGAGATATGCATCACAGCTTCCGAATGAGGCTCGGACTCCCTCGGAAGTTGTAGAGTAGAGTTGTACTATGTAGTAGGCCACATGCTACAACTCTACTGGATATCTTATCAGCAAGTGCTTAAAAAGCAGAAGATTTGGAAATGGTCACTTACAGGTCCGTTAGCGGGAGTCCAGCGATCTTTGTCGCCCCACAAAAGTAGCAACGGTGCTTTAATCTTCGGCATTAATGCTTCAGGACGCGGGCCTGCAGCGTTCAGGTGCAAGTCAAGTTTTACTGATTGGATGGCACAACCAAATACGCATTGATAGACCACCTGATAGTTTAAATCAAACTGTTGGCAGAGCTTCGACCTCCTTGAATAATCTAAGTACTCATCTGATTGTTGTGAGGAACGATGAAGATTCTACTTAAAAACCCAGTTTTATCGAGAAAATTCTCGGATTTAATCGAAATTTTAAATGAGAAAACAACTCAAGTGAATCATCCACTTGGCTTTCAGAAATACCACTGTAGGGCACTAAGCCTCAATGCTTTACCTGGTTCCCCAGTAAAAACTTTGACGAAAACTTCCAAAGCTCCAGGTTCTGTCGATGGATGATGAAGAATGTCAACCTGCACATCAGTATGTCGTATTTTCAGATACGTTTGAATGGAAACCAAAAATACTCATCAGCCAACACAATACAGCAAACGAGAAATCCTACTATCCATTTTTGGAACCTATCCACGGACGATATTCGAGTCTCCTTCACGAGAATCGAATGGCTATGAGATGGACTTGAAAGCATCAAACAGAGGGCTAGAATTCGGGAACGCAGCTAAAATGGACGGAACACAAAGCTGGTGATAAGATGCGCAAGTATGGGCTTTTCGTTGGTTCTATACAACAGATCACTACTACAACCCACATCACTGAGCTAGATGTTCTTCCAGGATCATGTGTGTGACGGACAATATTAGGATAGAGTCTCCGTGGTGTACGATAACACTTAGTTTGTTCAACTTGTGTGATGGATATGCTCCCATCTACCATAGACGGTCAAGTTTGGGGGTTGCGCTTTCCGCACTGAAAGATGAGCAAAACTTTTCTCACCAGTTGGTCTGTCACGGCGTCTGTGTTTCGATATGCCTGATCCGTCAATATCTTCTTCACATTCTCTTTGCTTCTAAACCTGCAAGTTTCATGTGGGAGAAGGGAGGTGCACATTAGCGTAAGATTAGCCAGAGAGGAATAAAAAACGAGACATATACACACAGACATGACCTGCAGAATGGGTATGAATGTGATCGAAACTCACCTGTTGAACAGAAACTTGGCAATGTCTGGCTTTTGGAGAAGATACTCTACAGCGACGAAGATGGGGGATATGATGCGTAAAAGAACACCGTCTTGAGCCAGCCCTTTCCGATTCATGGCTCCGGCACAGTTAAGAAGGACCACTCCTCTGAATTTACCACAACAACCACGCTCAGAAATTTAAGACATCTCAGCAAATGATATCACGGCCACGCACACACTCCAGACCAAAAACTAAATCTCCGACCTATTTCGACAGCATGCTTTGGCCACAAGAGGTGAGTCAAGCATATAATTCCTCCGAAGCCACATCCAAAGCTCACCTGACAGCTTCGTCTCCCATCATGGCTGCGGCAGCCAGGACAGTGAGGGAACCGATAGAGTTTCCCACGAGTACAGCACCCTCATCGGCGAATTCATTTGCAAAATCTGCATAGCCATGATCCAGTCTGTCAAGTTCGAGAAACCCGTCGCTGGCATCTCTTCCGTACAGCAGACACTGCAAAGCTAGCAGTGAAGAGGTTCCGACTCTACAGATATTTGGGCTCTACTACAGATAATTCTCAGCCAGTTAACAATCCACGAAGTGCCAAATTCCTATCAGCCCATACCCACTACATCAGAATTACCTTGAATCTGCTCCCCCCATAATTCCGGCCCATAATTTGCCTCAAGAGGTTTTTCTGAGGCGCCAAAGCCCAGAAGATCCACAGCATAAACCCTATGCTCTTCTGCTAAGTATGATACAAGCCTGGCGAAATGCCCAACGTTGCCACCTGCACCCCAGAATAGACGTGTTCGTAAAACTAGCCGTTAGTATTTATGAGTGACTGCAGCCTTCCGATAAATGAGCAATCTTAACTCCATAGAGTTGTTCATCGGTTCAAAACGATTAAAAGATAGAAGTGCAGTAAGTTCACTGGTATAAATTCGCGGAAAATGCTTACCAAAACCATGCACCAGGATAATCGGCTCGCCGCAGCCTGCAACAGCGTAATTTATCTTATGGCCCCTACACATTGTACCATTTTGATAAAACAGTTAGTTTTTGAGATCATCACAAATGAGCAAAAACTATGGTCTTCGGGCTATAGCACGTAGCACTAATCAGTAATGTTTTTACGAGATTCAGCAGCGAGCTATATTCAGCTCCTCGTTGTTCCAGCAGGAGATAGATAGAAGGTGTTTCAGGAATGAGTCCAGACCTCCATAACCACGTGTTACTCTTGAAAGGCAAGACCAGCAGACTGCTGTCGAGATCCTGAATGTCCTGCGCAACCTGTCTCAATGTAACCCTGCTTTCGATTTCTATCTGTACTGAAACTGAACCTCCTCTAAGTCCACCGACTTTGAGAGGTCCCACCCAGAATTGTACGATTCCATCTATACCCTGCAGTTGAGACTCGAGCCTGTACGCAACAATAAGAGAAGAAAAATCAGTGCTCTCTGACAATTGTGACTTCTGAACTACTAATCATACGCTCTGCATGTTATTAAGCTCCGACTGGAAACAAGCATGGAAGAGCTCAAAATATCTAGTTTTGTTTCAGCATGTGCTTAATGTAAGAAGACAATTTCCACGTCAGCTTGCTGGTTGCACAAACCATAGTTGCCAAGACTTATTTCCTCCCAAGAAGCACGAAGAGGGACAAGGAATGCATCAAACAAGGCATCGACGGTAGAATACAGGTTTGAGGTTGGAAAATTTGACGGATCATCCAATCAAAGAGCTACATAAGCACCCACTGCAAAACATAGACATCTAATGTTTCTCACACCCTTTTTCATGTAGTTGTAGAGCTAGTGTCGGAGTCAGGCTTTATAGGCTTTTGACTTGGGGTTCTTTGAAATTTCTACAGAGGATCCATCAAGGCTTCCATCTATACGACAAATAGAATATGTTCTTCTTGCCGGTGTCAGTACTTCTCTCTCTCTCAAGGAAAGACACACCGACAAAAGCCTTCAAGATAGTCTCGCTTAGACCTGCTTGTGATTGCTGCAAAGAAGAGAGCAAGCATTTAGGATGAAGAATTTCTTACCTTCTACTGTCATTGTCTGTGATTACTCCATGAACACTGCGCAGTCGATACGAGCAATATACGATTTAAGACCTTCATACTTCAATTTTCAAGCTCCAGATAAAATCTAGCAGTAGAAAAGTTCGAAGTTCGAACCAAAAGGCTGATGGCATCTCGCAACAAATAACAGATCAACTCTTGAACAGGAATATTGGAAACTATGATTCTACACGTTTTCACTCAATTCTAGAAACTAGAGCAGCCACAGAAGAAGAAACGGTTTCCTACGTTATAGTAAACATTCGGGTGTCAGACGATAAACCCATGCTGGTTGGTGGCGTCAGCATTTCCTCCAAAGAAGGACCAGAATCCGCTGCCTTCGATTCATCTGCAGTACTTGCTTCTTTATTCCTAGCCGCACCTGCACACGGATAAAACATGAGCTTCGCAGAAAGTGTCATCTAGAAAACATCACGAAGGGGCTCCGCTCGACATTTAATAAAGACGTGATCCGTTCTTTAATGGATGACTCCGGCTCCAGTTATATTGACGTAAAGGTGCAAAGAAACCTTCACGAATGTGCAAGATAATTTTTGCGGAGGTATCGAAAACAGTACCTCTAAAATATTCCCTCGTCGGGACTCGTGTTGATGGAATGTCACGACCTATAGATGTCAAGCTGCGCCTTCTCAAGATTTTCCTATTCTCAAAGACCGGTCTCCTACTAATTGCAACACTGGAGCTTGGAAATCTTGCGCTACATGACTGAGACTTCTGGCAAAAGACAAGCGTTTTCAGTTCAGTCTGTGTCCCAGCATTTGCGGCTGCAGGCGTAAAAACTGCAGTGACAAGGTGCATACTAATGGGAAATCTTCCCAGCTCATGAGATCTACACAGCTGAGAAGAGAGTTAGCTGATCCAACCTCGACAAACGTCTAAATTGCTCAATCTAGTTCCACTCTAACATTACATTCCTTCCAGGCGGTCCATTAAAAACTAGAATATGTCCGTCAATAAGAAGGTGATCAATAGTCTTAGCGTATATCAATCACAACTGCATAATAGCCCGATATATAACCTCAAATATATCAGCTATATGCAAATATTAGAAAGCAATCAGGTAAAAGGTGTCATCTGGTGATTGCAGGAGTTTGAGAAGAGTCGGGTAAAAGAGTGTGTACCGAGTCAAAGACCAAACTCACTCTTCCAACTTTAACACCACGTGAGCGCTTCACAACCGCTAGTCTCTGAGAGTCGCCGAAACCAGAATTTTCCGATGAACAACTTTGTCCTAGTACTCTCAAGGCATCATTCACAGAATGAGGAAGTGCCACAGCCAACACTGCCATTGCAACTATATCTTGGAATATTTTAACAGATTACAAATACGTCTTCTGCTCCTGCGGATCAAAGAATGTGAAAATAAGCTCAGTTCATAGTCAGCTGCTTTTGTCATAAAAACTACAGCGCTATCATAATCACACGAGTGAAAGCAGAAGGCCCTTGCATCTTACATAGCTTCATAAACACATGAGAAAACATGACACTCCAGTGATATTGACAACGACACTAAGTAAAATAAAGAGCTAACTCTCCAAATCGAAAGACATAGTAACAACAGCGGCTCGCCATCATCCACCCAACAACCGATCATTCAAAGCTACATAACAATATGTAGGCTGCAGTTCTCCCTGCCTCATATCCAAACCCATCACAGATACTATTTACGAAGAAGAAAAAAAATGGTGGGCTTGCAGTACACGGGATCCCGAGAGGACTGGGGGAACAACACAACTCACAAAATAATAGACAGCTGGTTAGCTAATTGTGTTGTACACTGGCTGAATGAGATCATGATCATTTAAAGGCCCCGGGTACCTAGCTGGATTTCAGAGCTCAACTGAAGGTCGAAAGTGACTTCAGCGAGTATAGAGCTCAGTCGCTAGCAAACAGTCACCATAAATTTAGCTCAGAAATTGTCACAACAAGTAAGGCAAATTCTGCCTTACATGCTCAGATTCATTTGTCAAAACTAGAGAAGCTCGACAGAAGCTACAGGTCGATCAAACCGTTCTGGATCCGAACTTCAGGCAAGCTTCATAATTCTTGTGTTAACAGACTACTCAGCATACGCTGGATTGCTACAAGCAGGGACGACGTATACGGCCGGACGCGGCCAGAACGAGACAGCAACTGACTGACGATTCACTCAAGACCACAACTCTGTTTCAGAATCGAAACGTTGACCACGGATCCATCGCCTACATATCTTGCGGCTCCGAACTTTGACATCTGACACAGAGAGCGAAAGAAGATGAAGAAGACTTAATCCTTACTGAAAACTGAGATGAAAGAGCAGGAGCTGAGTTCGCACGAGTGTTCCCAGACGAGAAACGGCAATCGAGTCGACACAGAGCCCCCACGGAGCTTCACGTCACAGAGAGGACGAGTCGATCCGATTCTGAAACGTACCCCGTGACACTCGTGCCGAGCAACGAGCTAGCCAAGCCTCCTGACGACAGGATCAGTCCAGTCCTTCTCCGATGCGGCCTTTCCGGATCAATCAATCAATCAATCAATCAATCAATCACTCAAGCACGCACTCACTCAATAACTCACTCACCAAAAGGCCTGCGATGAGCAGTTGCAGATGACGCATATACAGTCGGCAGAACTCTATCGTCTGAGACACAACGGACTGAATCTCCAACCGGAGCCCGAGAGATGCTAGGCACGCAGATTGCAGCAGAGTAGGGGCGAGCAGCGAACATAAAGAACTATATCCCAACTTCTGACAATCTGACAGCTGAACCTCGTCGTCGGGCGGAAGCGCCTCAGGCAGGCCGTCTCGGAATATACAGGAAAACATCGACGCACATTCTGGCCTCGGGCTCGATTGTGGCGCCAAGCAATCACTCCCAGGCTTTCCACATGGACGAGCCCCCGAGCCCGATCCGAGGTTGCGTGCGTGCGCGGTTCGAGTCCCGGTGCGTCGACCAATTCGGCGCTGACCTCTGCCCGGGCCTAGCCCGTCCCCCTCGGGGGGCTACGAGTTCACCGCCTTCGACCGCCGGTAAATAAAAGATTCCCCGGGCACTATCCACTCACGCAACGTCGCTACGGCCCAGCAGGCAGATTAAGCCCATATTCACGTCGAGTGCATGTCATCCCCCCTGCGCCGACATTCGGTCAATCTTGCGCAACAAGCGAGAGAACGAGACGTGACAGGGGCCACAGGAGATCGATCGCGTGGTAATCGGAATGCAGACGCAAGGATTGTGCGCCAACAGAATTCGAGGAAAGCAGAAGCAGCGACGTGCAGCAGCAGCCAGCAGCAGGCTCGCAGACTGCACGGCCGCTGCATTAGTGCGAATTACAGCTCGATAATCCGCATTAGTGCCCACGGTTTAACTCTGCAATTTTTACTCACTCACTCACCCGAATCAGAAGCTCGGCGAAGCTCGCAGTCCTTCACCTGAGCTCGCTCAGACTCGCAGACGGCACGGCCGCAGCATCAGTGCGAATTCCAGCTCGATAATCCGCATTAGTGCCGATGGTTTAGCTCTGCAATTTTTACTCACTCACTCACCCGAATCAGAAGCTCGGCGAAGCTCGCAGTCCTTCACCTGAGCTCGCTCAGACTCGCAGACGGCACGGCCGCAGCATCAGTGCGAATTCCAGCTCGATAATCCGCATTAGTGCCGATGGTTTAGCTCTGCAATTTTTACTCACTCACTCACCCGAATCAGAAGCTCGGCGAAGCTCGCAGACCCGAAGCTCATCTCAGCTCGCCTCGCCTCGCCTCGCCTCGACTGGCCTGGGCGGAAGTCAAACGAGCTGGTTCTGTTTGCAAACACGCAAGGGCTCAGCCAATGCCATGGCAGGTCAGTGAGCTGCTGATGAATGCTGGGGCCTATGAATAGAGGCATGAGAACGGAACGGACAAACTTGCTGTACTCACGGTCCGATCTTCTTCCTATCGTGGATGGGTTCGCCGCGCCTGAAATAGTGGAGAGTGCGGCTTCACCGACCGAGGTTATGGGGAAGGGAGGGAGAGCTTTGCAGGACGAGGACGAGGTCGAGGGCGAAGGAGGAATGAGTGAGAGTCGATCTTCCTGGAGGGAATCTGGTCCTGGGCGCTTGACTCATCCGCGAGGCGTTCCTAATCTTACAACTGGCACATTTGCAGTCTCGCTGCGCTTGATTCCGGTGAGCAAGGCCAGACAAGAGATGGTGCTTCTCGATGATTATTTTATTGTAATTGTTCTCGTTGTGAAGCAGCGTTTCTCTCGCTCTGATGACCCCTCGAGACTCTTGAAAGTGAAGCTTCTCTTCTTTGACTGGGAACGGGGACAAACATGCCCCAAATGCTGGTCGAACCGCCCTCGTCCTCACGGTCGTCCACTGTACTCTCTCCTGGCGGAGAAAACGTTTTATCTCCACACCGCCCAGCACAGGATATAATCCAGGATTGGATGTTAAGGTCGGCGTCCACCTCCGAAGGAAGTGGAGGAACTCTTGCCAAACTCCACATCTCTACACTCGTGTACCCCTCGAGTCCAATGCATCCTCTTCATCCGAGTAGACCAATTCACACTTTCGTGGTTGGCTTGTGGTTTCCACTGCTACATAGTACAGAATCTGGATCGATGATTTGGCATCTGAGATGCAGCAGTTGATGCTCGGGTTGACAACAGTCTTTGTTGTTTGTGAAGGTGTGGACGAAGTAGTTTGAGAAGGAGACGAGGAAGGAAAGATCAGGAATAGAGAGATTGGTAAAATGAGGCCGTTTTTCAGGCTACGAAGTAGTCTGTACACCGATTCGGCTAAAACAAGTTAGTTAGCCATGGGTTGAGTACTTCGTCGCCGACTCTTGGTACGATGCAACACATAAGATTCTATTGATAGCTGGCCAGTGAGTCGTATTCACAACTTATTTTACACATTACTTAATGCTACGGCATCTAAACTTAACCCACCTCAGTGACATGGGTGCCAACCATCCGCCATCCAATTCATGAGCTCCGTTCCTCGTCACTTCTGTCTAAACCCCAACCCCAACCCCAAATATATCCACCATCGGCAAGAATCAGCCACTTCGCAGTGCCTGGAAGCTGATCAAGTTTATCATATAATCAGAACACTCCGTAAAGTGTTTTTCCATTCACAGTTGCTTCTCGCCAAATCCACACCCCTGATGAAAGAATGGATGGAAAAGTGACCGACTTTCACTAGAGAAATCCAGTGCCATGATTTGCACCAGGAACTTGAGAAGAACCTCATGACGGTCCAATGCTTAGGTTGATGATCCTTCTCACCTCGAGCTCCTTGAATTCAGAAGGGACTGAGAGTGATTGTGTGGAGCCACAATGAGAAATGAGCGTGGTCTCAAGGCCTTATACTAAACGGCTAATCAAGTTTATCATATAATTAGAACACTCCGTAAAGTGTTTATCCATTCACAGTTGCTTCTCGCCAAAACAACACCCCTGAAGAAAAAGTGGATGGAAGAGTGACCGACTTCCTCTAGAGAATTGCCAGGGCCATGAGTTGCACCAGAAACTTGAGAAGAATCTCATGACGATCAAATGCTTAGGTTGATGATCCTCCTCACCTCGAGCTCCTTGAATTCAGAAGGGACTGAGAGTGATTGTGTGGAGCCACGATGGGAAATGAGCGTGGGCTCAAGGCCTTATACTAAACGGCGCATTAACGAATGTAATGAATGGGTAGGCAAGGCAAGGCAAGGAAAGGAAAGGGAAGGGAAGGGAAGGGAGGGGAGGGGAGGAGAGGAGAAGAGAGGAGAGGAGAGGAAGGAGATTCAAACTGAATCATGGGGAGCGAGGAAGAGGGGAGGAGGGGGAGCAGCAGTGGACGGGGCCGGTGGATGGAAGAAGAATGAGCAGTGGGGCCGCCGATGTCTGAGCACAGGAGGGGGATGATGATGGGCCCGGAGGACGAAGAGCAGCAGCAGGAGGAGGAGGAGGAGGAGGAGGAGGCGAGGAGGAGAAGAGGGCAGGAGTTAGAGAGCTCCAGCTTCCGCCACCCTTTGTTTGCACCCTTGCCAGGCCAGTCCATCCCCTTCCCGTTGATGCAAGCGAGCGCAGAGAGCTGGCGCCGGGTTTATGTTGGACATGTTGTAAGAGTGTCTCGCACACCATTTTTCTGGACGGTGCGGAGGGAGAGGGCGAGAGGAGTGAGAGGAGGGAGGGAGGCAGAGGGCGGTGTGTCTTAGAACTGACTGCTGCTAGTTGTGCTTGTGCTGGTGCTTGTTTGCGTGTCTCTCTAGCGTCCGTGGGATCTGGACCAGGCTTGGGCTCGGTGGGGGTGTCTCCTTGTGTGCCCATGTGCTAGGTGCCTTAGACGATGTTCTGATCATGGGTGCTTGTAGGTTGAGCCATACCGCACCGTTGTGGTAGCGAGGGTGTTGGATCGTGCGAGGAATTCGGGGGCTCCTCTCGGTGACAGTGGTGAGCCAGTGGAGTTGATTCGGGAGGAATTGTATCGGTCCGTGGTAATTCAGGGTGTAGCTTCGTGGGAAACGAAGGATTTGGATCGTTAACAGTTGCTTTTGATGGCCAAAAAGAGGAAATCCGAGAATGCGGGGCTAGATGAAGTGGAAAGAACGCTGTACACCACTTTCTGCACGGCCGCCAATTCTATCTCCCAACTCTACACACAAGCGCAGCACCAGCAGAAGCTTGCGTTCCAAGCCGGAGAGCGGCACACCGTGGTAAGGCCATGACGATATACGTGTGCAGTGGAATTCATTCCCAGGCTCTAGTGACTGTCGTTTCTAGTTCTTATCGCTGCAAACTTGCACAGCAGAGGCTCGCTCCGCCCGCCTGCGCTTATAAGATTTGATGAACAAATCCTTGTGCTTTGCCTCCAGGCGTCTGAAACCCATGGGTTCATTAAGTCGGAGTCGCGCGGGGATGTCAGGGAACTAAGATTATCTCCCTTATCTTAGTCCTTCATTCAGTTTGTGTGACAAGTTTGTGGGCAAGTGATTCTCATTTTCGATTCCTGGGGGGCAGCGGATTAGAAGGTTGGTTGAGTCATTGCGTGCTTTCCTTGGCGCCCGACAGCAGATCATTCATCTATCTGAAAACGTCCGTGCTGCATTAGAGTTAGGGCACAATTATTGGATCTAGTTCGGATTCGGTGCGCAGATTCTGACATGAATCCGGTGTTTGTCGATAACAGGTTTTGTTGTACACTCCGGTTTTTCATGTCCTGTACAGGCCCTAGTGTTGTGTAACTCTTGTTTAGGAAATCCCCCGGATGTGCATTCTCGCATTCGGTGTCGCAATGGTGGCACCGAATGCTCAAATTCCCAACAGGCATTCTCCACTGTCATACCCTCCCACGCCTGCGCCTGCGCTTGCCCGTTCCCTGAAGCCATTCCTCGTCGTGCGCTTCGCTTTCCTCGTTCCGTACAACGTAAACTTTTCTCTCCGTAAAAATCAAGATGAACCCTAAAACGTTGAGGGGGTTCAATTGCGGCTGGGGCTGCAGCAGAACCTCTCCCTTCTGCGCAGAAAGACAGAGAGAGCAAGTGTCTGTTGCAATGGCGCTGGGATGCCTTGCTCCCGAGGAATTCAAACCGACCACCTCCCTGAGTTGCCGGAGATTCTGGCTGGCTCCAGAACCATAGCAGGAATTACGCTCTCAATGCGTAACGTAGTTCACTGGAAGCCGACAGACGTGGGGCTTCCTTTAGCTGACGATAGAATTGTGCAATGGGGAGGGCAGTCAGTCCACTGGAGGGAGAATGGACCGAACTCTCTGTCAGATTCAGGGATTCCTCTGCTTAGGTCAGGCAATCACGAAGAAATTTTTCAAATTTCAGCAGCTGAGTTTGATGAATTTCGAGGGTGGACTGGCCATGTGGCATCGATTCAACCTAGTGCTATGAGCTCCCTCCTTGTTTGGGGTTTAAGGTAGCTCATTCGCATGTTGGTCTTTCCCTTTGCCCAGAGGACGTAGAAACAGAGACTGCCTTTAGAACTCAATGACGGGTATCTCGTGGATGACTGCGGAGGATGGCAATGGCAAGCAACATGCTCGTTCATTAGTCTGAATATCTATCGAGGAGCTTGTTGTAACTGAAGGAGGTTTGAACCAACAGTGGGCTCTTCCAAGGGCCTGATGACTTCAGGAGGGTACGAGATGAAGCTTTCAGCGTCCCTTGAGAATATTAACCCGCAATATGCACATGCTGGATTTTCCTCATGAATCATGCCAAATCTTATGAGAAACAGCACACAGGAATAATTGAACTCAGAGTTCTACATCCCTCTCTTTGAAGACTGAAAGTAACTGAACCTTACATTCTAAGATATCGTCCTGATACTCCCAGAATCTTTGGTTTCGACTGTAACTGTGTTTGTGGTGGAACTGGTGCAATTCTCAAGGGCAAATGCATTCCTCGAAGCAAGGATGCAAATCCCACCCACGGTTTTCCATGTAGAATTGAAATCAACGTTCTCAGACCCTTCCAAATTTTTGTTGACGTCTCGTGCGCTCCGATTTCTGTATGGTCGATGAAGGGGTAAATGCCGCTGTTGTATCAGCTGTTTTTCTTATTTTCAGGTCGGGACCTCAAAAAGTTCCACCAAATTCACTGAGTCGGGGTGCTTGAAATGTTTGTCGATACACGAGCCTGTGCCCTTCCTGTGCTTATACAATGGGTTTCGAAGAGAAAAGACAAGTACTACATTGGTCGTGTCGTTAACTGAATGCATTTTCTCGAAGCAAGTTCACGATTCAAACTTTTTATCAGTGGTCGTGTGGTAAAGTGATTTGCCCCGAATGATGTTCGTGATTCATACTCATTGCTGGATATGAATGGCTGTTTCTTACCAGGAAAAACTGTACCAATGGCTCCATAGAGAGCATCACGCAGGCTCCAACATTTCTACGGCCGAAATTTTGAATTATTTACAGGTATGTCATCCTTTGTTACGGAGTTCTTCACCTCTGTATATCTGGTTGTTGCTTGTTGAGGTTCTGGAGGGCTTCGATGATATCTGTATACAGGCAAAATGTAACGGGGATTATTGTGTCAGTGAAGGCCAGGAACATTGGTTGATCACAACTTAGATATGCGAAAACTGAAACCTCACGATCTCTAGTGATGTTTATTAGTCTCCTCACGCATTGTGGATTTCTTTCTTCAAAGTATGTGAAACGAAGAGCTGATAAGTTTAGCGTTTGGAATTGCAGAACGAACTGGATGGAGAGGAAATGACGATGTCACCCGGACCCCAGTTTCAAAACCAGTTCACACCACAGCAACAACAGCATCAACACCAACAACATTTACATCAACAGCAACAGCAGCAACAACAACAACAAACGCAACAGCCACAACAGCTTCTTATGTCTAATCAGCAGCAGGCTCCGGCTACTGCTGTTGGATACTCCGGCCTTGGCCATCTGGGAAGGATGGGATCGACTGTAGATCAGAGCAAGATATCTGTATTTACCGGTGCCCTCTCGAGCCCGAATCGGAGGTGTCTTCCTCCGTTTGGCATCAATCAAGGCGGATTTGTTTCTGCGAATAATGCTCCGGCCACTCAAGCTAGAAGGCCCAACAATGGAATGGAGCAGCATAATGAAGCAGCGTCGGAAGAGCAAGAGTCCAGTCCCACCCAGACTCAGCCATACAATGCCTCGTCCGACCAACTTCACAATCAATCAGTTAGTAGTTCTATCTATGAATACAATCAGGCTCCTGCTGGCCAACAGAGAGAATCCCACTCCTTTGGGGAGAACGATTCTAGCATGGACATGCATGCCGATGGTATTTATCAAGATGAGTTTTACCAATAAGAAGTAAGTCCCTCGAAGACCAATACTTTTCCAGATCTTCATCATGGAGGGAGGTTTGCTCCGATACCAGGCATGTCAACGCTGCCCAGGGGGATTGAGGACTACAGATCATTCGACTTATGTCAGGGTCCACGAAGCTGTCTAACAGCCTGCCCCTGCATCACCCGCGAGCATTCCGCAGGGTGATGGAGCACCCATGTTGGCCTGAGTCTGGAAGCTGGGTGTTCAGCTGCGTGTGTGTAGGAGCCCACCACAGCTTCGATGTTGTGGGTTATCGCGGCCCTATATGGTAAGAGGTGTGAAACAGGAATTTCAATGATTTTTGTGAGCGGCTGTGAAACGTCACAGAAATGTAGTAGTAGTTGGCACTCCCGGATTTTCGAAGGTATCTCTTGGAAAGAACCGTGGGAACCTGTATGCCGGGGTCAGGTCTTTGTTACCATGGCCGAAAGGCTACCATGACGGGGCGTCTGGTACAATAATTTAGTCAAGCTTCGAAGGAAGGTAAATGCCTAGGATGTGATTACTCGCCCCGATGAAGGCTTTGTAATAAATAGGTAAGATTTCTCCCTACGTGCCTCAGACTCCTGCCACAACGACTGCCATGTTCTTGCTCGTGTTGATAGCGTCGGAGAGGCTTTCGCTGCTTATTGTAATTTACAGTACAGCACTGCTCCGTTATCTGCCCTTCTCGTCTCAGTGTAGAACGTGATCCGAAATTCTGCCACGTACACCATCTCTTGATCATTTATGTTCGTGTATATAGTAGTGCTAGAAATTCCAGAAACATGAAACTCTAGTGAAGTTGCTACTTTTAATGGTTTTGGAGTAAATCTAGGAGAACTGGTAAAGATCGGAATGACAATGGTAATAATTGAGCCGTTTATGTGCATGGCCGTCGATGTCTAGATCCCCATGATGCTTCCAGGCTCAGTAATTTCGCCTAAGACGGTACGTCAGTCTTGCTCGTAGAATCCACCCGCACAATCATGGCAGGGACATCCTACATCTACGACCACACTAGGTCATAACTGATCTGAGCACAACCCAATGCTCGAAGCGGATGATCTCTGTCGCCAACCTGCTTCTGCCTCGAAGCGTTAGTCAGTTCACTTCATGTGCATCACACTCGCTGCTCCATGCCCCACAAGACAAGAACCACATCATGACATGTGCCAGATCAGATTCGCAAGAGGAGAAACATATGCCAACCCGAACAGCTGGCCAGCGCAATTCTAATTAAACCTGTGGCTCCTACCTCGCGGTAGAGCTTCAGCACCACCTTCGTGATCCTCGTCTCGAAGTCCAAACCAAAACTGGAATGCATCCATGGTCTATAGCACAGTAGCACCGGACCGATTGACACTTGCGAGATTTGTCCTAGTTGCATTGGTGAGTAACACCACGACCTACCACATTGTGATCAACCTCCACCGATAATAGAAAAGTTCACGAATAATTCCTAGCCATAGACAAACTTACACGGGAAATAGAAGTAAGCTTCTAAAAGTCCAACGAGCTAACTTAAATCCCACCTTTGAGCGAAATTGACTCCACTCAGACCCACGAGACCTGAGATCCATACGCCAGCATTTCTTCGAGGCAAATCTGCGTGAAGATACACCGGGATCGCTGGCGAGCAACGTCTGGATCCTCGCGGGTCGGTCGGTCGGTCGGTCGGACATGCGCTTCGACCGGACAGGAAGCGGACCCATCGCGAGCGCGGACGCTGCCTTCGCTTGTGCAGGAGATCGCGAGCCCCAACAGCGCGACGATTGTCGTGCGACGACGGCGCGAGACGAGAAATGCAGTGGAGACGACTCGACGCGCCTCTAGAAGCGCGCGACGAAAAGCGACCACTTGTGGCAGCGCAGGTCCGTCAAGGCCGTCTCGAAAGCCTGCCCCCGTTTCAGACTCGATAGCTCGCTCGCTCGCTCGCAAGTCAAAGCGTCCGTCGCCGTTCTTTTGCTGTGGGACCGTCCCGAATCGGAAGGACGGACGCAGTGCGCACTTCTGATCTCGTAACTCGTAAGCAGGGATCCACCTGTACACGTCATCCAAATTTCAGGGCCCGACATAATACGACAAACGGTCGATTTGTTCCTGTACGATAAAGTAGTTGGTCTTCCATGTGACGTCTGAGTTCGATCGTCCGGTCCCCGTCGAGTCGAGGTCGTGAACTTGCAGTAGGCCTTTCAAGAGGTCGTAGAGGAATCTGGATCAGCGGCCGAGATCCATCGGATTTTCGTTATATCTGACCTTTTAATCCACTGGTCGCGTCGGAGGCAATTTCTGAATTCAGATTATTCTGGTACGCAATATGTCGACGCTACAAAATGCTACGTTGCGATAGCGATTGGAAGAGCGGAGAGTAGGCTACAAGTTCAAAGACTCTAATTCCTCACACATTCCATTGTTATACTTTGCCTATTGTTGGGAGTGACTGGAGATTGGTATCTTAGCTTTTTATTTGGGATACACTGGTATCTAATTATCATATCGTAGAAGATCGTTTGGGAAAATATAAGTGACCTATTTTTTTCAAGTTTTTAGTATTTTCTGTTCTGTGCAGCACGATCGGATATCTGAGGATTGGATATCTTACACGATCATTAGCGCTAGTGGGCCCTAACTCATTGAACCCGATTGGTTTCATCCATGGAGTACTTGATGAGATATTTCCGAATCTTTTCTTAATTAACTCTCAACTTTATCTATTCTACACTATCGCCAGTCTTCCATATTTAGAGATAAATGATGTGCCGAAATGAACCTGTCAATCAATTTACTCGAATGAGGATAAAAAATGGTGGTGACATTTGCCTGATATTCATACTTCAAATCTGAATCATGTACATTATGTTGTTGCTCTATGGTGATCATACACTTTGGCTTGAATCTATCGATACTGGATTCAATGAGACTTAATCATTTTTCAACATTTTATTTATTTCAATTTATTTTGCAAATTTGAGAGTGCAAATATCATTTTTTTTAAAACAAAGAAGGTAAGAAATTCTCAAGAATAGTAGTCTCTACTTTAAGTGCTAGATTTTATACAATTATAGCATATATTACATGTTATTGAAATTATCAAAAAATTAATATACTTATTAAAAAACGGAGTACAAATTGAAGCTGCAAATATGATAGTTGATGAACATGCTGCACTACAATTCAATATCGTAAAATCTAGAGGAATATGAATTGTTACTCCCTATATTAATCTTGAAGCAATTAATTTCTGTAATATGTTTATTGCTGTTAAATGAAATTTACATTTTATTTAATATATTTTGCGACGGCTTTCATGACTTTCGAAAAAATATTTTACAGTTTCTTCATTATGTATGTACATGTTGATAATGCTTAAATCAAGATATATGTTATTATAGTTAGTAGGGCTAGTCTTGCTTCGTCACTATGTGAGAGTTATTTGCACAAACTTAGGATATTTTTAATAAATTGTTTGGATTGTCATGTGCATAATCCAAAGAGTTGAACAAGATTACTCATTTGTTGACTCTGTTTACGTTATGTGCCTCACGTGTTAGTCAGCTGGGCAAAAGTTAAAACTTTAACTTTGAAAGCTTAAAACTCCACGTTACACATGTTATTTTAGTACCTAGTCAAATAACATATACTTTCATTAATCACAGATCATATATGGTGTTCACTATTTCAAACATATTTACAAATCAAACTAATATTTTTATTACTTGAAAATAATTAAATACACAAAATTTTAAATTATCAACATAAATTTTTTATGTTGACCAAAATAGTATATATGTATCAATATATAGTTTATATTTAGGCATACAAATATTTTTTATATAGTTAGGTATGATTCTATTTATGATTTCTTTAAATTTTATTTTTTAATAAATATTTCTAATGATATAATACAATTAAAAAATTTAAATTAAAAATTTTTTATTGAAAATTTATTTTTTTCATTTATATTTTAAGGATGAAATCACATATAAATTATATTTTCATTGATAAGATATATGTTGAAAAATATCAAACATTATGAAATGGTATATTATGTTCTATTTTTTATTTTATAAAAAATTCAAAATTAACTATAAGTATTTTTATATTCAATTATTAGTATTAATTTTATTACTAAATTCTAAACAAACACATTAAAAATTATTCAATGTGTTAAAAAAAATAGTATCATTATTGAATTTTTAACATAGAAAGCTTACGTGCTGTTGGTTAAAAGTTTATTTAGACCTCTATCAATGTGTTTAGTTTCTCAAGTTAGGTTGTCATCATATAAAAAATTTGATTGTAATTTTCAAGGATAATATGATGATTTTCAGCAAGCAGTGTTGTGATCCTATAGCTTAAGTGACATAAACCATGTGTGGCAATTGTGCTTACTTACGTATCGGCAGTTTGTATCTGTGTCATTCATTTGACTTTGATTTCACCACTAATATAATAAGAAATAAATAATTTTCTCTCATTTTTTGTGCATATAGTTTTATTTATATATACGTAATGAAATAGATTGTGAAATTCTAATGCATCATTTGCTTTTTATGTCTACATTAAAAAATATATTCAATCTACTCAGTTAAAAATTTAAAGTTAAGACTTATTTTATTATAATTAATACAATATTCATTAAGAATTCATATCCAGTAAGAATTATTACAATTTTATGTTAACAGTAATGAATACAGCGCATTTATTATAACGTTTTGATTTTGATTTGTAGTTTATCTATACTTTAATGTATAAATTCATTCATTCAATTTTATAAGTCAAATCTCAATCAATGCACATGTGATGGTCATAAAAATTCAAATAAATGGATTTTATTCTAATCAGATTTATTTTTAATTCTTATCATCAATATAATTTTAAATAAATATATAAAAATAGAAATAAAAAATTATTGGAAGATTATTATTGTTATCATTGGTTTTACAATAACCTAAAATATCAAAATTCTATCATCAGCTAATTAAAAAAATATTTTAAATTACATTAAAAATCATATTTAAATCAATATAGAATTTTTAATCTATGATTTTTTTATTTAAGTTATATTTTTAAAAATTCATTTATTTAAAGAAATAATCGCAAGACAAGAATGTAATAGTAGAACTCATTCTTTGTTTATTATTTTTTGTATTATATAGTAGAATTTATGTATTATATAATATATAATATTTTAATTTTATATAATATATACAGAATTTGTGTATATTGAATGTTTTTGATTCATATTATAATATTTCTATATGAATTTTTATTTTACAGCTCTTTCTAAGGTTATTTTCCTTGAAATGATTCACATTTAAAAATTTATAGATTTCAATCTGAATAGAGCTGACATTTAAATTACTTTTACATCTATATAAAATCATAAAATCATCCCGAACATGATAGATGAAGTTCTGTATTTAGTTATAATCCCTTTCATTTACTTGCCCACTTGTACTGTAACTTTTCAATTACCTTCTATCAAGACTTGAAGGTATCTCGAAATGAACACAGAAAAATGTAATGAATTGTATTCACATCTATGAACAAAATACGAGCAAGCCTTTTGAATTACAATTTAATAGCTCTGTAGGATTTGAGACGAATGGAGGCAGGGAGATTGATTCTACAAAGAAAATTTCACTTTTGAATTACACATACAACTTTATGTTTACAGATTTTCCATCACTTTGGTAGATGCCTTATTATATGCATCATCTGGAATATAAAAGCCGAGACTTGATTACTCAGATACTCGTCCGAATTAGGAATATAATAATTTAAATGGTTAGATTTTTACTTCGAGAGATGATTTGTATAAAGGTAGGTAAACAAGAAACTTTATATTTTATTGAGAAAGATAAATTTCCTCAGGTTGGAGAAAAGCGAACACTAGATTCAAGAGGATACATTCCAACATGTCTATAGGTAAACCCTCAAACTGACGTTTAGATATAACAGTTTTCAGTAGATGAATAATAAAGAACGCAAAATATTGAAAACAAAATGATTTTGGATGCGGAAGTACTACTGTGCGGACACGCTAAAACAATATCTCCACCCACCGTCGATATGATCGACGGTTGCCTGCACTCTCTGGTTCTTAGGGTTTAGTTGGGGCTCAGTACTATGGTTGGTTCGATTCTCGTAGTCGGTCTCTTTCGCCTTCTCGTCGTCGCAAGCAGCAAGGCTTCTCGTTTCTCTCGATTTCTCGCCTGGACCAATCGTGTCGTCATTTTGATTCAAAATGGGTCACGCCGCTGTATGGAACTCTCACCCGAAGAAATTCGGACCCGGATCCCGCACATGGTATGTTTCGTTTTTCTCGCCTACCTTTAATTTCACTTCGATCGATGAAACATGAACTCTCATCACGTAAATTAGGTCAAGGCTGTGTAGTGTGTCGTAATTGATGGACTGTGGAATTCTGTCTGCGCGAATGCTCTCGTTCTGGTCGTAGTCTTACGTATGTTTATCATGCTTGGTGGACCTTTCGCCCTGTTTTAAAATTGTCCTACTCTCAGTCCACATTCATGAGAAGCCACAGCTTCAACGTTCATGTTCTAGTGTTCGTTCGAAGCCAATATCTGAACATAGACACACTAGTTTCGACTTGTGTACCCCAATCCTGGTTCGAGGGGAATTCTTCTGTTGATTTATCATCTGTTGTTATCGATTGTCAGCACTAGATGCATCAATAGCTTCGCCCATTAGATGGTCCATTTCATATCGCTTGTTTAGCTGCTGTTGTCTGCCCTTGTCTCGCTTCGTCTGGCTTCATAGGATCTGTGATTGTGAACTTTTAAGTGGGAATGCTCAATTGAATAGTGTGTAGTGGTGCCCACAGGTGAGGTTCTTTCCTTATCTCATTTTTATTGTCTTATTTGTGTGCCACACCAGCCGGGTCTGCGGTAACGGACATGGTTTGATCCGAAAGTACGGAATCAACACTTGCCGACAATGTTTCCGCATCTACGCCAAGGACATCGGATTCGTGAAGGTTCGTTACACTTTTCTCCTTACCGGTAATTTTTTCGGATGTATTTGGCCTCATCATCTACTTACTAGATAATGACGTTTGGAGTACCTTGTGTTCATTGTTCCCCATAACGACGCAACAATTTGGATCTGACTGGGACTTTTCTTGGCCTCTGTTATGCAGTACCGTTAAATACACGCAATGTGTATTTCTCATCCTCAAATTTTCCATGGACGAATTAGCATTGAAGTGAACGTACCACTCGGATGAATCAGATAGCTCAGGGATTGCTAGAATCTCTGGGTTGTAATTGAGAGTCCTTTCTGTAATTCATACTCAGTTGAGTACAGCTGATTTTCACAACCATTTTCCCTTTTGGTTTCATTCAGTGAATATATCTATAGCAAAAAAACTGGCCTAAGGTTTTATCTCATCTCACATGTGCGTGCATTATTTCGGATTGCCGTTGAGACCTGGTGATGTAAGGCGTGCTCTATAATTTTGTGTCGATCTTGATACCAAATGAACCAAGGACAAGTGAACATGAAAGCTATGAAATTCGTGGATCTCAGTGCATGGTAGGACTCAAAGCTCCATTTGCAAGCCGAAGAGTCTTGTGTACGAAGCAAGTGTCTTGTAGTAACTCTTTCTGTTCAATTTGAGAGTGTGAGAATGTGGGTTAATTACTGAGGTTTGGAATTTGGGCCGGGGGTAATCGCCTAGGCTGTGTGTCGATGGATAGTATTACCGCGGACGATGACTTTCTGTCGACAGTCATCTAGTTTTTCTTGTTTAACATGGTTTATGAAACCAGGAATTTCCATCTGAACTGATCAAAGTACTTGGAATGATAAATGACATTGTTGAACGTTGGTTCCAGTGAGAGTTCAGTGCATCTGCCAAATTTTCTGAGTAGGTTACTTAGTTTGGAAGTAGAAAACTTAGTTGAGACGGAGGATCACGGGAAACGATAATGCCGAGCAAGTTCTTTGGATTCCAGGTGAACGTCACTGTGAAACCGCCGAAGGGTCATGCAATGCCTGTCTCTTGGTCAGGGGCTTCTGGCCACGTCGTAAGAAATCTATCAATTACATCTCTTTAAAACATGCTCCGTCGTTTTTGCTAAGTTTGGAAGTACTTCACGACCACACTTTCATGCCATTTTTCAGTGAGTTGCAGTCAGTAATCTCGGCAGGCAGATGTAAGAGTAGGATAAAGTGCCGCACGTCGGTCCATTGTGGAACGGAACCGTGCAATCCTGCAAACCAAAAGTAACCACTATTAAATTATGTCGTATTACTTTGTTCAAAGAGTTTATGGGAATGTACGTTTGCATCATGTACGAGTAAGATCACACCAACTACATCATCCTCTTTTATCTTATGAATAACTTCTTGATACCGATGAAGGAGAAACTATAGTAGGTGAATAGGTCATCAAAGACTGTCGGAGCGTCAAAGATCACGTCCTGATACCTTGCATGAACGGGTTTGAATTTGCACCTTGATCTCATGATATTGAAGTTCAGATGTCCATTCATTCTTCTAATAACCTCGAAGGCCAAAGGCATATGCTAGTGAAGCGTCTTGCCTTTTCAACAACTCTGCCTTGCCAACCTGATCTCGAGAGAAACCTCCGATGAAGCCTTAAATCTCGGAGCGGTTAGGAAACAGATTTGATATAACAGTTCGGAACATAAGTTCACGGTTTCGAGTTGGAAGGTCTTGACAAGAATACGCGGACTGTGAAAACGAAGTGCAAAAATATGGAAAAAGTACACGTAATAGCACAAATATGAAGTGGCAGGTATGAATGAATGAATGTTCTAAGTCAAGATTATCGGTGACCGAGTTGCTGATGGAAACACTAATATCTACAATTCATCAAGCTGAAATTCTACGCTTCTTCGTCCTTGGTAACATGGTGGGAACGAATACCACAGGTGCAGAACAGGACAATTCATGTGCGTGAATATCTAGTGTTTAAGTTGGTGAACGATGAACCGGGAATGAAACAAGGAGAAGATTTTAAAAAATATATACTCAATTTTGACACGAGGGTCACAACAGATGATAAACTTGTGCATTGTATAGTCTACATTTTGGGCGTACACGGTGAAACCAGTAACAAAGAAGTCTGATAATTTAGCAAAGGTTGCCGCATGCACAGCACATGATTGGCAATTACTTCTCCAGTATCATGTTGCATAAAGAATTTGATACCTTCAGGCTTTGGCTATTGAGCATTCACTTCTCACGAGGCAAGAACTCCATCTTAACCATAAGGGAAACATCTTTCCCTTGAAAGCAAAACTTATATGTCCATGACAACGATATCAGATTGCTGGAACTGCACTTCGGAAGTGCAGAGTAGGATATGTTATGAAAATGCGTTGGCAATAAAATGCCCAAATGCGCACATATTGAGTGAGGAATCATCGTCTTCATAGAAGTGGAAGAAGGTCTGTACGGGGCTTCATAATGCCTGGCGGGCAACATAATGGACGTCGAAACAAAGCCGGGAGAAAATGTTGGCCCCAGCAATCGCCGGTGCGAGTTAAAATAACGGGTTCGCATTTCTTGGTTTGTTCCCATGGAGCGGGATTTTCTGGAGACTGAGCATTGATGCTGCAGCGATTTGGCAGTGGGGAACGTATGCTCCGCGCGCTTTGTAGGGCAGGGAGCACACGAGGCTGGACGAGAGGGAAGACGCAAATGGGGCCTGCTTTGTCGATGCCCTGCAGCGAGGTTCTTGGAGAAGGCGATTTTCGCAACCGATAGAAGATTTGTCGCACACCGCGGTCGTCGAACTCGAGCTCGAGCTGTCGCGTGTCGTCAGCGATGGAAGCAATTCGAGAGTGGTCACGTAGTTTCAATCAGCGGCAGGTGGTCACATCGTTCTCCGTATTCGCGTGTGCGGTGGGCAGAGGGCATAAGGTTTTTGGTGTGAGCACCGACTGAGTGCTGAAGGTTTTGCTCGTTATCGCAAAGTCGATGGCAATGACGGAAATGGCTCTCTCAACGCAACAACAGACAGCGAAGCCCAAAGTGAAGGAGAAGAAGCCCAGTTCTGCCCATTCGCATTCTTCAGGGACGAGCGCGAAGGGCAGGAACGTGGTCGATCGCAGACCTAGTCAGCTTGAAGTGGACATGGCGCGGCAAGATCTCGCTAAAATTGCGCAGCCAGATACTCAACGTCCATTCTCTTCGCTTGCAGATGCTTGCGACAGGTATATTACGAGCGCAAACCTGCTCTCTTTTTGTTCCGTTCGTGTATGCCATACTTTCCGTCCTGAATTGTTTTGTGACGCAAATTGTCTCAATGTGCAATCGACGTCCATTTGACACGTGAACGAAGTCCGCGGGTCCTGAATGCCATGACCGAGAACCTTTTCTCAACATTCAATTGCCAACAGGACAATGCTTTCTTTTTCTCCTCTTCCTTCCGATTGAAGGCAGCTGGTTTTCCGAACTTCAAGGAAATGTTTGTCCAGTCTTTTCAAGACGCAGACATAATTACTTCAGACGAAAATCACCTTCAAACTTAGGTTGTTAATGGTCATTTCCCAGTACGGAAGAGGTGGAATTTCGGTAGGCATTATTGGCCCGTATTTGGTGGATTGCAAGACTTCAGCTCATTCACTTTATTTTCACGCATTGAACGAAGCGCACCGATTGCAGAGTTTGCAGGACGATCTTTTATACGCTGCCCTTAAAAATGAGTAGTATAGTGATTGCATTGAGGATAGCGTTTTGACGTATGTAATTGTAATTTTCTTGAACAATGCCGTGGACCATAGTGTGTCATTTCGAATGCTTGAAACGATCTGAAAGACTCAACATTATTCTTGTCGAATATCAGCGGCCGAGAATTCATAATAAAAGAATCAAGTTTGTTAGGGACTTTGTCGATCGAGATACTGCTGTCAGGGAGAAATGACTGCGTTTATGCTGATGTGATTTCCCAGGCTTCTGCCTTATCATATCTTGGCGGAATATGATGTGGAGGAATGCGAGGAGAAAGAAGGGATGGAGCTTCTTTCTAGGTCTAGGGCATGGGAAGAGTCTCTGAGAACTCAAACCCTAGAGTTCATGGCTACACTGGAGAAGCAGGTGGTCACATACAACACCATCATCAAGAAAAGGAGTGAAGGGTCGATGAGGGGTGAAGAGCGAATGATGGTCGAGCAATCATTCCTCTCGGACGAGAAACAGAAGTTGATGAATGTAAGGGCTCAAATTGAAGCCAAAGATAAAGCCGAGAAGGAGGCAGCAGAAGCTAAGGCCAAGGAAGCTGCAGTTTTGGCTGAGCGAGCCCGAGCTGAGGAGCAAGCACGGGCTGAAGCACAAGCGCAGGCCGAAGCAGCACGTTTCGAAGCCGAGTCGAAGGCTGAAGCCCTTCGTGCAGGAGCAGATACATTGCCTAAAGTAGAGAACCAAGTCAAACCCGACACCAGCACAAGTGCTGCCCAATCCTCTGGAGCTGTAAATGTTCTGGGAAAGTCAGGAACGTTCAACGACGGAAGCTGGCCCAGAGTAGAGAATGAGGATGAAGACTTGGAGGAGGAAGATGATGAAGATGGTGAGGATTTAGAAGGGGTATGGGACGAAGAGGGCGACGTGGACGAGGAGGATGACGATGAAGATGACAGTGATTCATTAGGTACGAGCTTGTAACCTGATTCTGAGAATCTGGTGGTTACTCAAGATCTCTCACTGGAAGCCTTGATTAGTTGGTTTACGGTCTTCGAAAATGTGAACTGATGTTCGTAGATATTGAACCTCTGAAATCTGACGAACCTAGATACACAGAGTTTTTGTTTCATAACTGAGGTCATTGAAATTTTGCGCAGAGACGTAAATTGTTGTTCCAGGCTGCCTCCACGAGGGGCAGATGTATATGTGCACCGGTCCATTCACCGCCCTGGAGTTGAGTTTGAGACAATAACCCTCACGATCTATGCATCAAGTGGCACCTGTGGATCTGCCAGGGGGATCATTTCGCTAGACTGCATTTCAACGAATGTGCATACTGTACTTTTGATTCGGCAAGTAGTCTTTGATGAGTGTTCAATACTCAATATCTGGATTCTGGAATCAAGCTATACAGCGGGGGCGATACATCCTTAAAAACTTCATAGTCTCATGGACTCCTGGCTCGTCCACATGAATTAGGCTAGCCCAGGGCATGCACAGAAGACAGAAGTCTCCAGGGCTCCTATTTGTAAGGACTGACGCAGAGGCTCAGGAATTTTATACTGAAGACAGAAGTCTCCAGGGCTCCTATTTGTAAGGACTGACGCAGAGGCTCAGGAATTTTATACTGAAGGCTTTTGCTGTACCACTTTCACTTTGTTCTCGTCATAAAGTTATCAAAGGTTGCTTTCCTGCTCGTCTCAGCCGATGTGTATCTCGCTGTCTTTCAAACCGTGACTTTACCTCGCACAGCGAGAAGAATTCTGAATGTCTATCTCTCCACAAAACTTCTGATCCACAATCGTGACGCCGATCGACATGCCCCTGACGACAGTTCTCACCGTGTCAAATAAATGCTTCCACCCACGTTGCGCTCACAGCGGAGAGTAGAGAACAGAAGAGAATAGAAGGGCACACATAAAGAGCACCGTCGAGGATTGCGGCAGCCATTAAAGTCATTGAAGCCATGGAATCCATGAGAGCTTCGAGAGCCCTCGAGAGTTGTGGGACTCGCGAATGAGAGCATTTCCTTCAGGCCGCTCGAAGAGGCGCAACCCTGAAGGCACCATGACGTGTCTGTATATGAGACACGTGTCTCTCTCCTATTGCTCGAAGCCCGCGCCGGAGCTCCGAACATGGCGACGTGGCGATTCTTCCCCACGCTGGCTTGCTTACCTGACTCGGAGACGAGACGCGGAGGCGCCGCGGAGCAGAGTCCGGAGAGAAAGCGAATTCGAATTCGAATTGAGTAGCGGTAGGAAGGAAGGAACGAAGGGCGCCCGACGACGCGATCGGTTCGAATTTGCGGACGAGGCGAGCCGCTCTCGTCGATCTTCGTCCGATTTATGAATGGCAACGTCTTTCCTTCTTTCTTGGGCAGGCGCTCGATAAGAGTCGGACGTGAAACGAAATTGACGCGTAGAATGACATTTGGCTGAATGAATGATTGATTGCAGGGGAGGACGACATTTGGCTGAATGAATGATTGATTTCAGGGGAGGACGACGACGAGAGGAGAGAGAGAGAGAGAGAGAGAGAGAGAGAGGATTGCGAGAGAATTGCAGGTGCGTGAAATGGCGATTGACATAATAAATGCACCACGAAGGAAAGAAGTCTGTAGAGGAAGGTGAGGAAAGAAGACCACGTCGTTCCTTGCACGAGTCCACTGGACTTCTACGTGTATCAACATCCTTTCGGGAAAAGTGATGGTAGGAGGAAAAGTCTGCGTAGGATGCGCGGAATAGCATGGGAATCGGATGTTAAGAGGAAGACTGAAAGCGAGGGTGCAGAATCTGCTAATCTTTCTGGAATGTCAGGTAACGTCTGTTTATGGCTTATGAGCAACTTTATGTGAAATGGCTGCAGATTCTAAGTTTTCCAGCACAGTACTCGGACTCTAATGAACTGCTGCGGTGACGACATTTTCACTTTAGCTCCTCGCTCCAAATGAATCAGCAAGCAACCGGGCTTGAATGTAGTCCGATGAGTAGATGTTTGGGAGGTCCTCGGAAAATCCAACATTACTACACGGCATTGCAATACTCTAGAGCTGCATACGAGTTTTTGTTGACTTGTGCTGACTTCAAAAAATTCTCTCCTGAGATTCTGATGTAAATTGAGTTCGTGACGATCACGTTATCTTTCACAATCCAAAAAAAGAACATGTATCAAGTGTCTATCGAGTTTTTCCACCTGTTTCCACTTGCCCAGAAGAGCAACTAATCTTTATTCTCAGGCCGAAAGTTCGTAGAAAAGTTTGGACTTGTGAATTGCTCAGAGGCTGCGCATGACAATGAGTAGCACGACTGCGAGCCGACTACCTGCGTTCTAGATTTCACTGCGATTACTTGTACACACGAAGTGCCTAACAACCGGTCTTGTGCTGCGTCTGAAATGGGGAAGGAGATCTCAATAACAGATCTTCCTCAATTTGCGATGTGAAAGTCTTCCTCGTTTATCGCTCAGCATTTCGTTGACTGTGTATTGAAACTTAGAGACGTAGAGTGAGAGCCGGTCGAAGTCGAAAGCGGACAATTTCGAATTCTTCTCCGCTCAATGGAGAAGTTGGGAGTCTTGCTCGGTGCTTGCGATCAGGTGCCATTATCGACATATATATAAACAGTGTGCATTCCTGCATTGTAAATCCACCACTCACTTCTGAGACAAAACTTCTGGTATGAGCCGTGAATATCAACAGGCTCAAAGTCTGAGACTCGGAGACTCTGACTCGTAGGTGAAGTCTTGTTTCCCTACACCGGTACACTAGTTCAGGTGGCCAAATAACGAACCTATCCATGCTTCTCCAACGCGGTCACCAAATACCGCAAGGCAAAGCTGGACTTCGGTACAGAAGGACACTGGCACAAATTTCTTTGGTGGCAGGATTAATCTTTCTTTACTCACTGCAACTATACTTTTTCACATATCTGCAAACATTCAATCTGAAGTACACTGAAGTATTTCTCGGAGAAGCAGAATAAATTCTGAAGTTGCTTGCCTTGATCGCATTATGGCACGACAACGCTCCAAGCTACGTCTCGTGTTTGTTTTCCTGCTCTCCCTGCTCAACACGAGTCAGATAGGACGCATCGGTGCAATTCAATTTGATTACAAAGACGCTCTATCCAAGTCCATTCTCTTCCTCCAGGCGCAGCGATCAGGAAAGCTTCCAGACGATCAACAAGTTACATGGCGTGGAGACTCTGGCCTCCAAGATGGCAATCTTGCTAATGTAAATCTACCACACCTGTAATTTTTGCATGAAGTCTACATATTTCTTACTTGAAAGCCATGAAATTCTCTTTGATCGAAGCAAGTCGAGGATTGTTTTTACTTTATTATCCGTAGGACGCCACTCGCACCTTCGTGGATGAAAATGTCAGACAACGTCCTCGGACTAACATGAAGAGTTTGTCCACACAGGATCATATTTACAGCGAGTAGTCGAGTAGAAATGCACGTGCTTGAACAAGTCCCTTGCTAGAAAGGTATATCTAGAAGTTTGTTAAGATATCTTCAGTTTCCATATGTATGTACAGAAACGCGATTCAAATCTGACCATGCGACGATTCCGAAGACTCTTCCTCATTCTCTAGGTCCCTCAGCCTCGCCATATGGCAAAATCAGATCCGGTCCAGCAATGTTTGAGAAATTTTTCATTTTGGGTTCAGCAATTGATCGGAATCTTGTCAGCACATCGAAGCTACCAGGTGTATTACAGCATTCTCCGGTGGATGTATCGCTACTGGCCGCCGGGATGCTTTAAGCTGTTATTGGCAGTCCAGAGAGCCCACTGCTGCGTTCTAGTTCTCCTCCTAGACGTACTAATTAACTGGTCCTATAACTGATGCAAATTGATGGCTTACTCGAGGCTGCTGAATGTAAACTCGAATTATCACAATTCGTCATCTTCCTTCTATGGCATGCAAGTCGAGATGTCGGATCGATTTTGCCTTCAGTGTTGAGACCAGCATGTGCTGATCGAGGCTTTTGTTCCATCTGCAAGGGTAATAATGGAAAGAAAGAAAGAAAGAAGTTTTGAGATGCATGGAATCATGACAATCGATACAACTCCTTTCTGTGGGTCCAGGTGGATCTGACAGGGGGCTACTACGACGCCGGTGATAATATCAAATTTGGATTTCCAATGGCGTTCACTGTCACCATGCTCTCGTGGAGCGCGATAGAGTACACCAGACAAATAACCCAGGCAGGAGAGATGGAAAACTTACAGTCAGCCATTCGCTGGGGAACGGACTACTTCCTGAAAGCTCACACAGGCCCTACACAGCTTTATGTTCAGGTATCTTCAACTCCCAGCTTCAATCCTCAACGGGTGAAATCAGACAAAGACGAGTGATTCCTCGATGAAGGAAATTCAGATGTAGATCTAACATTCAGCTTCAGCTTGGAAACGCCCCTTTGTATATGATTGTTCTCCGCCTCCGTCACATCTCAGACACAATAATAAACAACTGAGGGTATATTCCCCTGCGGCAGAAGATTCCGAGGCAAGGGTAGTTTACGACTTGTCTCCTAGGCACGAAGTTCATGAAGTTGAAAATGCAATTCATGATTGTCGCATGCTCAAATCTTTCTTTCCGCGACGACTGGCAGGTGGGAACACCTAGTTCAGATCACAATTGCTGGGAACGACCTGAAGATATGGATACTCCACGCAATCTTCTCCAAGTGAATGCGAGCTCTCCAGGCTCCGACGTGGCTGCTGAAACAGCGGCTGCGCTGGCAGCTGCGTCTATCGTGCTGAGAACTACTGACGAGGCCTATGCTGAGCAACTGTTCAGTTCTGCAACCCAAGTACTGAAGTTTTTCACTATCAAGTGTCCAAATACATTCATCTGCAGTTTGAACTCTTAGACTAGTGAGGTCTAAATGTTTAGTTTCAGATTATGTTGAGAAATCATCTTCATAAATACCGTCCCTTCTAGTCCTCTAGTATGAACATTACTTCCAGTCTAAAGTAATGATGTTCTCTCTCTCTACTTGTTTCAGTTCCTGTCGTCAATTACGGTGGACGAATCACCATTCGTCCAATATATTCTCATATGGGTTAATTTGTATGTGTTCAGCTTTTCCAATTTGCAGACACATATCGCGGAAATTTTACAGGAGCATGCCCCTTTTACTGCTCTTATTCTGGATACCATGTAAGTGAAGCTAACGGAAATTCGCATAAATCTGCGGCTCGACATTCTGAAGCTTGCATGCATCTTTCATAATCCAAAGGTGTGGGCTGATTTGATTTGGCTTGGCCCATTCCAGGATGAGCTACTCTGGGCAGCAGCATGGTTATACAAAGCGACCGGGACAACATCGTACTTACAATACGTGGTTGAAAACAAGTGCTGGGTATCCACAGTCAGTGAATTTAGCTGGGAAAACAAAGTGGCTGGACTGGATGTGCTCATGTCTAAGGTCGGTTGCATTCTTCAGTAATTTCTCTTGGGTCATATAGTCGAATCACTTCACTCGTCTTTCAACCAACTCCTGGAGTGAACTTTGGGTCAGCTTGAGACCAAATTTGCGAAATCAGCAACTCATCGTGTTGGCAAAGGCATGAGTTGCATGCGTGCATGCAATCCTTGAGTTCCTGTAATTTCCTGTTGATTTTTGTCTTCACGCTGGAGTAGAAACTAGATGTCATTATCATTATTATTTTATTTGAGATATTATTTCAAATTCTTAGTTTGCCCTTGGGATCTTGTACTCAACCCTCTGCCAAGTGGTGCATTGATCCTATAAATAAATCATAGTATACTGAGGGAATTAGTACCGTAATATAATTGAGAGTAAGACGGCTTCAAGTTTAGAGTCGACGTGTATACATGCTAACCATATTCTGTTACTTTAGACAATTGCACCCCTTGTATACATGGCGCCACTCATCTCAAAGGATTGATGTCCTTCGAAATGAAGTGCAACCCTGTGTGCACATATAGGATGGAAAATATTGATAGAGTTCCAAGTTAGAGAAATGAATTCGCAGCAAGCAATCTTTTGTGATCAACTTCTGTGGCTTTGCGTAATGAGAGCGTCTTTTATTGGTTCTTTGAAGTGATTCTTTCTAGTTTGCAATCTATTTGTCTATGAGTACTGCTGTATCTATCTGTTTACTCACGAGTAGTGATTAAAAGAGTTTATTGAAGTCTTTCGAAAAGAACATAGTGTACTATGAATTGATTATGTAGTTTCAAAGAAAGCGCATGTTAGCTTTGTATTCCAGGGACTTTGGTCCTCTTGAACAAGGGTGTTGACATCGGAGACGAATCTGTGAATGCAGCTCTACTTGTCAGGGCAGTCTTCTCTGAAGTCCTACAAGTCGGATGCTGACAGTTTTATATGCGCCAATCTTCCCGGTAGTCCTTCCCGAAAGACCTCAACCACACCAGGTATACATCATGTCGAACAGCAATTTCGTAACGATCAAATACATAGTAGGGTAATGAGTCAACAACTACAAGTACAGGCTGCGGTTATCCAAGCATGAAAGCACATGATAAAAGCACATGGTGAGGGTGACGAAGAAGTAACGTTCTTCTACAGAAGGTCCTTATACGCAGTCAACGTACATGTCCTTCCAACTGGAAGTTTTACGTACTTTCGATCTGGTTGCTCGATACTCCATATGCAAGTCTCTCTTACATGTCACGGACTTCTCCCATGATCTTTTCTTCAGGTGGACTGCTGTATGTGAGAATTGGCTCCAACACCCAGTACGCAATCAACATGGCCTTCCTGGCGGGTCTTTACACTGAATACCTCGAAAGCGCTAACATCAATCAGGTCATGTGCGGCACGGAATCTTTCACGCTCAACGATATTGTGTCCTTTGCTGATAGCCAGGTAAGCATTCCATCGTCACATTTGCTCGTAAAGCTGATGCTGAAACTGCAGATCGTGGTAAAATTCAGCTCTAACTATGGACAGGGGCGGAGCCAGAATTTTTCAGGGGAGGGGGGGGGGGGCGAGGGGGGGGCTACCCGCCAATTTCCAATTAAAATTTTTTCTCGACCTCGTTTTCACATTCTGTAACTCACAATCTGTGTAGACTCTTCCTGGGCTTGGGGGGGGCATGGCCCCCCCCTGCCCCCCACTGTGGCTCCGCCCCTGACTATGGATCGCAAGGTTCTTACTGTGAACGGCTTACTTAAGAAAATAGAGCAATCTGATCGTATTCTATGATCAAGTTACAAGGCACAGCCCGAAGGACTTCTACGTCGATAGACATTTAGAAAATCCTATACTGGGAGACACCTGTTCTTTTTGAATTGCATGTGCATGCCCTCGCATTCTCCTCTTCTTTTTTTAGAATACATTTGCGTCTTTCAGGCGCCAAGTGTGTGCACCACAGCCGAATTGAACCATCGGTCTTGCAAGCGTCTTGTAAGATTTGTTTCTTTCAGAGGAACGACTCGACGGGCCAATGTTTCTTTTCGCTGTTGACGCCACAATTTACAGTCAGACAGAGGGGACGATATGAGATGTGATGTGGACTCCATCGTTGGACAATGTGCGCAGGCAAATTACGTTCTGGGCTACAATCCTGCTAACATATCGCTGATGGTGGGATTCGGTAGCAATTATCCTCAGCAGGCACATCATCGTGGGGCCTCCATTACATCGATCCACATCATGCCGCAAGTGGTCGGCTGTAGTGCCGGATTCAATAAATGGTATTCGAGGAATGCTCCTAATCCCAACGTATTGACGGGGGCAATCGTGGGCGGACCCAATACCGTCGACCATTTCGATGATAAAAGATCCGACTCTTCCTGCACTGAGCCGACCACATACGTCAATGCTCCCTTCGTGGGTATGATGGCGCGCATGGCTTACAGCAAGTCCGTGTCTTTGACGGAGCCGGTCACTACCGACTGACAACCTCGCTTCAAGGCCTTTTCGTGTAAATCGGATGGATTCGAGGTTCGAATCCATGTACAAAGAATGACGAGATTGCATTCCCATTGTAGCAGAACGAGCTCTCAGATAGGAGTTTCATGTTCAGTACTGTAGTGCTCGACAAATAGATGTAAATAATTTCGCGTAGACTAGTGAACAGATTATTTAGGAGGTGAATCAGGTCTACTGTAATTAATTCGTTCCTCTTCTGTAAATGACCTGATTCAGCTTCACAGGCAGCTCCTAGACATAGATTCTCTGGTCAACTGGACTCTATCTCAGCCCCTTCACTTATGGGATATAAGGATATCTGTATCATGTACATTTGTTGACATAATAATGGTAACAAGGTACTTTTCATTCTTCTGAAATAGAGTTCGTGCATCTCAAATTAGTGGATCTTACATTTAACCCACCACCACATTCCTACAGTCGAGTCTTGAATGCCAAGGCCTTGTAGAGTCAAACAGACCTTCCAATGCTCAGATCTCAAGCTTCTCTTCCATGTTCTTTCCACAAAATCCGCTGGTCTGCCTTCGGATTCTGTTGTAGAACAAGCTCTGTAGGCTGGATTGTTTCGGCTGATTCTCTGTTGGATTTAACTAGTGTTTTGATCACGGCAATGTCTCACGCAAAATGGGATGTCACCTAGATTGTTTACACACATGAACAGCTTGCCTCCCTGTCCATACATAATAGTTACGGCTTGCAGGGCAAAATCATTCCGAATGCGCACAATTTGACTGTGCATGAAACAAAAGCATGGCGTACGTAGAGAACTATTCGTCAAATCACAAGTTGCACCCAGAACCACTTTATTGAATTGGAGAGAATGCCGTCGGATTCGGTATGGAAACATCTCAATGCAGAACATCATGACTGCAGCTTTGCTTCGATGTATTTGGCCATTCCGCGGAGATGGTCAGCTCCGCGAGTCAAAAATGCGTTGAAGACAAATGGTGGCAAGAGTCCTCTTGGATCGCTGTGTACTATGGATGTAAAGTGCGTATGTATACCATCGTCGACTGGCTCTAGTAAGCTTAGGCTCATCAGCATATCCGATCTCACCATACCTGATTCCTGATAGACATCAATAAACACGAAGAAAGCGACAATTATATCAGTAACGAAACGTAAACCTCCTAAATCACCACCGCGTCAAATCAAAGGTAAGTATCAACGACATACTTCAACTTAGGACATGATTCCTTTCCAGTTGGAGGCACAGAGTCACCTGCTAATTCAAGGTAACCTGTCAACCACCAAGCCAGAAGCAACTTAACAATCTATAACACGGATGAAGGAGGATGTTTTGTTTCAGCACTTACTATTGGGCATAGCGGATGATCGACTGATATGGCTGAGACATAAAAGAACAGATGAGATGTAACTCGTCAGCGCTCGTGTCCCTTCCTCAAATCATTTGCTAATGAAAGAGGACTGATCAAACAAGAAGAAAGGAGGGAACTGCTTCACTTAGAACTAAAATTCAAAGGTTGACATCATTCATATATTCATCAACCCAGTGTAAGTAGTAATGATTAGAGTCGCGTACCGGCAACAGTGAGGCCTTTGGCATCCTTGAGTGATTCAAACGTCGAACTTTCCATTATGCTCGTGTAGAAACAACTGCCTCTCTTATCGATGACAGGAAACTCATAAACAGCGCTCATAACCTGTGGCAGTTCAGATGATTCTATCAAACTCAATGAAACATCCATTTTCATGGTCATTCTGATTAACTACACGTATGATAAAAAACAGCACACTCGTACTGACCTTTCAATTGTTTGGATTCATTGTCGACACAGGAAACTGAAAACAAAGCTCTGCAATGATGGCAAATTCTAAATGAGGCAATCTAGTCTCTTACAATATTCGAATCTTTTGGACAGAGACCTATCATATTAGAAGTTTAGGAACTACCTCCAATACGGTTTGTAAAGCCACGACAGAGGTGAAAGCTGAAAGAGTACCTTGGACGTGGGGTCAATTTGTTCGATTGTTCTTGAACTAACATAGGGATTCCAGTTCTTCCACACCTCCATGTTGCTGTAAACCTCCATTACTTTTTTTATTGGTGCTTTGATAAGTAGCTGCATACAATGGAATGATAGTTATAGACAATTGGCGCATATACACAAAAAGTCTGAGAAGAAGTACAGAAAGGGCAAAGTTAGGAAACCCTCGTCATCGGTAAAGACAGAGTGATTCGAAATTATTGTGTCTTCACCAATGACAAGGGTTTAAGATCTACTGCCACATTGTTAAGAAAGGATAGAGTATTCGAGAGGCAAAAGGGTCCAACAAGCTAAATCAATTCAATCAAGGATGCCTCTGATTCATTGACATCAAGGTTTTTTGGCCTGAATGCACAAGTTGGGAAGAATGGAGCTGGTAGGTTAAGGCACAAGGAACTTGCCTTGCTACGAATGCACGAGACCTGACTGCCTTCGATAGTCCGTACCCAGACCTTCACTCCATTAGCATCACCTTCCGATCCCCATCCTGACTCAGACAAAGATAGATAGGTTTTTACTCGTTCGAGAAGCTCAGCGCGAATGGCTGCATAATCAGGTGGCACGACCTTGCCTTGCTCCAGCCCCACCTGATACTCGATAGCAACCAGTGTGACATAGCATGTGTCACATACCCGTTGTTTATTGGGCCCATAGTTGTAATTCTCCGGGAGAACTACTCTATGCTCGCTGCATTTGTCACAAACTACCTTCCCACATCCTCGGCTGCAAGATAAAGCAAGCAAACATCAGCAACTAACAGATTCAAACGCGATTCAGATTTACCAGCTAAATGCTTGGGTCTCTAAATGCAACATGTATTTTGACTTTTGTTATTTTCTGGATATTAAGAAGTGGAAGACCACCCAAGAGATAACGCCAACATCTTCAGTAGCAAAGACACTGACATGATTGCGTATCAAAAGTATCAGTATCCACATCACGTATGAAAACAATTGATCTGGGTTAGAGGTTATCCTGTTTCACCACTACTTTTACAGATAAATTGATAACGTCCTCGCTTAGGGCATGGTAACAGCGCTAGAATTCTACCCTACTGACCAGTTCAAGTGTTGTCCTTCCTCTTTGAACACTTGTTATATAATAAGCACAATGCCAGCTGCTAAATTTTGACCTTTTATTCTTCTTTACGAGATAGGATAACTCTGGGATAGATTGGAAAATTACAAAAAAAGAAGCGATATATGGTCAGATAACGAAAAATGACTTGATTTATCCCATGCCTTCCTCCTATGAACACTAGAGATCAGTCCCTGAACGTTCATGCCCGTTCGGGATCCGGCCTGCCTTTTTTAATTTCCCCAGCGTACTTCTTTCAGGAGTAAAACTGCACATCCTCGAGCTCAAGGATCTAGGAGAGAAGCAAGGTGCTAGTGGATTGTTGGTGTTACCCTTTGCTTGAGAAAGATAACATTCTAGAAATCTTTCACTGACCATCATAGAACTACATTAAACTTAAATTTTAATATAAAGAACACTGAAAAGTGTCCATTGCTCTGAAATAAAGCCTTCTGCGCAGGTTGAGGTTTTTCAGGCATATGCGCCATATTCTTATGGAGCAAGGAGTAGAACCGAAACCACATTTTTTTGGGACCATGATCAAGGCTCATCTCGTCCTCAGAACTGCTCATCGACCTTTGTCGTGAGAACTAAATTGCAAGACGACGGCCATCCTTGGAAGTAAGAAGGGATTGCAACAAACATGCGCCTTGCTGAGCCATAAAGTCTCTTACATTTGCCCACCAGATTGACACAGATCCATCGCTACAGTCATTGGAGCAAGCTCAACTGAAGGCATTTCCGTCGTCGGCAGTCGACAATGAATACAACAGTGAATGAGAATAGTAAGTCGTTTGAAATAGTTTCTAGCAGCACGTCAGGAGAACAGTACTCCGTGAAGGTGACTGCCGCGCACCTCCATATCCATTAACAGGAATTTCAACCTATGAAAAACTAGGCTCCAGCAGCTTGGAACTGAGGAATTCAATTTCGAGTGGGTCTTAAACGTCATGATTCGAGGTCTAACCTCTTCAGCTCCCTACGAATTGTACACACAATATTGCATGGGCTCTGAGCGACTTTCATTCGGCTTATAACTTTTCAAGGCGTGTCAGGTATTAAGGAAGGAATGCAGATGTACCAGTGGTGCCGCCGGTACACCAATGTGAAATGACGCCGACATTTCTCACACGAATTCGATTCCGAGTTGGCCTGAAATCGACGAAAACGAAAAGCTCGGTCAGTTATGCTCAATCAGCGAAGCAGGACACAAATTTCTTTCTCAGTTCTAAAGACTTCCTTGTGCGTGACGTTCATCAACTTATTACTTTCTAGAGACAAACTCGACAAGTACAAAGGTTGGGCGGATACTCCAGAATTACGCTAGAAAAGCGGACAGAAAAGCAGAGTCATTACCTGGACACAAAAACGTCAGATCGATATAGCAGCAATTTCTCAAATTCAGCTCAATCGAAGCGTTTCCAGAACATCACCCAGCAGAAGAATTGCACATACTACCACAGCTAAGATCGGCAGCCCAGACGAGGCGCATGGCCATAAAGAGAAGAACACGACGCCGCATTCCAGAACGGAACGAAACTTACGGGTCCAATGACCACGGACACTCGCAACGCGGTCAACAGATCGGTGAGCAATTGAGTCATAGAGCTGTTTCTAGCGATGATCGATGAATTCCTGAGACGGAGAGAGAAGAGAGAAGGCACGCCAACAGCCTCACCAAAAAAAGAAAAAAAAAAGGAAGAAGAGAAAAAAACACTTGCCTGCCACGCAGGTCGAGATCCCGTCATGGCACGTAGCGTCGCAGCAGCAAATACTCCTTCGACCGACCGACCGACCGATGCTGTTGTGCTCGTTGCTCCTTTCCTGGCTTGCTCCCTGTCGTCGCAGATGCTGCTGCTGCTTCTTCTTCTCCTCCTTCTTCTTCTTAATCTTCCGTTCCGTTCACGAGGGACAAGAAGGACGATTTTCTTGACCGCGTTCGCAACAACAACTGACAGTGTCCGCCGAGCGACGCCACAGCCCCTGCCCCCTCTCTCTCTCTCTCTCCCTCTCTGGTGTTGCTAATTCCTCCTCTTCAGAAGCGGCCAACGAAGGCCAGGGGGCAATGGTAGGGGCCTTCAAATATCCTCGCTTAGCCCCGACGACCTACCCCCACCCCCAGCCCCACCCCCACGCCCGTTTTCAACAAAGGCGACGCAACACCACGCCAAGCCCGACGCTCCTCCAGCCCCTTCTCATTTTAATATTTAAAACGACCGCACCTTAATGGATGGGAAGCTGGAACGAACGGACGAACAGATGGACAGAAAAGCGGTCCGTCGGTGGTCCCGGCACTGCGTTGATCACTGAATCTCAAGGATTGGATGTAAATACGTACATATTGTCATGTATTGGACAATAGAGTACGGTTCTACGTAGTGATCAGCGAACGAATCGCGTGCGATTCTTCGTGAATCGGGGGAATTATTTGCTCCATTTGGGGTCCGACGAAGATGGACGGACTGATGGGAGGTTTGACTTGGCCGACAGACAGACACATCATCATGGTCTTGCATGCGGACGTGGCTGCTGACGTGGTGATGTTCTCCTCGTCCAGTGCCGACAAGCTTTTCTTCCGTCTGCTCGTCGCGATTCGGTTCGAGATCCGCGGGCGCTAAGCTAAGCCCACTGATCTAAGCACCCCCGGACTTACCTGGCTCTGGATGAGTGCTTCTCAGGAGGGCGTTTCTCGATTTCCACGTGTCGCCGGCTCCATCTGCTGTCTGCGCACTTGTGCACACTCGCGAGCGTTTTGGGCGACGCTCTCGCTGGCAGTCTGGGCTTGGGGGCTTTTGTGGGGCTTGGGCTTTGGGCTGGGGTTCGAGGCCTCGTGTGCATGTGTAGTAGTAGTAGAGGAGGAGGCTCTCGCTGGCAGTCTGGGCTTCGGTCCTTTTTTGGGGCTGGGGCTGGGGCTGGGACTGGGGTTCGAGGGCTCGTGTGCATGTGTTGTAAGTAGTAGAGTAGTAGAGGAGGAGGGGCTCGCTCTCTGTGAGCGTCGCTGGGACCCCCAGCCCCACCCCCAACCCCGCGGATGGTGGTAATGCTGTAAACGCTGGTTATCCGACGGACGCGTTTGACTTTCGCGGGGGCTCGTGGCCGAACAAGATCTATGCCGGAACTCGCAGGCCTTTTCTTCGCAGCCACTGCCTGCGCCTTTCTCGGGGGCTGGGGAGCCTGCCTCTGACAAGAGTATTGTTGCTGCACCTGTCCCGTTCGCTCGGAATATGTAGCTTCGGCCGACGGCACGAATCGATGCGGTTCGTGGCGGAATTGAACTCGCAGGCAATGGTGGTGGATTTCGACGAATTGGAGTGTGCATTCAATCGCTGCACTCCGCTCGCCCGACTGAAGTTCCCAAGCTGCCGGTTTGGTCTGAGGCGGAAACATGTCATATGCGAATGGAAGTTCCAGGCCATAGAGATTTGGCACCTTAGAGATTCGGTCGAGGCAACTCAGATCCCGAGGCTGCAGGTTTGGTAAACGACGGGATTCACGTGCAAATTTCAAGACGAGAAATCTGGAGCGATGACTGAAGCCCTTCCCTTTCACTCGTCGACTTCGTTGGTGTATCAGTTCTCTTCCTGGTCGGTGTCATTGTGATGTCGTTCTTCCGGCACTGTGTTGCGATTTTACCTCCTCCTCACCTGTCGACTGTACATGCACAGGCTGTACTCCAAGTGCACCTGGCGCTGGTGGCAGGAGCATCGCTTTCTATCTGATACTCCGAGCCTTCGTCCTTTCAGACCGCCCTTCCCAAAAGAACAAACGGATGTGAGGAATAGAGCAAAGTGGCCATGCTTTTTTTCTGTTTCCTCAGGTCGGTGTGACCATGATTTCCGTCATTTCTGCAGTCTCTAGCGATTAGACCTCCTCGATCCTTGGCCTGCTGTGCAGATTCTTCTTGACTGGGTCACTGGCGATAGTGGCCATGTTCACCATATTGCATAATCAAGTATGATTCGGAAGATCTGCACGTAGGGTAAGTAAGACACACGAGACAACAACAGCTGCACAAATCACGGCGAACCAAGGCTTCAAGCCGAAACCATGACACCCGGGTGTAAGCACATAGGGCATAGAAACTTGCAGCTAATCGTCAGCGATGCTCACAAATGCTTCTGGTAGAAGCATCTATGGGTGCACGCAGGACCCATTTTACATCTCTGAAACGAGGAGAGGTCCTACCAAGTAAGGCAGAAGATGGTGAACGCAAACCCTTACCCGACCACTGCAGAGCTCAAGCACTGCTGCATCAAGGACTTCCGACGCAATATCTATCGACTCGATCAAAGATGAACCTCGAGTTTAGAATTGGCCGGATTGCATCTGCTTCGTATGACAACGCGGAGCAGCTGTGATCCGGCCACTACTGTGAAAGAAGTGGATGTCAAAATCAGCCGGATGTGAAATTTTAGATCTTTGATCATAGTTTCTGCAGGTGCTTTAGAATTCTATCCGTTACTTTAACAAAACATATCCATCATATTTTTCACAGGTCAAATTTCTGGACAAATGGTTCCAAGGCCACCATAGCTTCCCGGATAGATTAATGAATGGTAATTGGCTACATACATCCAGGGGATCTGTACCCTTTCGTGACCTTGTTGTGTCCACGAGAACTTTATGGCGAACTCTACGTCGTAGTAAAAAATTCCGCATTATGCTCGACTCGCAGTTGCTATGGTCATGAGGGTCAGAAACTGAATGTAGGACCCATATGAGTTCTACTCTACCTGTTTGGTACATTAGATGATGCCTCCTTTGTCAACACCACCTTGCAAAAAATATGTTCCTGATTGAGTTTTTCTTTATTCGATTTTCACACGCTTCAACGCGGGTCCCTGATCCGCTGCTGTTACACCTGGAGCATCTGCTCCAGGTTCTTGTTTTACATCTCCTTCAGTCTTGACGGCATCTGCTGCTGCTGCAGCTGCAGCCGCAACCGGGAAGGGTGGTGGAGGAGGAGCTGCTGGTAGCTGCAAGGCAAAAGATGATCACAACACATTTGAGATTGTAGGTATAGAAAAGAATAACAGCGACGTGCGGACTAAACGGGGTGTGCCTTCGCAAGGAGATGAAACGGAGTTGAAAACAAGAAATGAAACCAAAGTAATTGACATCCAATCCTTGTTATTCGCACTGAACTGAAACCATTGGTGCAGGAGATTACCCTTCGAAATACGCCAGTGAGAATTTGGTCAAGGCGGGCAGCTTCTTTTAAATCAATTGGATTTTCTGCTGCTTTCTTCTGTGCAGCCTCATCAACTTGATCCTCGGGTTTAGCTTTCCCAGATTCAACCTCTGCAAAACCAGACAATACCGTCACTGAGTGAAAACTCATATTCTACGGATAGATAGAAGAGCGTGGAAGCAGTAACTATTTAAAAACGTATCAGCCATCAATCAGCTGAATCACATGAACAAGCCAATGCTAAGAGGACAATATTACTGAGAATAATAGCTCGCCACCAATTGCTTTCCTCTAATAATAAACTAACACCTTGTAAACGCACATAACACTATCACCCTATACTGTGGCAGTCTCTTCAAGATCTGGGGTTGGGGTTGGAATGCCCAAAGCCTCTACTTCTCCTCTCCTGCAGTAAAAGTCATGTTTATACGAAATACACGACCCACTGTCTACTGTCTACCCTAATTTTCTTTCTCCTATATATTTTTTATATATTTTTAATTGATTAAATTTACATCCATGGCGAACTGTATCGGGGATAAAAATTTGCCCCTCGAGTAATCTCGAGAGGTGGTTTACGGTTATGTTAAATGCAGGAGCTAAATGCTGGTACGCTATGAACTTGTGTACAAAAGGAAATGTCCTGAACTTTGAAATCAGCTGTACTGACCATGTCCGATTTTCTCAAGCTTCGCTGCAGCCTGAGAAAATGCTTCAGAGATATGGTGTATGGCCCGAACCTGCAAAAATAAAACATGTCGACATTAATCTTCCAAAAAGCCCAAGCTCTGATGTTTCCAACAATGACAGACACCAAAACGACAAAGTGTTTGATTTTCCCTATTTGAACACCATTCTCAGAGATAGTAAGCGTATTTCAGAGAAGGCTGACACTTCAAGCTTTTTGTCTTGGTTACTACGAGTTCTAAATTACGACTACAAAGCTCATTTAAGGTCAATCACACACGACAAACAACGGATCAAATCAATGTGCACAGAAGCAATGGTCAACAACTCGCAAACTAGTCATCACGAAGGAACACTTGAGTCGGAAAGGGCCCAGGATCGAAATGATATTGTTGGCAGACGCCATGCATATGAATGATTTATGGAGTACAATGCTTGAAATAACTGATACTTTGACACTTCAAATATGTTTACTGAACTCGCGCCTGTGGAATAAGTGGATGAAAAAAGCCATTCGCAGGACACAGCTCACCCCACAGAGTTCTTGGGTGAAAATCCCGCGGATGGAATGGAATGTTCACCCCAAGAACCAAAGGTGGTAATAGAGCAGACAATATACTATGGTCATGTAAGCGAGAGCGTAAAAAATTGAAGTACATTTTCTTTCTTCACATATTCAAGTAGAGTCTAAATCCTCCAGACAAGGTGAGACCCAGCCCATGCTGAAAGCGTCAGCTTTCCAAGCGAGACAAGTACAACGGATGTATGAAACCTGGAATTACGGTGATCAGAAAACATATCTGTGAACAAACGACGAGAAAGGTACGGATGTGAGAAAGAAAGAAAAAACAAAAAAACAAATATCGATACGTAACGGGACTGGTGGCAATAACTTACGGCTCTAGAACCAATCACGCTGTACAATTGTGGTGCTTGGTATATGGAACCATCGAGAACATAGTACGCAGACATCACAGTTGTCTTCTCCGGGCCTTCACGCCTCTGCTTGCGAATTACAAATAGATGGGGCTCCTGGGCTTCATGCAAAATGTACTCGATTCCCGTCATCTTCCTGTTCCCAATTTTCAGCTGCATTAGGATAACGATTAGCCTTCTAGTCTAGGGACGGAGGTTCCACACTTCCAACGGCAGACTAAACCCTGATAGAAGGGGTTTGCGAATGAAAACGCCCGCTCCTCTTTTTGACTAAGCTGAACTTGTACCTAGTTGCTGTATGCACGCTAAATTCCATTCTATGCCAGATAAAGACAGGAATTATAATGTCGAGTCCCGGAGTAATTCGAGCAGCCCTTCACTTTCCCAGAGTAGCTTAGTGTTCGTCAGAATAAATTCTCGGCAGTGATTCGAGCAGGACACGGACTCAAATCCTCGAATCTAAATTTCTGAACTTCAGAATTGTTAAACATGGAGTTAGAAATGGAGGGAACTCCACACTCGGACTTAAGGTCATGGACACCGTCGAGGTTTTGAACTCAGAAACAGGGCATACGTTAGCTGGCTCGAATCCAGAGGATGAATCTGCCGCATCCTCAGCTGCTCATTGCTGCAAGCCCTGTCGTAGAAGGGAGAGAGTGAGAAGTAGTCGAACACAAGATTCCGGTCGAGCGGGAATTGATTGAGCCACAACTGGTCCCGGAAACTTATGTTGGTCATATCAGTACCGGGAGTGGGCGCTTGGCCCATCGCTCCGGGGGGCGCCAGGTGATCCATCGCCGCCACCACAGCGTTATCGAGGGCCGGTCAACCGAGTCAATCCATCGGCAACCTGCAGACGCACGAAACTCGTCAGCGCTTGCAGCATTGCATTGCATTGCACTGCACGAGAAGTTCCAAACTTCCTAAGACCCACACAAAGAAGACAAAGCAAACCCGACACTCGATCACCAAAACTCCTCGGGTTAGCACCATCAGATTTCCAGCGTGACGGCAATCATCAATCAATCAGAGTGCACGAAATCGACGCTCGTCCATACCTAAGCCTCGATCCTCCGCCAAACCTCGTCGAGAAACCGAGCGCCATCGTCGGTGAAAGAATTTCTCGCCCCTTTCGCCCTAAAAAAAAAAGCACGGATCTCCACTCAGCGCTGCGATCGACGTTCGAAGCTCCGGCACCGCGTCGCCATGCCTTCCTTTCCTTTCGCCGCATGCGCCCTCGACTCCGTCGACCTTCGAGCTTCGAGCTTCGTCGAGCTTTTGGGGCCTGTTCGTGATTTCACCTTCGGCCTTCGAAGCTCGTCGCTCTTCATACGGAGGAATCTCCAGGGAATATCCCGCGGGGCGGGCGCGCTTCTCGACAGGTGAGCCGGTCGACGGCCTTCCGTTGCCAGAATCAAGGCCGAGAGAATGACCGGAGCTGATTATTGCTTGGACCGGTGTTCCGATGGACTAAAGTTTCGTAATTTTATCGGAATTTATGGAGCGAACGGAAAAAGTGACATGCGGTGTTCGAAATTTATCGATGGCTGATAGAAAATAGTTTTTTTTTTAATAGGTGGAAAGATAAAGTAGTGAAGTATAACTCTTTTATGGGTGGAATTAGACATGCATGCTGTTGACGAGTGGTTAGGTATGAGTCAGGTGTAATATGTGGCTTGACTGAAAGTACGATGTATGTTTACATTGGAATTGGTTTAATCTTTTGAATTTCGAAAGGACCTTACTGGATGAAACTCTGAAATGGATCATTTAAATATTCATGTCATGTAATGTGATTTTTTCACAATTAGTTTCCAGAGTGGCCAAACATCGCAAGTTTAAGTCATTTTGCGCTATTTTTCGCTCTTTCGCACAGATGATGGTTATAATTTTTCAAACAGTGTTGTCTTTCTTGATGTGTTACTATTTATGTGTCAAGCTATAGAAACGTTCGTTTTCTCCTCATAAATGTTCTTTTTGCTATATTCACTTGTATATTACCCAAAACGTCTAATTTCTCACGGGCAGACTTTTTATCTTCCACACTCTGTCCAAACATTCCGCTTTTCCACGTCAGATTTCTTACTCTTCATTTCAAACGAATATTACAGATAAGGCGTTTAATTTTGTTCGTTCAACTATCTGATAGCTATTGCAAATTTCGGTATGTTACATTTCACATTTGCTATGAACACTGAGAACTACTGTTTTATGCTAAATTCACCTTGATTGAATCAGTTTTGTCTACATTTAACACTGGTTTGATAACAACGTCGCTCTGCTCCTGTAACTTTTTATAAATGGTAGATACTTTTCCCATGATGATTGGATCGGAAGTGTACAGGTAAGTCTCCGACCAAGTATAAGGAGCTTTGACAGTAAATAATATTTCTGTTGTGGTATGCTAGGATATTCATGATAATCTCTACATTTCAGCATACTGCCAAACAATGGTTTCGTTGGTTGCTGACAGGAGGGTTTGCTGAGTCCGCTTGACGAGTCATTCATGCCATTCAACTCCTCATACTTTCTTCAATTCGGAAGAGACAATATACCCAACATTCAAAAGAGTCACTCCACTTCAGACAGAACGTACGTCCGTGCTTAAATCTATTCATGAACACTGATACAGACGAATTCGATAGCATGATGAAGAGACAGGACGTCACATGTGCATTGAAATATCAAGCCAGAAAGATCTAAAACGTGACTTGATTTACAATATTTTTCTTAAGAGAAAGGGGCACCGGGTTGTACCAGGTAAGAATAAGTTGTACAATTGGCCTGCAGATGAGCCAGTTCACTCGCAGTTCCTCAATCCAAATCTTACTAAGGAGTACGGACAATGCTCAAATACAGCTTCCCAAAATTTGATCTCAGGAACAGAGAGATTTGATACTTCGAACATCTCAGCGAGAACTACTAACGTGAACCAGTACCCGTCGATATTGATCATACTAAACCATACTGGTGATTGTACAATTTCAAATCAAAGACGGTGACTTTACATTACACCTTGGCGGACTCCAGCGATGCGGCCTCTCTAGCGACGATCCTCTCGAACACGTCCCTAATCTTCAGACCTACGATGGTTTGGAATAGACCGGTTCCGTTGTTGCTTCCTGGGAAGTCGGCGTGCTTCAGCATCTGTTGGGTGATCTCTCCGTAGAATTTGGTTGAGATGTTGCTCAAATGGCTTTCCACGTAGATAAGTTCGTCGAGTTTGTCGAATTGTCCGTCCATCTCCAGGACGGAAACCTGAACAACAGTGAAACGGGTCAGAACAGAGGCAGCAGATCACTCACAGAACACAGGAGTTCGAGATCGATCGAATCGTGAGTTTTGGAGACAATACGCATACGCATGAGCTACTGCGCTGGTGCAAGAATGCAACAGGCTCCTTCTTACCTCGTGTCCGTAGTAGGTGTCGGGGCCGTAGAAGAACTTGATTCCAGGGTAAGAGCAGGTCAGCTTTCGTCCGCAAGGAATCCAGGAGATGGTGGAACCCTCGTCGTAGAGGTAGACGGGTTCGAAGTCCTTGACACCTTCCTTCATGATCATGCGCACCCTCAAGATCTTGCCCTCGTTGTCGTCAGGGATGAGCTGGGTGGGGAGGACCTGGATGACCACGTCGGCGTGCTGCTTCTGGGGGTCTGAGCGGGACAACTCAGGGGTAAGAAAGAAGATCAATCTAAAGTACAAGTGAGATTCCCCGAGACCTTCACTTGTAATAATCTGAAAAACTATTTCATGAGGCAGAACCAGCTCGCAAAGATGAGAAGACCTCTGTCGACTTACCGATGTATGCATCGAAGTCGGGCTTGCGGGCCGCAATACTGGCTTTGATACTTTCCAAGCTGTGGCCACGCTCAGCCATGTCACGCTGAGAGAAGAAGAAAGTTAGTTGGTTGTGCTAAAAGCAGTTCCCAAAGCGGGGTGTAAGTCACAAAATATCGGTGAGTCTAGATTCGAGCCATAGGACACGATGATACGGAACAGGGCGATCATCTCTCCCAGCTGATAACAAACATTCACAGGTTCCAGATAGAGAAGTGGCGTAGGAGGGCACCTGAATTTTCCACGCAAACTTCACGTCGTCACTGATGTCCAGATAGATACTGAAGTCCAGGAGATCCCTCACGCGCTCATCGTACCTGTCATGGACAAAATCTGTTAAAACAAAGATCTAGTTCTAGCAGGCCTGAGAACTAGGACGGAAAATTTAACGAGCTTAAATTTGGTCGATCCTTAGCGTAGTAATAAATTCAAACAAACATGTCGTGTCGAACGACCGCAGACCTAAAAAAGGTGACTTACTACACTGTGGCGCTGAGAAGCAAAGCGCTACGGCAAGTATGGCATGAAACAAACTTCGGAATGTAAATCCACTCCAACGGAGCGTTCGACTTTACAGAAAAAGTGGTCACGGTGCGCGCGGATAGCAATTCTGATTTCCCCGGCGAACTGTGTCATGAAGCGATACTCTACGGAATGAGAGAGCAGAGACAGCCTACTCAGATTTTGCCACCGTCTATGGGTTCACGAGTTAATTTCTCTACTGATCGGGAGTGGAGACAAGGCGAACGTCCCGCTATTACGGCGATTTGGAAGCGTATCCATCACACAGCAGACACTCGAAGCAACTTGTCTCAGTTTGGGAGTGGTACTGTGAAGTAATGCTACAATCTTTGAGGCGTTTCGTTACAACGCACTACTCTGACATTGCCAGCTGACTACGGTTCCATCTTCATCGTGGAATTAAGAGTCCGTAGGCAAGATTAAGAATATACCCGGGCTCAGAGGAAAGGAGATAATATTGACGCATCAGATAATTCAGTGCTCCCCAATGCCCTCGTGATTAGTCCTAGCGTTGGGCAGTTGACACCAACAGTAGGCTATCAAACTGTTACAGAATTAAGAGAACGCGCAACTATTACGGGACGAAGTATCAGTCTGATGCAGGCGTCGGGGCCACGTGGCCGAACAGCATACGTCCCAGGAAAACACGAGGAGCGAATTAGAGGAGTTGGTGGTACGAACTGAGGCCTGGCACAAGCAATCAGTCCGGGGAATGGAGAGGGGATTGGCGAGGCAGCAGATTGTTGAAGAACTCACATTGGGTGCAAACCCTCGATGACGAAGATCTTCGGGGGGTCGATCTTCTCGGCGGGGTCGAGAAGACCAGTGACGTGGTTGTAAATTGGCTTCTCGATGGACTTGCCTTCCTTGATAGCCTTAACCTGCTCGTACATGAGATCAAAATTGTTGGCGCGTGGGTCGAGGGCGGTGACTCCCTTCTCCTTCCTGCCATACCTGTCCAAAGAATGGTAATCATCGAGACAAATGACAGTGGTGGTGTCGCTGATCAGAGTGTTAGAATCGGGGTTGCCTCCCTTGGGGGGAGAGGCGGCACCACCGAAAACGCTGGTCAGACGTCGCATGAAGGTACTCTTGCCGCATCCGGAATCGGCAGCGAGTCCGATGATGATGGGCCTCTGCTCAGGTCCGGCCTTGCACACAACCAATGCCCTGTGCCCACGACGCCTGCTGCCCTTGCTCTCGAGAGCTCGCAGCGCTGACACCTCGGTGGACAAGCTGAGCGAGCCGCCGCTCGACACGGACACGCCATGGAAGCTCGACACGATGGCCGAGGCCGACGACGACGACGACGAAGACACTCTCTGGCGAGGGCAGGCTGCTCGCCTCACGCTGTGCGCGCCTCCGGGCGCAGCGACAATGGTCGCAGCGGCCGCAGCAGCAGCCATGTCGTCAAATTCTCGACTCTACGCGCGAGCTCTCGCGACTCCTCCCGTCCCTGAGCACTGCTGCTGCTGCCGAGAAGAAAGAAAGAAAGAAAGAAAGAAAGCAGCTCAGGCTCGCGCGGAGCAAAATCGTCTGAGGCCGGGGGAGGACAATTTCATCGGCAGAAATGGAGGCCCGATCGTCGAGACTTTTGGCGCTCGAGGGGAGGGGAGGGGAGGGGAGGGGAGGGCGAGGGCTCTCGCTCAGACGCTCAGGCTCGTCCTCGGCCTCATGCTCGTGGTCGGGGCGCTCGGGCGCTCGCGAGCGGGGGGCCGTGTGAGGCACAGAATCCGCTCCGCAGGCCGACGAGGAACTTGCGGACCACATCCGATGCGCGCCTCTGCCCGCCCTCCGATCGCCCATCCGCGCGGATAATCCTTCCCTTCCACCGGCTCGTCCTGTCGCTCTCTCTCTCCTCTCCTCTATCGCCATTTTCCATCGATTTTTCCACATCAGTATTCCCTATCAATTTTATCAAAGCCTCTCAAAGGACCTCTCTATTGTTAGATTTTCGCCTCTACAGCCATAGAGGCGAAAATTTAGTATTCGTATAAATTGTAGCCAAGACATTCTAAGGACCTACCGATGGCTAAATATTCGCCTCCATCGATATTGTCCAACAAGTTTTCCAGATCAGTTTTCCTATTAATTTCATTAAAGCCTCTCAAAGGACCTATCAATGGTTGAATTTTCGCCTCTATGGCTGTTTTCCAACGAGTTTTCCATATCAGTTTTCCTATAAATTTTATTAAAGACTATTCATGGGTAAATTTTCGCCTTTATGGCTATTGTCAACAATTTTTCGAGATCAGTATTCCTACAAATTTTATTAAAGCCTCTCAAAGGACCTATCTATGGTTAAATTTTCGCCTATATGGCTGGTTTGCAACAAGTTTTCCAGATCAGTTATTCTATCAATTTTTTAAAGCCCATTAAGGGGTAAATTTTCGCCTTTATGGCTATTGTCCAACAATTTTTCGAGATCAGTATTCATATATATTATATTCAAGCCTATCAATGGGTAAATTTTCGCCTCTATGGCTATTGTCCAACAATTTTCTCGAGACCAGTATTCATGTAAGCTATATTTAAGCCTATCAATGGATGAATTTTCGCCTCTATGGCTATGGTCCAACGAGTTTTCGAGATCAGTATTCATGTAAATCATTGTCATGCCTCTCAAGAACCTATTCATGGCTAAATATTAGCCTCTATCCATTTGTCCAACAAGTTTTCCAGATCAGTATTTTAGAGGCTTTTCTATAAATTAAATCATATTAAAACTTCTCAAACGGACTCTCTATGGGTACATTTTCTCCTCTATCGCAATTATACAACAAATTTTCGAGATCAGATTGTCAGAGGCTTTACTATAATTTACAGTCAAGACTCTCAAAAGATCTATCGATAGTTGAATTGTCGCTTCTAGTGCAATAGTCCGACAAGTTTTCGAGATCATAATTCCTATAGATTCTAGTAAAGCCTCTGAAATACATATCTCAAAGCACCTTTCTATGGGTATATTCTTTTGAAAAGCTCTTGATCGATAATTTCTGCGACTCATGTATCGTGTTTTCAGCAATTTCTTTTTTCGCCCCTCTTTCTGAGAAACTTTTTTCTCATTCCTTCACAATAAATTCACATTCTTTTTGTCGGACATTAACTTGGAGTGGCACGACGACTCTTGAGTATCTGAATATTAATTCTATAAACCCCGAAGAATATTCGTTCTCTTAATTTCCGCGTTCTCTCCTAATCAAGAAATAATCAATTATTCCATCGAGAGAAAAGCTCTTTGCTTTTGTGTCGATTTTGTGGTACCCGTGTTTCAATTTCGGACGCTTTTCTTCGAGCGAGGTTAAGGTTTCGATCAGGAACCCGATTAATTAGTGGAGCAATGGATTAGAAAAGTGTCCGAAGGCCATTGGATGTATTTGGGCATGGCGCTGTAGCCATTGGGCCTCGAGCTGCTGCTGCGGATAATCTGAGCTCTCGTCTCAATAAGAAGAGCCCGGGGCGGGTGCCGTCGACCGGCAGCAGCCGGTGGCGGCCCCGAGGTTCGAAAGCGACGCAGATATTGCGGCCCGGGGGAGGGAACGCGTTCTTACCCGAGTAAAATGGTGAAAGCGAGCCCCGCGGTCGCCGAGGGGTGAGTGAATACGGCACCAATGAGACCGCGCTCCCGAGCTCCCGAGAGCGGATGATGAAACTTCCGGAGCCACACGATCACGGCGGCTCGATTGATCGCCACGTGTCATATTCCCACAAGCAGAACGGATAACGAAGGTCGTTCATTATCTCGTTCCTGGCCTCTCCTTCTGCCACGTCATCCTCGACAACTAAAGGCCTGGAGCTGCCGCACAATATCTGTTGATCCTTTTTTCGTTTCATTGTCACCATTAATTAAACTCCTGAGACTCTCTTAATCGTCGGCTTCCTCCATTTTGCAATCCTCGAGAGACCGAGCCTTCGGATGCACCTCGGATGCCGAGAATGTCACATAATTTCTCCCCGAGGTGGAACACGTACGAATTGTCTATGTTCAGACATATACAATTAATCTCTTCTATAGAACCGGAAAGGAACAAATAATTTGACAAGGGAAAAATATAATTTTTGTAGCGGCAAGCACCCAGGGTAGGATTTAACAGCCATATGCTCGACGTAGCGATCCGCCCATGAGTTTGTTTTTTGTATCCTTGTTCAATGAGGTCATGACGCAACAACTGCCGGTAATATATATAATAATTATAATCAAGGTGGTGCATACCTTTAACTCAAACTTATTTAACTTTAACTGTTTCATGCTTATCACAATTAGCTATAACGCAGGACTGCGGCATGTCAAGGATGTGATGTGGATATTATTCTGAAACTGGTGGGAAATGATACGGCTTACTCATAAGCATACATTTGGCTGCTCTAGTAACATATATTTATCCACTTCACAATGTTTTTTCGGCCTGCCTGTCTATGTGGCAGTAGTAAGTCGGACTGGAAATATTTTGTTGGGATACAATTTATGGTCATTGATACATATAATATAGCCACATGTAAGTTTCTTTCTTTGGATGTGAATATCATATCTTGCTCAACTGGACGTGTCAACATCAAATATAGAAACTTCTAGTAATTTTTTCCACTTTTATCTAATAATCGAATCATATGCAACTATGGAAACATAATTCTAGATGAGAACAATTATGATTGTAGGACTTGATATGCTATCGATTTGCTTCCCACTTCAACTTATTTATTTGATTACAAATACTTCGACAAACAAGCTCATGCTAAGAATATCATAACTGTCAATTTATAGTCTGCATTTGCAACTTGTTGTAGCAAGTTCACTTTACACACTTTCAATCGGACTTACCAATCGAATTTCTTACATCAAAATCCACCCATAAAAATATAATTATTTAAACATCTGTAGAAGTTAGTACCAAGAGAAATCATTTTATATATTACATGAAATGACTTTCTCCGGGTTGAATAATGGTTCAACAGATTCTCAGTGCAAAATATGGTGTGAAATTCTATATAAATTTTTTTAAAAAATATGCTCTTATCTAAAAATTCTCGTCTAACTAGATGCATAAATCTATGCAAAACTGAAACTTCATAAAATGATAATTCATGGGATAAAGTTTACTATATAATCATATAATCCCTTTGATGGTTCAAAGTCTAAACTTTATTCATGATGATGAAGAAATGATAGTTCTCATAATCTAGTTTGACAAAGTTAGATGTTTTTGGAGTTAGATATTGACTCAATTGATTGTAAACAGTTTTAGATTCTTAGCCAACAAAATTTATATGTGTATCATCACGAGAGTAACCACAAAGTCTCCTTCACATAGTAATCAAAGAAAATCATGGATACTTCATCTCAATAGTTTCAAATAGCAAGCATAAACCTGTGAGCTAATTATTGATCTGAAATATTTGAATTTATATCTCTATTCAATAATATCTACTTGATGATGGTTTTGAAACTGAGGCACTTCATTACTTAACAAAAGTACATCTATTCAAATTTCTGTTTCTTTCATGTAACCAAAATAAGAAGTTTCCATGACACTCCATTATATTACAGATTTGTTTTAGCTTTTCATAGTGATTTGTAACAACTTGATCAACAAGATAAGCTCAATCAAAAACGACATTTGATAGTTCAACTGAGTTGTACATGTACGAGAAAGAAAACTCTAGGAACTCCAGATATTGCTAAATAGTTGCGAAAAGCAATTCTAACATATAAGGAGATTGATTTTAGATCATTTTCAAGTGAATTTCAATACTATACGACAACTACTACCCGGATTAGATGAAATGCCTTTTTAACGTGCATGTTTCCTCCTCACAATAAAACTGGATACTTCGGGGAAAAGCGTTGTATCTCGGTGCACTCACAACACTATAGTAAGGAACTGTGACTTCTTATGTTCTGGACCAAAACGTGTGATCTTCAGTTGAAAATCACCGATATATTTACCAACCCTACGAATAGATATCAGCGCATGACCTTGTGTGGTTCATTGATCAAGATGCGCAATATAACACGGACTGCGCATCACACGCGATAGAGACGAAAAGTTTAAACTAGATGTTCTTAGGAACTGGACCAAAAAAGGTAGAAATGTAGAGACATTGCTGAAGGAAACTGGCAGCACTTTCACATTCAGTACTATTGTAGACGACTTACTATAACTTCCATCCACTTTCAGGAGCCCTTGTACAAACATATGCACGTGCTTAAGCCATGCACATCCAGGTGTCCCCAGTCACGCGAAGGAACAAGTAATCACCAAATCGACCTAGGCTGCGTCCAACATACCCGTTGTATCGAAAGCCGTCAATTACTTTCTGAATGATGCGACTAGGCATAAAGCCGCTCTAGGAGCCATGGCTGTCTAGTGCAGAATCAGATTTTAATTCCTGGTACGGTTTGACTCAAATGATCAAAACAGACGACCGCGGACAAAATCGAAGCAGGAACATAATACAAGAGGAATGGACGTTGGAGTTATCCGGACGAGACAAATGAGAGCTTGATTCTGTTTTCACCCAACCATGTTAAGAGGAAAACATTTACATATATTGCGCTGGTGTAATTACATGCCATTAAAGATAATGGATCGATTCGATTTCCACAGCATCAGGCGGAGAGACATGGGAAAAGATTGCTTACAACTGACAAAATTGCGAGACAATGGTTACCTGCCCTTCACAACCTTTAAAATACAGCTCAATCTGATTGAGACTGCCCTCCTGAATTTGAAGAGGAAAGCCGTTCTTTATAAATATAACTAGACCCTATACTTTCGCTCTCAACAACTAGCTTCATGATCAACATCAGAAAAAAAAATTGGGCCCTGCAATAGGGCAAATATTAACACCCAGACTATCACCTGGCAACCTGACCACTACCCGCGTACTCATCCTAGGAAAGAAGATGCAGTTTCAACGGATTGTTAAAGGCGTGCAGCAGTTCTTTCACTCTGGTGTTTTGGTACCACGCGTTGGAGGAAGGTCCTGTGAGTTGCCACGTTCCTGTGAGACTTCCTCGAGCTCATCTTCCTCTGGCTTCTTTCCAGCCTGTTCCTTCCAGTAAGTGATTTGCTTCTTCAACTTCAAGATCTCCTTAGTTGTCAAATTCTTACTGGCATCGTTGATGATAGACCGAACTCGGGTTGCATAACTGAGAGGCAACCACAAGCGGCTCGTTAGTTAACAATAAAGATACACAAAGTTCAGCAGGCTGGACCGTGTTCAACGAGATGTGAAGCTAAAAGTCGGAGCAGCGAGAGCAAATTAGCACCTTGAAGCTCAGCTCCGTGTAACAAACCTCCTATATTAAGGAAAAAACCTGAAGTTCCAAGGATATAAAGCTCAGTTACTCACCAAAGAGAGTTGTATGTTTCATCAATGTTGGATTCTGCTGGAGATATGTTCACGAACATGAGTGTCTTCGCATTGCCTCCAAGAGAATCGCTCATTAGCATAGTCAGCTTGTGGTTACGATACGGAATGTGAGCTTCTTCGGTGGCCAGCGCACTAATAACGTCACCCAAGGCAGAGAGGGACTTGTTGATGCTCTGAGCCTCCTTCAATTGCTCACCACTTGAACCAGATTTCTTGACCCTCTCGGATCCAGCTAAATCGACAAAACTTAGCTGCGAAGGAATACCCACATTGAGGCCATTAGTTCCAATCTCAGCAAACAGCTTCCTCGCTTTTGTCACGGAAAAAAAGCTAGGACACGACAGACATGTTACACAAGTTGAACAACAGGACTTACCTTGCCCTTCACGAGGACCTGCGTCTGGAGGTTGGTGCTCTCAATTATCATGGACAAAATAAGATGTGAACGTGAACTTTCGGTATTCATGTGCGTTCCCGACACATGTCGCCTCTTGGTGCCTTCTTGAAGAATTGTTTCTAACTCTTCAAATGTAGCCACTGTAATTAAGGTCGCTCCTTCAACCACAACCATACCCTGCATTCACGCCAATCCCAAGTCAAAAAGAAGTTTCATTGTCTCCAAAAAATAAAATTCGGACACTGGAGCTGTTCAAGTTGTTCTCACGATCCAAACGGTGCCCGGCGAGACAGATGACTACCTTAGAGTCTTTCTTGATTTCAAGTTTCCTCGGCTTAGCGCCATTCTTTCCACCTCCATTGACAAGAAGATCCACCAAAGAATCTTGGTAAATCTCCAGCATGTAGACCTGAAGATCAAATCACACAAAATCAGAGGAAAACTCCAAGCATAGAGCTAAAATAATCCAATTGTTCCACTGATGAAGAGAGACCACCATCTGTGGTAGACTTTTCAAAAGGAGAATGACTCGTAGTAAATTGCCACCCGTATCAATAAGCAAATCACAGAGGTGAATACCTTAACGGAGAAGGAAAATTTGTTGGCATCTCGCTTCAGAATATTGAAGACCTCTCGAGTTGCTCGGGGAGTTATACCAGGATTCTGATCTGAGCCATAAATAGTGAAGGTTTTACCAGAACCTGTCTGCCCATACGCAAAGATGCAGACATTGTATCCATCGATAGCCGATTGAACCAGATACTGCAACAGGTTGAAGAAAATTAGTCAAAGATAACAACTCACCACGCACTATCACTCCTTCACCTTCAGAGATAGACAAGACGTCAGCAACACAACCTTTCATCTCTAACCCCTCCATATCACTAAAAATCAAGACCACGAACGATTTCAACTTGCGTCATAAACAAGCCAGTTGGCCATTGCTTCTGAGCGTGTTGATGTTTGACTAATCGTACTTGGCACACCGTGGACCGACCTTAGTATCCTCAAAAATTTGTTCTTGAGTTGTTGTCTCGTCAAAGACATGGTCAAATTGGTGCTGCTTCCTTTCGTCTTTCCATGGATGCTCGATGGTGAATTCATCAGGACGAAGGACAATAGTTTTCTGTTTCTCCCTGATCTCCTTATCACTAAGAGGCCTCCACCTTGCGTAAACTCTGATTTTACCCTTCATGTCTACACCACGAAATGGAAGATAAATCAGGGTCAAGTAAGTGATTCAGTTCACCAAGTTAGACAACTTTGGCTGACTATGTTTTGACAGAGGTGCACACCATACCTTCCATCATATTGAAAAACCGCTTGCGCAGTACTTGTTCCTCCTTGTAAAGACCCTCAAGCTCGATAATTTGATCGGCTTGTCTCTTAACAATGGCTGCTGTCTGCTCGTTCTTACGGTCAATGTCCTGCTCGGTCACCAGGATCGGTAACATATGAGAAATGACAGCAAGACATGGACAACAACACGAATTGATACTCCCACTCGGAAACACGCCATTCAGTGATAGGATGAAGGCAGATCAGTACCTCCTTCATCTCTCGGAGCTCGTCGAGCTCCTTGTTGCTTGCAGTCAAGGCTTCAAATTCCACACTCCTAGCAGTCAACATTGATTCTGCCTCGCCTAACTGTTGCGTGCGCTCTTGAAGCTTCTTCTCCATGTCACTAAGCCGATCCCTGAGCTCATGACGTTCCTGTTCAAACTTATCCTCCAACGCCTTGGTCTGCATTAACCAGGTCATAGTATCAATCTTAGTGCCTCAGTGCCGCTGCGTTGTATACGTCAAGAAGATGAATCCGCTTTACCACATATGAACTTACGGAAAGGAGAAAATATAAAATCTGCTTACCTCGTTGGTCTTATTCTGCTCGAGACGAATGATCTTCTGCTCAAGAAGCTGCTTTTCTTTGGCAAGAGTTTTTGCCTGTTGGTCCGATTTCCTCAGCTCCTCGGTTTTCATTCTTAAATCATTTCGAAGTTCTTTCACCTGAGACAAGGGGAGAAGTAGGGAATAGCATGATATGAGATGCAGAAACAGAGTCATCCACACTATTGTCTTGACCATCCCAAATATTGCATTGCGGGAGATTTGATGTGTTCGGGAATCTACAGATCTGATGTTCGAAACTAAAAAAAAACACAAAAGACATTCGCATTTCATACCTGATTCTCAAGGCTACGGATGTGCGCACTCTGGTCTTTACCAGCAGGGGGTAGATCCCTATCTCGTCTAGACATCGAAGAAAGGCGTGATCCTCTTTTAGTTGGAGTACTGTCCGATTCTAAACCACTTGCACCTGTTTCAGCAATCTCTGCCTTCTCGGCCATAGCGGTCTGTAGGATTCCAGACGAGTGTTCAGTAAAACTAGCACCATAGATGAAGTAGAATTGAACTACTTCCTACAGGAAATCAAGGAACAGATAGACAAGGAATCGATTGTCATGTGGGAAAAAACATCAGAATCGTGTATGAAGTGCACCTGAAGGTTTGTCTCCGCTTCAGCCAGCTTGAGCACAATTTGCTCCTTCTCATCCAAAAGCTCAGCTCGCGCCTGTTCTTCTGCCCGGAGTTTATCCTTCAACGTGGCTAGTTCTTCTAGCATGTCTTTCTCCTTTTTCTCCCTGGTCCTCAGCTCTTCCATCAACTGCAGTTGCAAACTTTGAAGTGAATATTCCAAGTAATTTGAGTGCGAAAAGCATAGACTAGTCCATCCCATTCAAGAACAGCCGGCTTAGAGACCGATCTGCAATGTCTGACTAAAAGCACAAGATCACAGAACAAACTTTACCTGATCAATTTTCTTTTGAGACTCTTCAAGGAGTTTGGTAATCTCTTGTACATGCTTCTCGTAAACTTCAATACCAGGCGGCTTAGCACTCGGAACAGCTGCTTCCGGTCCATTTGGAACAGAACCATTGGCAATGTTACGGGTCCTTGAATAGCGTCTCAACATGACGTCATTGATGTGAGTTTGCAAGGCTACACATATATCTTCACCCTGCTTCGTTTCAAATTGGAAGATGTGGAGCACACCAGCCACTCTCATTTTGAAAAACACGGCAGTGTTGCTGCTACCAAACTGCATAATATCTCGCAGCTCGGCTGAGTGAAGATATTCCTTCGGTACGGGTCGGAAGAAATGAACCTGCACGATATGAATAGGAATCAGTGTCAAACAAATCTTAGGCCGTTCTTCATTGGAGAGGAATTTTGGAGATCTGTTAGGAATGCAGTCTAGAGATTAAGAATTTAATTTTCAGAAACTTCATACTCACCCCTCGTTTGTTGATGCCCAGGATGATACGCCCAGGAAGGAGTCCAATGGGATCTTCGATCTTGCGAACACTGAAAAAGACAGAGTTTCCATATGGAAGAGATCGCAGTATGCGCAAGAGCTGTTGCCTTGCGTCATCCTTCGACAAATGGGCCTTCACAGCAAACCAGATCACAGACAGAGTTCAGGTTCACATGCCCTTCGGCAGAAACAATAAAATCTCACGAGAAAATCATTGTAACATCACGAACTTACCATTGCTCGATAGCGATTTAGGATGTCGGGTTCCCAGTCACGCTTCGCTCGAGTAACTGCCACTTGCTTTGGTAGGACACGATCCACCAGCTGAGACCAGTCCCTGCGAAATAAACCTTGCAATATGAGTACACATACCGAAATTGAAAGATGAGAGCATCTTACATCGAAATACAGCAAGAAGAGTGTAGCTGAGCTCCCCATCAACTAAATTCGGAAGCATACGTACATGCCAGTCTCTGGACTTGACACATTGCCCAGTTCGGCAAGGATCTGCAATGCTGCCAATTGAGCTGCATCGTCCCGACCAACTGGATAATTTCCGAGCATGTAGTCGTGTTGTGACTGCAAAATATCGACAGCAGTGTTATTCGTATAATCTAATCGCTCAACTTCGTGATTAGAGAAATAGGAGACCCTCAGACACCAACAGCTCACACGCTGGGGTTATCAAGCAGCGTGTAAAGGGCTCCCTACCTGAACGTATGACAGCTGTACAAACATTGGTTCTGTTATAGCTTCGTCAGATTCTCGGAAGAGGCGCTTTTTGAACAACAGCTTGCACTGTACCACCTCCGCCTTGTTGCGTTCTTTAGTTGCTTTAAACTCAGCAACGATGTCTCCAACATACTTATTATCATCCAAGCTGATGTGCTCCTCTGCAATGAGATGTTCAACAAGATAGAAGTTCTGAGAACCCGCCAGCATGTCCTTAGTTGGGAACGCGTCATTCTACTTGCAGGAAGTCTTACAGGCACTGAATTGATTTGGTCTTTCTTTACCTTGCCTGGATCTAGTTTGCCACCATCCAGGCCAACGTAATCAAAACTAGAAAGTGGCAAATCTTGCACTCAAAAGCCAATAGGTATAGTCAGGTTTCGACTGTCCTTACCATTTCCATTGTCAATAGCTTTCGATCCAGTTACGGCTTTGCGACATTCGAACAAACTGAATGTGTTATAGGATGTTAGCTTAATAATTCCTGCGAGTTCCTGTTCAGAGCAAGGGGAACTTATAAGCGTCAGCAGGGAAGTAAAAGGCCGTGCCGATACACAGTAAGTCTGACGGAAGAGATGAACGTTTGAGTTAAATTTTCCTATTTGTGGAGTTACTCCGAATCGTATACTTTACCTCAACAGCGTCGGCAATTGTAGTTGTCATGTCGTAGGATATCTCCTCGAAAGTTTCATCCAAAAAGAAAGCAATAGTGGTTAATTTACGGCCTGCCAACAAAGCCTCTATTTCTTCTTGAGCTGGACTGATCCTCCTCGGACCCCCTTTGACAGACCTCTTAAGTGCATTCCAGGTATTATTAGCCATGGCTTGAACATCTGGATCCCCACTGGCAGCATTGGCAACCTCGTGAACGTACTCTGACAAGTATGCCCCCAACTCCTTTCCGGGTGGCATGGCCGACGCACACAAGTACATTAACTCCCAGGCCTTTAACAGGGATGGCTTATCAGAGTTGTTGCGGGTTTGTTTAGATAGCTGAGCAAACATCTCGTCTCGGAGCTCTTGTCGTTTCAAAGTATGCTTGTAAATCTTAAGAATGAGATCAATCTGCTCTTGTGCTGTAGGAGGTGTAGAAGTAGCACTGGCATCAGCGCCAGTGTACTTGAGCACTACTCCAAAGAGCTTCACGGCCCGGCTCATTAAGTCGCTGTTCATTTTAAGAAGGGATGTAGGGATTGGCTCCTGAAAACACAGAGCAAACAAGATTGATATGAGAAGAGTACGAGTGGTGATTACGAGTCTTCCAAAGCAGCTGAAAAAAGTGCCAAGGAGATCATCTCGGGATCACTAAGACCAGCAGAGTCCAGAGGCGTCACAAAGCTCTCCGGCACGGAAATACGCATAAGAATCAAGATCTATTGCTTACTCGTTGGAAACAGAGCATGTCCTCCACGGTGTACTTTTCTTTGCCTGCGGGAGCCACGGCTCTTTTCCCGAAGAAACTTCGCTTTCCTCCTGCTTGCAACTGCTTTTGCATCAATCTAAGGAAGGCTTCCACCTGATTACGAAGACATATCTCACGTCAGACACATCTCGACAGGAGAAGTCGAGCAGAGTGACTCGCTGAGCAAAGACCGCCAGTTCATATGTGCAGGCGTGGAAGTGGGACTCGTAACTACATTCGGGACTCGCAAGGATTAGAAGGGACCATTCTTTCATAACACTGGTGTAAGAGAAGCCATGCAACGATTCGATTCCAAAATAAAACGGAATGAAAAATGTTGTCACCTGAAACTTATCCAAAATGGAAGCAGCGCCAGCCAGCTCCGGAACCAGTGTTGTGGAGATAGAGCTAACTCTGCGGAAACAGGAAGCACTCAGACAGACATTCGATGAACCTAATCCACCGACTAAGACCGTAAATGATTGTACAAGATCGGATCTGATTCAGCCAAATTAAAAAAAGAATCTAAGTGATGGACTATGCTCAACAATAGAGGCGATGCCAGGAGGTTACAATCGCTCAGAGTGCCTCGGGGTGGAAGGCACTTTCACCTCCTCAGAATACAGCCAGGGCCCAGATTGACGCTCTTTCAAGTGCAAAACTTAAAACCATCCCCAGGAGTGTATGACGTTTGACCAACAAGTTTGGGGAAGTTTCTTTCAACATAGATCGATACTGCGGGAACGAGCAGAAGGGAGAGAACAGTCAGACTGTAAAACTTTCATGCCGGCAGATTGAATTAGAATACTCCAGAGTGTACGCACCTTGGATCTCCATTGCTGACATCCTTCATTCCATCGGTCTCCACGCCATTAGAGCCCTGAGAATTGGCTTCCCCGCTATAAGAGCTGTGACGAGACTTGGATCTGCAAAGATGAACGATTGAACAAGATGAGAAAATGTCGCATCATCGACGGATCTCCACACTGACAGAATTAGGAAAAGAAGATCTCCTACGAATACACTCAGAACTTGCAAGGAAAAAAGACGACTCATGAAAATGAACATGCAACTCCACTACTGCAGCAATACATGATGTAACTCCACACACAAAAAGACACAGCGCAATGCAGAATTGTGGTGAGGGTGGTTTCGTCGGGGATAGTTCAGGTATAGCAGTGGCCCTCCTCTATTTCCACTGAGGACTTTCCCCATCGTGCAATTGTTCATCATTGTTCAGAAACCTCCAAATTCCAGCCATGCGGAGCCCTTTCCCACCCGGGAGCATGAATGATGTGCGCACAAATGACTCAGTTCCTTTCCCTCATTGATCAGTGGACAATAGGTGAGAATCGTACGAGGCAAAGTCACCATCACTGTCATAGTCGTCATCATTACCAGATACTCCTGCTGCCCGGGGATGTACAGGAGTACTATCATTGGAGCTCAGTGAAGACCTTTTACTTACTCCATATTGAGCACTCACGTCCGGTGTGGGTGTGTCTGACATTATTCAAAAACACCAGCCGCACGCTGCTTTACCGGGCACACAACCAGCACACTTCTCCTCTACCAAATCCTATCTCAACGCTCCATTTCAAGACCGCCACTCTGCTTCTCGAGAGTTGAACGAACCTGCTGATGAAACCTTAAATTCCTTCAGAGGGCTTCGATTCTGGATCTTCACGAATGAAGAAAGGAGCCGACTGTCAAAAACACGTTGCAAACGATCGGTTCCGTGTTATCAATCAGACAAGTGAAGGCACTTTCGAGGGCCCGGAAAGCAAATCAGGCAGCCTACCCCACATGCGGATGAATCCTGGCATTCAGATTTTGAACGTATGAAAGTGTCGATTTATCTCAATTGCATCAACGCAATGCCGTAACAAATGCCCAGCCTCTAACATGCCCTCCACTAAGACAGACTGTACCATCGGCGTCGATCTAAATAGGTCGCACAATTGAGATCCAAGGGTTGCAAATCAGAGAGCCGATGCGAGATACGAGTAACAATTCCGCCGACCTCGAACGCGCGGCCTTTGAGGTCGAGAAGTTGCAAGGGCGCTTTGCCCTCCGAACGTGCTGAAAGCTGACGCAGAGCACAAGACGACTCGAAGACACAATGCCGTGTAACCTCTCACTGGAACTGGCCCCTCACAAACACCACACAAGACTTGCGGCCCTCCTGCACACTCAATCTACAACACACGGCGCGCGCGAGTGGGAAACGAGCGGAAGTTCAAACTCGCCAGCAAGATGCTCCAACCGAATCGACCAAGGTCAATTTTCCTCCCTCCGCATTGCCCTCCCACGCTCAGCACGCATCGACGACGACGCCGGCAGGAAGAGAGATTGCTCGGGACTACTAAAAGACTTCGCGCACCTGCGCCTCAACTCGCAACGCCACGCCTCATTCACTCGAAAACCCACCAATGTTCATTCCTTTGTCTATCGCCTCGGTACCAATGGCATGCAATGCACGCCCGGACTCAGAGATAAACAGACAGGCAGACGCAGACGCAGACGGACAGACAGACGGACCGACCTGCAACCCTCAGAACAAAGCGCAAGCCGAAAGGCTCCACTCTCCTCTCGAGTCCTCTGTCTCCGACAAATACACAATCGGCCTCCAGAGCGCCTGCTGTTGTAGGAGCCGGATATCGTCCGAACTGGAATCACCTGCGGATGGAAAACGCACCACGATCCGATCGAGATGAGCGCGAAAGCACCAGCAACGAGGCAGCACGAGGGACGCAGGCCGGGCACAAGCAAAAGGCTTCAGAATGGAGACGAAAGCGAACGCACATTGGATCAAAGGAAGAAGTGAGACACAAGACCACCCCCGAACCTGCCAGCCTCGGCCCCGCCCCGCTCGTGGTGGGCCTCCGTCACCCGTTTGAACGTGCGCCCGCGAGCCTGCCCGTCCGGCGCCCGGCGCCCGGCCCCCGGCCAGCAGGGCCAGCCCGGCACCAGCTCCCTTCTCCAGCTCCTGCTCCTGCACGCACTGGCTCTTGCGCTGCCCTTGCATAACCTCTCGTTACAGTGCCCACCCCCGATTTGGAGGGAACTTCGCGGGGCCCCATTTCCTTCTTTCTTTCTTTCTTTCTTTCTTTCTTTCTTTTCCCCGTTCCGCGATTTCGTATTTCGCAATTTCCGACCACCGCCCTTTCGAGTTTCCGGAGCCTCGTCACGCCAGCGCCGTGTTGATGTGGCGGCCACCTCGCCTCTCCCTTGCTCCCGTTTCCCACCTTTTCGGAGTCCGGATCTCTCCCTCCCTCCGGAAATTCGACTCCCTCGGGGCTACGCAGTAGCCTCGACATTCCTGTCGTGGTGTCCCCTCCCCCCTCTCCCGCAAGTATTTTGTGACCTCGAGCTTCCGGTGGATCCACCCTTTCTAGAACGCAGCGTTTAATTACGTGTTAATGATTCTTGCTAAATTTAAATCTTTGTGGCAGAGAAGCAGTTGATGTCGTCGTACGAGTCACTGGACTGCGCATTGTGCAGAGGCTTTGGGTATCCGATCACAATAATAATTTAGAAGGGGGGGGGGGGTTATCGGCGTGATGTTTATCCATCCGATTATTCACATTCTGCCCGAATTCCAGATTACAAGCTCCCTAGGAGACTGCGACCCGGAAATGCAATCATTTAGAGACTTAACGAACTATTAAACCATTATCATGTAATTAATTTGTTTCCGTCTTAGCGCAAACAGGAAAAGTGTCCACGCGGTATTTAGACTTGAGTCCAACAATTATGCAGCGATGCCATAAGCTACCGAATGGATTATGCAGTCGGATTTTACGAATGAGACAAACTTCGACTACACGAAGTGCGTGTGCAGAGTGCGGGGATGGGATGGGATAAGCGATCGATCCCGGCGGACTAAGATACCGGATTAGCGAGATAAGACCAATTATGAAGCGAGGGCTAAAGCTGCCACCCCGATCAGGAGGCAAGATGGGGACCTTAATTTCGAGGGCCGAAATTGCTCTTCCGTGCATGACACGTGCATTTGGCCGGTTCGTTCTCCGCGCACAGTGCAGGCGAGCTTGTGCGCTTGTCCTATTAGCTGGCCCTGGCCGGCCACGGTCCGAGGACTCTTCCGTCCCCAGCCGGTTCCACGGTGGGCATGAGGATCGAGTGCTCCGCGACCGGCAAAGCAGCCGGTGCCTTAGGGCGACAGTAGCGGAGTCAGCCTCGCATTGTAGCCGGTTTCCATGCTCCGGCTCCGGCTGCCGCAACACGTCACCCTCCTTCCGCCTTGCGGGAAAATCGCGCTTAAGGACCGATTCTCGCCATTCTCGCGAAGCTCGCTATTCTCGCTATTCTCGCTCCGGTCGATCACGAAGCTTATGCTAACTTATTCGCACCCTCGCATCATGTCGCCACTGCTCCCTCGGACAAAATTACCAACAGCGCCGTCGTCGCGTCGTCGCCCCTCACCGCGGTTGCCTCCGGGCACAGCTACAGGCCACCGTGCTTCGGGAAACCTCCATCCGCTCCTTGCACGGCTATGTGACCCCTCGTTGTGCGCTCATCATTAACCAAATAAACAGTATTATGATATATTTATTTGTTTAGCTTAGCTTAGCTTAGAAAAAGTATACCTTCGAGCGGGACACCGTACTCATATGGATCGAGCGAGCGGCCCTTCGAGGCTCGGTCTCCGACGGAGCATAGTGCTTTAGGGAAATTCTTTTTATCATGGGAATGTCATCCATAAAGAGTCTATGCCCTAGGTCATGGACTATTATCCGCCGCTTTATTCATGGGAGCGAAAATACGAGGCCTCGTCATGTAGACATGTGTCCCTGGGAATATTGCCAAGTCTGGACGGGGATCGGCGGGGAAGATGCATGTGTGAACGGGAACGGGATCAATTCGAGCTTCTTTTGAACCGCGTCTGAAAGAGTCCAACTTGGCTTGTGTGTGAACGAGGGGAGGAAAAGGCGAGAATCATCAGCCAAAATGGATGTCGCCTTTTGAGACGAGGTAGAGGACAAAGGCTGAGTCTTGCTTGCCATCGCAGTACGACGACTGCGAGGGATGTCGTCGTAGTCAATGTCGCCACGGTTCGGTTGACGGATGGATACTGGTTCGGAGCCCATTAAATTCTTCATGGGGGTGTGCCCGGAAAGCGCCCCCTTCATCCTTGATAACTCCGAAAAGGCGTTCATTTGGGGGTCGAAAGTGGCTAGATTTTCCCTTTTTTACCGAGTTGAACCACGTCCAACACTCAAACTGCGTGGAAAAATCACAAAAGACGACATGGAACGAGGCTGCTGATATGACAATGATTGGAGATTTTGTGACCGACACAAATTCAAGGCATGCTCTCGTCTGTTCAGCTAATTCCATGCTATCGGATATCCACCAGATTCATCCTGCTCAAAAGTGACATCATGTCTCCAGGCTGCGGTTGCGAGAAACGCCTTCTTCCTTCGTAAACATTTTACCCATCAATGACAGAATAAACTTTGGGTCGAGAGTCTTCACCTTTCAAAACAAACATATTCTATGCTTGATCACAAACTCAAGAACTTTCAAGTCCTTGCTCTTACATGCATAATTACTGAAGAGCTTATGGTCTTTCATTCGATGACAATCCACATAGCGGAATCAATTTGTATTATCAGCCCTTCAATTATTTGATACGATAATGGGCATGGAATGGATTCTGGAAGCTGTTTGTGTAGACTACGGCGTTGGTTAGTGTGAGGAACTACCCAACTGACGACCATAACAGACACTGGAGCCAAAACATGTCTTTTACAGGCACAGAAGACGGGAATCGGAAAAGCAGGCCGAATGATTTGAGGCTTGTTTGCACATGTTTAAATCTCACAGCAGGCAGGCGCTTTTTCTTTTCTCATAACAGGGCGGAGGAGGAGCAATTCTTAAGAGTAAATGGGGAGCCTTGGATTTTACTTCAACTCCGTCGCAGCTTGTGCACCGAGCGTCGGGAGTCAATCAATCATGACCCCAGTCACAGCACAGGAGTCGCCTCCTCCCGAACAGGTCGAGCATTTGACGGTACCACGAGGCTCGAAGACATCAGCCAAGCGTCAACCTTCGCCTGACGAAGCCCGTGAAAGCCTTCAGCCTCAGGCGCGGTGGCGTTGGTGCGAACTGCACTTCACTTCACTTCGCTGCGCTGCGCTGCGTACGGTATGGGGATGGGGTCTCGGATCTTGGATCTCAGATTTGTGGAGATCTCGTAGATGTGGAGGTTTACAGGAAGGAGTAAAATGGGAGGAAAAACAAAATTGGGCGTGAAGGGCGGCAAAGAACTTACGAGGGCATATGATGGAGGGTTTCTTGAAATTGCGAGCACTGTGCAGCACAACTGCTGCTGCTGCTGCTGAGCAAGGCAATGGAGGAGGAGCTCATGGAGGCGTCTCCTAAACGTTCAAAGGGGTGGGTGGCCACTGCTTTCTCTCCTTCAATACTCCACGTCGATCAGGTTTGGGCAGGTGGTGGGCCTGCATCGCCACCGAATTAGAGCTCATCCATCGGCCTCACGAAAAATGTATTGTTTGTTATTCTGCTGGTGCGGAAAGTTGGACAAACATCTGGCAAGTTGGAGAAGTCAATGCCCAATGTATGATCGAGCCCATCATCCATCCTCCTCGACGAATATCGATCGAAGGTCCTGACTGAAGGTGCCCACCCACCTAACTCCCCTCCCCTCCCCTCCCGTCTCTCCCCCGTTCCCTCTCCCTTCGGCCAAGGGACCCACTCCCTCAGCAGCCTCCTCGTCTCATTCCGCCCCTGGAATCATTTCCTCTAAACCCCATGGCCTCTGCCAATTACCTTGCGCCCGTATCCGCATAATTGCACATAATCCCGTTGAATCAGCCCTCCATTATTTGGCCTCTCAAGGCCCTCGTTCGGCACCCCGGCTTGATAATAAGCGTCGCTTACATCCCGATCACTGCCCAGTTCATCAGTCGAGCCTGCTCGCGTTCCTCCTCTTCGTTGAACTTTAGGGTATCAGTTACACAATCTGAGTTATTTTTAATCACAGAAGAATTTTTCATGCACCGGTTTTTCATTACAACCCAGACTCTGCACTTCACTGATTCTCGTAGTAAAGGTGAGGAAAAACTCGTCAAGTGGTTGTGTAATATATCTCATGCCCGATGGGGTTCTTCCCATCCTTTGTGGGTTTTTAATTGGACTTTAGTGCTTTTATTTTTTATTTGGTTTTTATTTGGACGAAGATTTTGATAAAAGATAATATTAGCTTGCTCTCCCATCGGCTCTGCAAACCTTGTGTGAGAATGAAATGGGGTTCACAGCTTCAGCTCATACATATATATCGATGCCGGTGCTTATGGTTCGAGCGTTTGAAAAGCGTGCGAATTCTTTTAGGACCTTGTACCTACAGAGTTATGAGAGTCCGTAAGATATGTCGGCACTTTGTGCATGAGCGGCTTTTCCAGAAGCTGCATCTACGGTGCTACGACCCACGGCTACAGATGGTGATTAACGCCTGAAGGCGAAATAGTCGAAGGAAGACCTGACTTTGGGCACAAGCCATTAGAGCTACTTCAAACGAGACACAATCTCTTGAGAATCATTTTACGGGGTCAAATCCACTGTATCAGAGTATCTCAGGTCCGAGCCTCTCTCTATACGGTATTCCAATAATATCTACTCCGCAATCGTATACACGTAGGTGTGTAAAAGTAGCGATACCGTATGTACGTGTATCACGCAGTTAACCGTCACAGCATCAGATCTGCACGCGAGTAGCCTGAAGGAATATACTGTGGTCGTGCCTCCATTCAGATTTCGCAACTCCTGTGAGCTCGACTGATGCCGACTACAGTCAATTGGAACACATCAACATTTATTGTTTTCCCTTTCTCCTGGCATGAGGAGCTGCTTCAACAAAACCAGAGTGAAAATTACGAGGAGGTGCTTCAGAAGCGGCGGATGTGTTTTTATTCTTCTAGATGCAGCAGGTAGAATCCTGATCAGGTGCACTGGTTCGTGACCTCGGCGCTTCCACTGAGCTCGCGTTGCCTGTGTGCTCGAGTATGACGGTGATGTGAATTCGGTCCGCACCGCCACGCGCCTTAGGACATGGCTCGAAAGAAAATTCCCCCAAAAGAAATATCACGCAATCTCTTCGAACCTGTCCTGTGACACTTGTCGGCACATCGAGGGTCACGAACTTCTGTTCGAGCCCAGACAATCATCAAAGCCATAATTCACCCACTTATAGAGGAATAAAACTATCGTATATCGATAGATTGTAAGGTGAGAAGTGAAGGAAGGACAGTCTGTATGTACGGTAAGGATAGCACTCATCTGCACAAGATTTCGTTCAGACAACCTTGTACGTTCGACCTAACTAAAGTGTCCAGCGAGCCAGGATTTCAAGAATTTCAGGACCCACACGAGTCCCATAGACTGAACGGAATGGCAGACAGAGAAAACTGGGCCTTCAAGAAAATTTGAACTCGTTTCAACGAAATTTTGCCAAAATATTCAGGCCCTCTTAAATGCGTGCTCACGCGGCCGATCAAATCTTCTTCGGGTCTGAGTGGAAATCTCAGCCTACTGAGATGACAACCTACGGGTAAGAAGCAGTTTCCACGCGGCGTGTGTCAGGGGCCCTTATGGTAAGAGCAGCACATTCAAATGCTGGACAGAGATAGGAAAATAGTCGACAGTAATATTACGCACAATTGAATCACAGACAGCATCCGTTACGACAGAATGTAGACGAGAAGGTAATAAAGAAGAGTGAGTAAATATTACAGCGGTCTTATTGAATAATATTCACTATTACGACAATGACCAACAAGGAGAAAAATGTGGTCGATTAATCATCAATGTCAAAATTGACTGCTTTCCAAAATAGGGTGAACAGGTTATAACAGATTGTTTTGCCTTAACCTGAACTTGGTACAGATTCACAGAGTAACGAAAAACTTCAATCTTGAAAAAGAATAGCTTTGTACAAATTCTTGAACAAGTTCCGTGTAGAATATAACAATGAGATGTGCGCCGCAATAGATAAAAGGATCACCATATTCGTCTTGAACCAGAAGTTCATTTAGGGAAGCTCTGGTCACCGCCTCTCCGGATGCATGTGCATGTAGCTTAATATAAACAGACCAACTTGACTACATGTGTGCGCTGTTCTGTCCCCTGATATAATACGTGGGTATCGCATCTTCTCTGGAAGGAAGAGCATGTTCCTTCACAGGTCAGCGGCAAGCAAGCCACTTGTCATGCCCGCCTTTGCTCTCAAAATTCACAAATGTAAAGAACATGAATCGGTATCTGTACATCTTGCTAACAGCTATGAGACCTTCCTCATACACATTGGTAAGACATATTTCTATGCCTAGTATGAATATACGGACATCAAACGAAGCAATGTGTGAGCGGTAGTACATCGACTCTTTGACCATCTCCTGCTTAGTGGTCACCATTGATTGAGGATTGCTCAACCATCGAAGGTCCTTCCATGTCCCATCCTGCACCCCACGCAGATGTACTACTACAAGTACCACCACGACTGCGCTTTTGCAAGTGTTCTAAGCTTGCGACACGTTGCATGGAAGGAGTCCGCCCCATTTTACCACTCAGTCCCTGCTGGCCCGTCGGAAGGGAGGGAAGTTCAACAGGGAACGCTTGAGATGAAACAGGAAGACTGTGATGCAAATATCCGTGGGTAGGAGGCATAGCAGATGCCACATACGGTCCTGGCATGTAAGAAAAACCGTGGCTCATGCCAAGACTTGCAGGAATGTGAGGTGGATGAGCAACTGTTTGACCGGTTGCTCTTGTGACTAAATCTTCAGCCATTTTCACCTGAGCATGCAGATCGAGAAAATCTTCAGTCAAAGTCAGTTCCTCGACTTAGTCTAAATCATCTCCAAATTGAGTATCCTGGGCCGCAACAGAGGCACGTGCCCCACGTCCGAGCTGAAAGTGAAAAAACAGATCTTAATCGGGTAAAAATTGTTGCGGAAGAAATGTACCTTAGCTCTAAGAGCTTCAACATCTGACTTCAGGACTCGATTGTCGACAGCTGCATCACTAAACTTCTGGCTGATGTCAGTTAATCTCTTCACCAGCGTCGTATTTTCAACGCGGAGTTGAGCAACCTGAATAGAACAATCACTCACAATAAAGGTTTAGAATTTGCGCTACATAGTGCCATACCATAAAAAACTATAACAAGTGTTCCGTCGCATCCATGCTTGAGGCATAAAAGAGTCGAAACGTATCCAGGAAACATTTCCAGGTCATGATCTGTCGTATCTATGATTTCTCCCGCGTACTCAAAACAAGGTGCAAGCAGGAGGTGCAGGCCGGATACAAATGGGGGCGGTTGACGAGTACCTGTGTCTCCAACTCGCTTAAGTGGGCTTGCTTTCTTCTTCTCGAGCGTCTGGCAGATTCTCTGTTGGACAGCATCCTGAATCATCACCGACATTGAAAGTTACTCAACCAATTGCCTTCATGCTAACAGTCCACGATTCGAAACTATCATCAAGCCGGAAGAGATAGACAGGCTACGTCACGGAGATGGTTCTTGAAAACGACTTATAGCTATATCTAATTCAGTACAAACTTAACATTGTGCTCTTGGTTTGAAGAGCACACTCCGATGAAAACCAAGAGCAAGACTGCGGTGAAATTGACACCGATAATAACTTGGGCGGGAAGATGGATCACCGAACCACATGTAGGCTGAGAGAATAAAGAAACCAGACGGCGAAATTTTATAATATGTAGTAAATAAGGATACAGAGTGTAGCATGAAGGTTCAAATTATGTAAATCCGGGAGACATACTGTAGAGTGGTCTCGCGAAACTACCCTTCGTTGAGCAAAGTTCTCACGATACTGAAAACCAAGCTGACGAACAGTGCAGGTTGAGCGGATTACCGTTTCACGCGTTTCAGATCCCCCGGCTCCAAATTTTGATCGTTCACCACGCCGTCATCCCCGTCCTCGTCATCTGATTGCTCTCTTGATGAACCACTGGTCGTAGGCTTTGCGCTGCTCACTGGTGCGAGACTGTCAGGTTTCGGGGGAAGCGCCGGAATTCCGACGGGACCCCTGACGTGACTTCCATTGGCTGCAACGTCAGCACCTGGAGAAAACTCCACCCGCCAATCGACCATCCCAAATCAGATTCCCGACTTTTTAAGCTCCTGAGATAAATCACCTACTCCAAACACCCTTATATCTCAGACACTGGAGGAAGTAAACCACAATCAAAGGTTTCAAGGTTAAACCTCAAACTATCATGGAGCATACCTACCGCTGTCTCAACAAGCGAGACCTTGTACGAAACACTGGAAGTTACTAGAGACCAGAAGTTACATACAAAATCTCTGCTTTTTGTTCCAAGCATCTAGACATGATCGCCAGAACGACCAAGGGCTGCATGAGAAGTAAAGACTTTGCAGCAAAATTCATTGAAATGTACCTAGAAGGCCGGGGGCTGCTCCCTTTCCTTGAGGCACGGCTTGTTGCAGCGACAGGTTCCCAGCAATCTTCGGAGACCCAAGCCCAGTTGCCTGTGGGGAAAGCAAATAAATATGTTGTGTCACGATCATTCTCCAACGTATACACCCGGCATTCTAGACACGAGAAAGGGTTTCGCCTCTAACCTCCTTCAACTTGGAACCTTCAATGCACGGGAGTCTAAAACAGCTCTTTCTCCACAAAATAACTCTAGAGGTACAAATTCTAACTCATGAGAGTTGGTATCCCGGCCAACACAACTGACATCATTGCTGTCAATAAAACATACCCGAGACATGGCGACCGCGGCACAAGCAATGTCCAAACGACGTTTGAGGAAGTGCTCATACTCCCGAGGATCACTACTGGCTGGCGCTGCTGGAACTTCATCTCGCAGCCCTGAGAATAGAGGATTCACAGCGACTTTCAATTCAGGCTGCTCAAGCGGATCTTCTGCCTTTTGATTGGACGCGGTATAACTACTCTCGTCTACCTCCTCCTTCAATCCAGGAATGCTTATCACATCTGGTTCCTTTTGCTCCTCAACACACTCCTTGTCTTGCGAAGGAGGAAGTTCTTTCTCTCCTGCTTCTTCCTCGGATATCATAAACACCTGGCTATCATTTCGGGATTGAAGACCCGAGGCCTGAGTATGCTCCTTAAGAAACTCTTGAAACGCCCACTCTGAGGCACTTCTGTTCATGCCCGGGTTATAACCATTTCCTCCATTTCCTAAAACGCCAGTACCATTGACTGCTCCCGTACTACTGGCTTGATCACCACTCTGAGTATCCAGTTTCCAAAACGTACCTAATATATCATCTACTGAAAAAACACGTTCCATAGTAGTTTGAAGTTCTGTTACCAGCCTCAGACAAGTGGTTGTCCCGTTGGAACATTCAGCTACCAAAAAACCTGGAATTCTAGTCTAATTGTTGCGCCAGTCTTTTCTCATCCGACAAGGACACCAACTGGATGGTCCAGCGTTCGATTCTGTGGGGAATTCGAGTTTAAAGAGTGCTTATGGAGTGTGAATCAGACGGTATCACCTAGCCGTGCACGCATGTTTCCAGCTAGGACCTCCCAAGGGATGATATGAAGCACTGCTGTCCTTGGCACAAGAGTCTAAGTGCTAGGTTGTTCTCAGTGCTACTGAAACGAAATCCAATTGTTACTGACTGGAAAAAGTTTGATCACTCTCTTGTTCGTCGCTTTCTGTCGTCACTTCTGCAATACGGAGCACGCCGCGAAGGAGTAAGATGCAACTCCTGTCGACAAAACATGCAGGCGGGATACAAGAGAAACGAGCTTGGAGAGAAGCATAAATTGCAGAACGAGAATCTTTCCCGTGCATAAGGTCCCAGAGGGACGTAGTAAATGACACTATGTCAAGACGGTGATCGCACAAAATGCCAAATGCACCTTAATTCGTAGGAACCACGGTAAGAACAATGGCTTCGAGGAATTCGCACGAAAAACTGCAATGATCACCAAATACGGCAAGGATTCCGAACTAACCGAATATTCACTCTTCCAGAAGACTCAGCGACATTGAAGTAGTTTCAGGACAAGCATGCGTGACCAATATTCGAACTATCTGAATTACCTGAACCTATGGTGCTCTCTTGCCCACCAGCTGCTCGTCTCCAATTTGCGGAAGACAGAAGACTACCTGCCATACACAAGGCGCCAACGAGGTGCAAACCCTCGAAAGAAACGCGTACAGGGGCTCAGAACGAACCGCTCCGACCAACAATCAATCAATCCACCGACCGAACTCGAAGAACCCTAGACACGCAGTCTCACGCTGCAGAAACCGCAGTTCGCTGCCCACGCTGCAAGACGGCAAATCGCCAGAGCTTTCCCAGGCACAAAACACCGATTTCGACCTTTCGCCGCATTAAAAAAAGGCAGAGAATATCACGCCTACTTTCTCGTTCCAAATCGCTCGGGGCTTCGATGCCGACCAACGAAAAACCCGTCTCTGCTCTGCTATCCTACCAAAAAATCCCAACCAAAAAAACCGTCGACACTGAACAACGAACGAGGGCTCGCTGGCTGTCACTCGTACGACTATGCACGGAGCGAAAGGAGCGAAAGCTTCCGCCTGAGAAGGCGTCGGAATTTACAGCCCAGCTTTTCGCGATGGCGAGCGAGATTTCACGCTTTGCCAATGTACCGCGCAAGTACTCAACTCATCTCGCGCTACAACAACAACAACAATAGTCGACGACGCCGCCCGACCTCTCATTCACTCGGTCAGTAGTCAGTCAGTCAGTCAGTCAGTCAACAACATGGGACAGACTCAACCACAGCCTCAATTTCGCCCCTTGGGCCTTCGCGGCCGCCCTAAATCCAAACCCGCCCGCCAGCCCGCCCGCCCGCCCGGCGACAGAATATCCTGCGTCCACCACGCACGCAGTCATCCCGTCACGCCCCATGACACGGCTCGCGTCACCCTGCCCCCTCCCTCGCGTGAGCCCCCCACTCCTTCCCTTCGGATCGGATGCCGTGCACCCAAAGTCTCGACTGCAGTGGCGTGCGCGGTAACCAGCTTTCATTATTTCTCTCTCTCTCTCCCTCTTTTTCTCTCTCTGTCTTCCTTCTACACAGTTCCGAGGCGAGGGGCGCACGAGGCAACTACCGAGGTCGACCTGTCTACCGCGGCCGCAGTGGCACGCCGTAGACAAGACGGCGTACCGAGGTCGTCGACTATAATATGCGATGGATATTACTTACATCGGCCGCTGCTGCTCGCCTTATCCGAAAGGATCAGCCGACCTACTCCTCGCCCCTCGAAGGTGCTACCTTGACCCGCATGGGTTTGTCGAGCGTGTCTTCGATTTTCGAGTACAGACGAAGGAATAATGTTCTGCTTCCGTCTCCGATCTAGCTCGACGTTGTAACCAAAATATATTTATTGGCGAAACTAGACAACAACGACGAAAGCGACGGCTGTAGAGAGGAAAGAGTGATACCGTCAACATGCGCTTCTGTGATCTATAACTGCGTTCGGAATATTTAAATTCTCTTTTAATCAGTAAAGTATTTAATTTTATGTTAATGTATGTGCTCCCCTTTCCTCGCTTGTACAAACCTCTAAGTAATATGTATAGAAAACTACACAATATGAGATGCAGACTTATTATATGAAGTCTACATATTGCTTTCTATGTACTTATCCATCTACAATTATTGGAAACATGCAGGATGTAAGAGCGGTGTTGGGAGATACCATTTTTTTAAGATGTTTACTTATGACTTCACTATAATATAATTACTAAATCTGTACCCACATCCCATCATGCGGATACAGATAATGTACAGATAATGCTGGGTCTGACTTGCTTAACATGTTGGTGCTATAGGTTAGCCGCACAAAATGACATAGTCAATGTATTTCAATTACTTGCCAAATGACATCATATAGTGTTATGCATACTACGACTATCACCTCATGATCTATGATTGCTTTATGATGCGGTGTCAAAGCATGGATTGATAGTTTGTAGACTTATTCACTTTGATAATTCACATGATTGTTGTATGACATACTCCAATTGCCTAGCCTTCAGTACACCATTTTGTCAATCTTTAATAAAGCTGATGTGATCTTTGTATACATTTTTTACATTCACTTTGTTACTTGAATTTTGAAATTCTTTTTAAAAAAGTTGAATGTAAATTGCAATTATTATTCCATCTCAAGAAATCATTATAGTAAGAGCTACTCAATGGCTTAAATTTACATCAATTCACATTAAAATATTCGATTTTTCCGATTGTTCTAAATCAGTTGATGGTCATTATATGCGTCTTAGCACATATTTGCTTCCTAATAAGATAGCGTCACCTATGCACAGGTCAAGACGTTGAGTCCCGCCTGTGCGGTTTATTCCTCATTCATCGGCACTTGGATGGCGGAGTTACTGAACTGAGTTTCCACAAAGCTGAAAGAACTTCTCCCTTGAGATAATAACATGGATATATCATAATCTAGAGGTAAGCAATATGATTATTTCATGAAAGTTGTGAATGTCTTTAATATGTCAAGTTATTTTTATAATTGATATATTTTTAAAAAAATTTTCGATGAATCATACTAGGCTCAAATCTGAGTACATCGTATGAAGGTTGAAAACTCACACGATACATGGAAATCTCTAAATAATTATATTTTTACTATTTTTTTTAAGGAATTCAGATGAAAAACTAAATTTTATGGTATATTAAATTATAAATTTTTACTCCAAACTCATATGTGATAGTCGTTGTATAATTGATTGTTTTTTTGCATTAAAATAAAATAATACGTACACACACAATAGAGTGAATAAAGTACAAACAAACATATAATTTTTAACATATTCATAGTAATATTTCATTCTGAAAATGATTTTACATTTTTATATATTGCATCAAATCAGATTCATATTACCATATGTTATAAAATATATATTTTGGATACATACAAATCAATACAACATCCAAATAAGCACCTATATCTAAAGCCGAAAATAGATAACTGAACATTAAGTTACGATTAGAACATGTATGTCAGAATGTTTATTTCTTCAAACAGTCAAGAAAGTTATATACTTATTTTTGTATTAATGAGTCTATAGCGTATTGATCAGAATGTATAATTTAGAATCGTCAAATGTAAGTTCTTGTTAATTATTAGAATACTTATGATAGATTGATCATAAGGAACAACATGCTATACATATAAAACATCGAAATATATTACTTAAAGTCAATGTAGTTATTCAAACTAAACATGGAAATTATGTTGTCTTCACTAAAATAAAATTAAAATTGGGAAAAACTATTAATCATCAGGAATTATTACATGAATTTTTTTGAATTTAGAAAAAACTGAATACAAGAAATCATGATTCTACGTATAAAAATACATATAAATTTTGATTTCGCATATCTAATAGTCATTCAAGTAAATATCGAGATACATCTTTCAATGGGACAAATTTTAACTCAATATGAAAAAATACGTTAAACATGAGTAAGTTACACAAAACAAAAAATTTTAGAATAGAACAAATCTGATTACGATATACAATGCAGATACATTCAGATTTTTGAGGAAGATAAATCAAATTCTATTAAAAATTCCTCAAATATATAAATAAAATAGAATGAAAAGTTCGTAATTTGGAAGTGTAAGCAACATTAAATCATGCCTTGGATTTAGATCATCGTTCAATTCTGCATACAACCATGGATGTCTGTTGAAATAATAAGTCTTCAACGCATCATAGCTAGCAACGTTATAGAAGCATTGAAATCTTCGTGGGTTGTTGGCTTCTTACACTGCAAGTTTGCGGTACACATGAAAGACCATGGAGGCTTTAACCTGCAGAACACATGAAAGAGCCTGAAAGATTTCGTGACAGTGTAAATTCATAAGGAGCATAAGCATACCTGAGGTAGAATGGATAAGAAGAACCTAGCGTGATACAAGAACCTTCTTAATTTTAGCCATTGCCGTAATTCTTAAATCCAAAGCGGAGGCGAGGAAAAGTATTATTGATGCGGAGCGAAGGAAGAGTCAACCGCGCAAGAGGCACTGCAATGAAACCACGACACAGAGCCGGAGGAGAATCGGCATCCGCAAGAAGGAATGTTGCAAAAGGCGGGGAGGACATAATGGCGTTAAACGACAGCGATGACCATGGAATGCTGCTGCTAGCCTCTTGTGCGCCACGAGAACCGCCAGCTGGACGCTTCCATCCAGCTGGACAGATGCGTCCGGGTCCGTCACGGGGTGACTTTTCGTCACCGTCATCCGGCCAATGGCGCGCGCCCTGCAGGCGTGACACGCACAAGCACCCGCGCCCCCGTGGCGCAGCGCGTGTGGTCCAGCCCAGGTCACCGGGGGCCTGGGGCTGAGAATCGCAGCCCCCCTCCCGGTGCTTGGGTTAGAAGAGGGTTCGAGCTCGCTCCCCAATGGTCGGAGACGACAGTCGCCACTGCATGACCAACGTTCCTGACACGGGGGGCTGTCTGCGCTGCATGTGGCCCTCAAGGGCAATAGGGCGAATCGAATCGAAGCGAAGCTCGAGAGCTCGCTGGCTTGGCCTCCTCTGACTTCGGGTTCGTCTCGTGCACGGCCAATGGATTTGAAGCTTCTCCTCTGATCGAGCATCGCTCGCTGGGTCGACCCGCGTCCGATTCCGGGGCGGATCGTCTTTCGCCGAATTTTTCAGGTTTGTAGGCAGGCCCTCGCGGAGGAGCTATGGCCTTGCGCATGGACCCGAGAGAAGAGTAACTCGACCTCCGATTCCTTCGTTCGTTTCAAAATGATCGGTGTCGGGAGAACGAAGCAGCACGTGAACGTCGTGGACAGGCCTCTTGGGAAAGGGAAAGTTGAGGTACGAGTTCGGGTTGTCTGGATTCTCTGATCGCAGATTCTTCTTTGCAGACTCGGACAGGTTTGATCGTTGAATTAGGTCGGATCCGTTGCGGACGTCTCGGAGAGTGGGATGTAACCTGGCCGATCTGTGGAGCAGATTTTCGCCACATTGTGTTTCTTCAGGTGCAAAGCTGACTAGTGTAAGATTGTTGTGAATGTGTTATTGCAGGTGAGTTTGAGCGCGTTTTCATTTTTGTTCTCCGAGCTGGTTCAGTACAGCCAAACCCGCGTGGACAACATTGCTGAGCTGGAACGCAGGTGATACATTGCACTCACTGGTCATTGAGCATCGGATTCAATGTGCGATGCATGAGTAGATCGCGGGTGCTCTCGAAGCAATATTGACTTTTCGCCTGGCAATGCGTTTGTTCTAGATTGGAAGACGCTGGGGCTGGAGTTGGATTACGAACACTTGAATTACTATGCCACCGAGAAAAGGTAAATATCTGGAAACTTTCTTTCGTTTCTTGATTATTAGACAATGAGTTACCACTGGGATCACCGTGTAAAGGATGATTTGGACCCATTTCCATTTTGAAATTTACTTCAAAGATATCCAAGTTGTCCATTTGATCAGTGATATATTATATTGAACTGAACCTCTTTGTTCTCGAAGGGAAATAGACGAGAAACCAGATTGCTCGGTATCCTGTCCTTCGTCCACAGCACTGTATGGAAGTGCTTATTTGGAAAGGTACATTCCATGTTCTTTCCTGGGAATTTATACAAAACCTAATTCTTAAGTGAGCAGACTGACCTTAATAACACAACATTTCGAGTATCATCATATCGACTGCCTTAACCCGATTCTTTTTAAATCACGCGCTCGCTGTTTCAATTTCGCTTTATTAGACAATGTTGATTTGCCGACCGCTGTAAGATATGTCATGCGGTTGAATTTATTCGAATCCAACAAAATACTGGCATTTAGAGTACATTTAGGGATTGCAGGACCAATCATGAAGAAGCACCATGCATTCGTCTCTCCTTCAGTAGAGAAAATTGTTGGGTCCTGAGAAAGTTATTCAGAAATGCAAATACATATTTAAGATACATTACAGGATTTGATGATCTTGACTGTTTACATATATACCTGATTCTTATCAGGTTGCAGATTCATTGGAGAAAGGAACTGAGCACGAAGATGAATACATGATCAGTGAAAAAGAGCTGCTAGTCAACAGGTTCTTCTCTTTACTAGAGAGATGACAGTTTATTTCATAAACTGGCTTGGCTGAGTAGTGAGAGAGAGTTGGTATTATTATGATAGTATTCAGAGTGCGTATTTTATCTTGATTTCCCTTCAGATACATCGTCGAAAGTATCAGTATTGCGATATACGCATATTGAGTTTTTTCTATCGAATGCTCTAGATATCTTATCGGTATGAAATGACATCTGATATGTCTTTTATTTCTGGATAGGACTTCTAAGTCCAAATGGAGATGTGATATTGTCCGCTTACCTGTCATGCCATTTCTCTAAGCCGAATACAATTTTGCCAGATTCATATCGGTTCCAAAGGACATGGGAGCGTTCAACTGTGGTGCCTTTGTCGCCGGAGTTGTCAAAGTGAGCCTTATCCGCTTCTTTGCACGCCCTTGCTGGGGCGGTTCAAAGTTTGCTCTTTTGAAAAACATTTTGATGATTAGCGTTCATCTTGCTTTCTCAAATAGTTAGCTATATAGTGTATCTCGATAATAGTTACGTAGGTTGTCTATGTCTTCGTATGTTGCTTCTGTAGCCTGCTTTCGCTGCTGTTCTAACCCCAATGGAAATATTCTAACCATAAGTTCAACCACAGGGTGTTTTAGATGGAGCAGGATTCCCAGCCCGAGTAACAGCTCATTTCGTAGCTGTTGAAGGACAAGCCCGGCCTCGGACCACCATCCTTATAAAGTTTGCAGAAGAGGTAAAGAAATTTTTATTTTCTTACCTGTTCTACTTATATATACCCTTCTATATGTATTGCTCTCTTTCTCTCCCCAAAATCTCTGGTTTTGTTGGGAGAAGATATTTGATTCAAACATATGATGTTGGCACTATATCTCTTGATACAGGTGCTACAGCGAGAAGCACGGCTAGGTTAAGCCTGCTGACAAGATTTACCGAGACCCTAAACGTCCCGAAGATGTTTTGTCCTCATCCTAATCTCGACCTCAATGGGAAAGTATTATGGATTGGTTACTTGTGATCCTGATAGAAATGTGCTTTCAAGCCAGCTCGCCGTAATGAGAACTGCAAGTGAAGGCTTGGTCCACGTTGTGTCACTATAAACACAACGAACGGGTCGTGTTGATATGCCAATTTCCAGGTCTCAACATTTGTTCGATCACAACATCTGCTCTTGGGCATGTCGGAAGGTGCAAAGTTTTAAAAGTACGAGTGTCGAGTATTGTTAGTGAGTAACTTCGAAAAGGAATTTGATGCAGCATTGTTCATCAATTGGTGTTTGCTCATGTCAATAACTTCAAGGCTCAGATGGAGAGTTGCCATTCCACCCTAGTCTTTTTCAGCAGCTTATCTTCTGTAGAGATGATTTTTTGTTAGAAATGGAAACCAAATTACTCCGGTGGCCTCTAAGTCACATCTTCAAACCCCATGTGAGTCATGGGCTTTCGTTGTCAGTCACCAATCAACAAAACTATGGCACTGCAGGTGTATGCAATGGCTGAGATATGCTTTTTCACATCAAAAGATGTTTGATATGTCTTGCGGGCACTATAGCCTCAATGAAGATTGTGCACTGCTTCTCTCCTCTGATTATTACATCAGAGTTCTCAAAGGTCAACAGTGTCACTGCAAGTGGCACAAAGCATTCCATATCTATGTCCGGAAGAAAGCCGTCGCCCGCAAAACTTCCAAATTACTTGTTGATTTTATTCTTAACACACACAACGTTTCATCTCTACCTTCCAGGCATCGTTGCCCACCCACGATTACGGGCTCGCAAGCACTCTTACTTTAAGTGCTTGAATCGAGCATTCGAGCAGACCCTCAATACCCTCAAGACTATAATTTCTGTCCACTGAACACAGTGCTCGATGTCCGCACTCAACACTGTACTCCTCGTATCAACTGCAAGAACACTCTGAATGCAATCATCAAGCAGTTGAAGTATATCATCTACCTTTGCAGTACATGATTCCATGCAAGAAAGTGAACCTCAATTCATCTTAAGTTTCTCTGTGTATTTCACACTAATACTCTTCAGTCGAATATGCAACTGAAGGAAGCTACGGAGTGCATTCTACAGCAAAAGGTGGGAGAAGAAGAGGATATGCAAGAGGCAGACATACTTTGAGATTTGTTGGATAAGGGAGGAGAGATCTCGCTCGTGGAGCTGAAGTAGAGAACGAAAGTCTTTTTAACACAAGCCTCACATCAATCAAATGCACACATGAAGTGGCACGATTGGAGACTCTTGCCAACATGTGAAGAAATTTCTTCTTTGCACGATGTGATGAAGTAGAAGCTCTAAGGTTAGATTGAATAGCTGAGGTGATGAAGAGAGACACCTAATGCTTCCACAGACAAACGCAAAGGAATGCATTCATGCAATCGCTGCACATTTGAGCAAATGATGTGTTCAAGTGATGAGATCTAGAAGTCATATCAAGAGTTCAAGTGAGCAACGATCTTCGCTCTGAAAGCTGAAGATGGCATCACATGCTCTGAGTACGAACCCAAGTCGTAAGAAATAACTATTCGTGTAAATGACTGTCGCAGTTATTAAAAAATGGTAGCCGTGTACAAGTAGATTATATATTCAGCGTATTCAGTCCTTAGCAATTGTTGAGGGATAAACTCGGGCGTGTAGTGAGGATAAAAGTATGTTTCCCAACGATGTGTTTTCATCACTCAACGAAAAATATTAGCCAGTTTTCAGAAACATGTGACGTGATAATTCTTAGTACTCACTACTGATTGTGGACAGCTTTACTGTTTTCAAGTGGAGAATGACATATTCTCCATTTTGATGCCATCACCTATTTGGAGCCCAGTCCACTACAACCGTTTATATTTCATCCCCGCAAGGCTTGATATTCTCATCCCTTTTTCTCTATTATCTGGTACCTCTTTTCCTTCTGAAATGTGACAGAAATGTGACTTCTCCAGAGATACTTCTGTGTACGTGGTTCTGTAGACGGTGTACAGAGAGTGCATGGTGACCATGGTCAACCACGTTATGTGAGAACAGTCCAAACCTCGGGTCGAGAACAAGGTAACTCCCCTACTGCAGTGACTGGAGCGGGGAGGAAGAGACTGGGTAGGAGAGGAGGGTAGGAAGTAACCATGGTTAAAATCTGACTGTGATAGTGTCCGAGCCAGTCAATACTGGAGTTCTCGAAAAACCCTAAACCCTGCGGGGTACCGGAGCTCGATCGATCAGAGGCGCCTTCTCAACAAGCTGGAAAATTGAATCTGCTCGGAGACGGATTGATGTCCTCTCCTGCAGGTGGATTGACAGCGGTGCCAATTGCACGAGGAAAAGTGGTGGCCTGGTGAAAGAATGTGGGGAAATGCGAGCAGGTGAATTGAGGAGCACGGCAATGCGACTCGTGCGGAATTGAAAGTGGAGGGATGGAATCACAGGTCGGAAAGAGGAGAAGAGTGGAGAAAGGACGGAAGCAGAAGAAGAAGAAAGCGAAGGTCGATGGGGTTGTGGGTGGTAGCACAGCTGGAACAGAGAGGATTCAAAATGCGCGCAAAACTCGTCGAGATGAGGAGTTGCACAGTAGTGAGGATGAAGCCGATGAGGTAGATGCTCGGAGAACTACTTTTGATGACGAGGAAGATGAAGCAGACGCTGAGACAGCTCAGGAGAAGAGGTTGAGAGTAGCACAGGCTTATCTGAATAAAATCAGGGACTTTGCCAAAGATGAATCTGAGGAAGACGAGGATGCCGAGGAGAAAGAAGAAGCGAAGAGAGGTGCTAGAGATTCTCTCGTCGCCGATTTACTCCAGCAACGGCAACTGGAGGAAAGTGGACGTGTGCAGCGCAAGCTTGCCGCAAGGTACAGCAATTCACTCTTACGCCATTGCGCTTACCTCCTCATATATCCTCGCAGTAAAATACTCTCCGTAGTGTATGACCAAGCAAAGCTTCCCCACGATACTTGACGCTCCCCATTGATTTTTTAAAGGTCTCAATGATTGCTTCTCCAAGTAATGTTGGCTTTCAGAAATCCAGTCCATCTAATTAAGCGTGTTGCACCTTTATGGTATACATTGAGTTAACCTGATAGTGTGTGAATTCTGCCTCTTGAAGGAATTATGTTATAGTTTCGTCCCGTTCAAGTTCTCATGCTAAAGAACCCTTACAAACAACCGATCATCTGCCCCTCACTCTTACAGTAGTTGAGCTCGTCACGACGTTTTTACAGTTAATGAGGCGGGGGCACGCCCTGCATTCTTCTATCATGACTTAATCTATCACAGGGCAATTTACTGATGAACACCATCAGCTGGCCGAAGAGTGTTTCTGTGTAGTTCCCGCCATTTGAGCCCTTTCCTGTCTCTGAGATTCGTAACTAAATCGGTGGTTGACTTTTTCAGAGTTACCGACTCACTCCCTGTGGAGAAGGGCCAAGTCGTTAGTCGAAGACACAGACAGTCTGTGACAGCGGTTTGTATAACGGAGGATGATACAAGGGGATTTTCAGCCTCCAAGGATGGCATGATAGTGCACTGGGATATTGAGAAAGGACAGAGTGAAAAATATGAATGGCCTACCGTTGAGCCCTCGACTTCTGGTAGTGGTGGTGGAAAATCCTCGACATTGAAGAAGGGTGGAAGCAAGCATATTCTAGCTCTGGCAGTTAGTTCCGATGGTAGATATTTAGCAGCAGGAGGTTTGGGCCGAATTATCCAACTGTGGGATACGAGAACGAGGAAACACATAGTGGTAATAGTCTAAACCATTTATGCTGCGTCATATTCTTCCAGAGGCATCGATCTTTCTGGTCCTGTGCACTCAACAGAATTGTTGTTTTCGTTTGCAACCTCATTGCATGTGTCCTTACTGTTTCTGTACCTCTTGAAATTGGTCACACTTCACTTCACTTCATTGTGTCGAAATCTTCCACTTTCTGTTTCTTGCGTACCGCGGACTTTTTACCTTTTGAACTCCAACTACTATCACATGAAGCTCTTAAGCTTCGATTTAGTTATCTGCACGATTGCAAGTGACGCTGCACCTCATTATTTGACCGAAGGCCAACTGAATGCAGACATTCCCTGGCCATAAAGGCGCAATTTCTAGTCTGGCCTTCAGACAAGGGACTCAGCAGCTAATGTCAGGCTCGTACGATCGATCGATCAAGCTGTGGAGCGTGGACGATAGATCGTACATAGATACTCTGTACGGCCATCAGAGTGAAGTCCTTTCAATCGATTGCTTGCGTCAAGAACGTGTCCTTTCTGCGGGTCGGGATCGCACTCTCAGATTATGGAAGGTGAGCAGCTTTTGGCCCTTGTTGAACGTTCTTCATTTCTTGTAAATGTTCTTCATCTTGTTGGCAATATTTTCATGATCGAGTGGAGTTAGTATGGAGCTCTTGGATCGTCGACCTCTAACTCAACTCGTGTCGACAATGTGCCCAGGTCCCAGAAGAAACTCAGCTCGTATTCAGAGGCCATGCTGCATCAATAGAATGCTGCTGTTTTATATCAAACTCAGAGTTTTTTTCAGGATCCGATGATGGTAGTGTGGCACTGTGGAACACCATAAAAAAGAAGCCCGTTTTTGTTGCGAAGAACGCTCATGGATCTTTAGCAGGGGAGGCGAATCCGGAAGGATCATCGGAGTCGGAAGATGAGCCAACCTCGAACGGCCATGTTAATGGTAAGTGTTCATAGTTTCATGCTTATAGCTTTTATCTGCGGTTCAGTTCAGTTTCATTTTTTTGAGTGTTCGTTTGATCTCAAAGTACAGAAGGATTCCGATGAAACTGATTTCATGGGGGCGAATAAACAGGAGTAGCAGAGAAGATTACGGAGAATGGCACAGAATCTACTGTTGTGGGAGGATCGGCTACAGCGTGGGTCGGAGCGGTGGCATCGTGTAGAGGAAGCGATCTAGTCGCAAGTGGTGCTGGCGATGGTTTTGTCAGACTTTGGGCGCTAGAGGAAGCTAACAGGTCTTTGAAACCTGTCCACAGCATTCCAGTGGTGAGTACCGAGTGGCTAGGAAATGAGCTATCTTTCAAAGTTTCCACAATGTGCCACTTCGTTCACGATCGGCTGAAATCATCTGCTTCACACTCGAATCCTTTCAGAATCTGAAATTCCCCCTCGTTTTTGTGTGTCACAGAAAGGCTTCGTCAACGCTCTTGCATTTGCTCACAGTGGCCGTTTCTTACTCGCCGGAGTTGGGCAGGTACTGTTCGAATTTGCAAGTGAATTTTATCTGATAAGCTGTGTCTCCTACTTCATGACTTCGGAACGATTTTTTGTACTCGTCTCTGAAGCGTGGCCTGGTCCACCTGGTGCAGGAGCCTCGGTTGGGAAGGTGGGGGCGGATTCCCGGCGTTCGTAATGGGATAGTGCAGCACAACCTTTATTCAGCTTAGTAGATTTCCCTAACGTCCAGTTTCTACTGGACGGTCCAATTTTGCATGTAGGTCAAGGAGAAGCCATGAGGTGGCCTCGAGTATGAGCTATTCATTCTTTACCATTCATCAGGTTTTATTCTGAGTTGTAACACTTTTACCGTCCTCATAGCGCATTTCTATGGTGTAAAGCGTGGCTCGTGGGGTGCGTTTGTGCCTGTTAGAATCTAGGTTTGACGTCTTCCAGTTATGATTGAGGAATTGAAGTCAGGTACATCAACACGTACTGTACTATCCTCGATAAACAACTAGAATCTTTGTCAAATCTTCCGAGTCATAATTGTAAAGCACGTACAGATTCGAGCAATTGTAAACCAGGCAAAAGATGTGTCTGGTGGCCTGTCTGCTAACCAGGATAGTAGATACAGGAATTTGAAGTGTCGAGGGACGCCAAGGCCATACATCTAGAAACGTTGCAGTCTAATTTTTTTTCACATGAGTGCTTTTTTGCTTGTACTTGATCGTCATATCCAAATCACGTCACCACGGTAATGTGAACGAGAATTTTGTTGAAACTGTGTATACAAAATTCACGACGCAGTATAGATCATACTGTGCAAATGCATACCAAATGCATTTAATTTGTATTATCGCAATTGGAATTGTGAAAAATATGCGGCATTATACTTAGTATGTGTTAAGTATGCCGTATTGCAAATTTCTTCCGTTCTGATAGTCCCGTTTTGAAAAAAAAAAAGTAAAATTTAGTATGTTTATTTAGATAGCAACATCTCCATTACATATCCACATCCTTACCTTAACTTACACAATTTTTCGACACAGTATGATCTATACTGCGTCGTGAATTGCACCTTCGGTAATATTCGGAACGTTCCATTCCGATTGCGAGAATATTCTCGCAATCGCAAAGAGATGGAAGAGACTATATGAGAACGATGTACTTGTGACCATAATCAAACAATAAACCTCAGGGAAATAAACTTCGAAACTAATTTTACCCTCCGCAGAAGAAGAAAAACAAAATCAACATCGATGGTTGCATACGCTACATTCATATCATACACATTATACATCGGAACCCTGCAATATTTTCAAAGTAGACACCGATGAATTGATATCCGACTGAAGATAACTGCATATACAGTGGTAAGATGAACCAAATGCTGTATTCATCAAAATAGAATGTGACCACATCAAAATCGGTCACGACAAGTTCACAGTTCACAATTATCATTACAACATGATAACTATTTGTGAACAAACTTTGATTTGGTATAATAAATAAGGGCTAAATAGATTTTGCGGGAAAACTAGTTCGTTGGAGCGATTAGGGCCAAGACCAGACACTGTCCGGCGTCCATGTGCTTTACCATGTAAATACCGGACTCTGTAGCAACCTTTGTCGGTTTCAACTTTAGATGATACAACTTCTCCTGAAAAGGCCAAAGGTATTGGCAGAAGGCCATGTCCAACCTAAATTGAGTGACGCTCTGGCAATCAGCAGATCATTTACAGCAATTTACAAAGATTGCAATATGTACAGGAGAAGCCTGTATGCTTTCAATCCTCGAGGTCCATGCCTTCGATGAACTCGTATTCCTCTTCACTCACATCCTCATCAGAACCCTGATCTAGTGACATCTTGCTGTGGGCACCAAACAAATCAATAAGAGAATCAGCATCACATTGCGAGCACGCCTTATTTCAAACTTTTGATAAAAGTCTAAGACGTCCTAGTGAGAAGTTTGGAGGCAAAACGTTTACTGGAAAGGAAAAAAAAAAGGACAAAATGTTTCGACAAAATATTGGAAATGTTGGAATAATAATACCTGAGACATCGGCAGCTGAAGCACAAAATTCGTTTCAATTTCTTGTTGTAGAAAAAATAGTTGAATGACCATCTGTTATCATCACAGGAAGTCAAGCGTTTCCCATATAGACTGAAGGTAAGCAGGAAGGAAAACTATCAATGACCACTTTCAATAAAAGCTCCAGTCCAATGTCTCAAAGGAATTAAAACATAAAATTGCGACTCACATGCATCCTCGATCGGCGAAAGGATCTCCCTCAAAGTCAGGTACGCAGGTATATACATCACAGTCGGCGAGATCCATTACCTGCAACCAACAATCCTCAATATTCAAACCTTCGATCATAGACGAAGAGACGGGAAAGGAAGTCCAAGAACTCGGGGATGAGACCAGTGATAAGGTATCCGTACCTCACCAACAGCGGACCATAGACAATCCATGAGAGAAGTCTCCTCTCCAACTTCCGTGGCCCAAACCTGTGGCTCACACAATGGATTATATAGAAGTGCCTAATTACCCTCTGTGATCTGACCAACTGTCCGCACTGGAAGTTTCATATAACCACTCCAAAACGCGAAAGAAGACATCTTGTCCTGCTAATCCTACATTTCGGCTACTCTGACAAGTGGAGCCGCCATTATGGCCCAAACTTGTTTTCACGGAGAGAAGCTACTGAAGAAACGTATACTGAAATCACTAAATTCAAATACAGTGGACAGTTTCATAAATAGCAGCAGTACATACTAAAATAAACAAGATCATCCACATTAATATGACACAAGAAGTGTCCGTGGATCAAGGGCACAAATTCAACCAAAATAATTCACTTGAGAAGCTATACTACCTTGGAAGCTTCAAGCAAGAAATGCTCGATCTTCTGTTTTGGGGCACTGAGTCCATGCTCTTTAGAGAAGTGATGGGCGCGCAACATACTGTTTCCGAAACCAAAAGCAAAAGCATATCAGCAGGCGAGAGAGTCAGAACAACACAGCTGTTAACGCATAAGAGCATCACCTACCCATGACCAATCCCGCTTCAATTTTAACTGTCGTTAACCACCGGAGGACTACACCATAAATGCGATTGACAATAAATAGAGCTGCAAGTCATGCCCGGGTGCGGTGAAAATTCAATCAGCAATAGATCGTAGCTACGTTACTTATCAGAAACAAGTTGTTCAATAGCATCTACACAATACCGGACGCGCCTACAAGTCTTACCAAATGCATCTCCCATGAAGCATCTGATATCATTTAGCTAATTTGCACTTGAGAAACAAACTTAGGGACTTCAAAGAAATCCAAAAGTACTTTGTAGCTACTCTGGGAGGCACGGGGGAAAAGAAAACGGGAACTGCGATTGGAAATCAGACACCAAAAACCGCATCTTGACATGACTTCTCAAGTCAAGCTGCCGATGAGGACGAAATCCCTGCTAAACGGCAAGCGGCAATCGTTCAGACAGCTTGCTTCAATTACACTTCCAACCGTGACCACACGAAAGTTTCTGAGTCTCAAGGATCGCTAAATCCTTCAGATCGAGGCATCGGCTGCAATTCTGCAAAAATCTGCAAACGTTCCTAACGACGATAATTTCTTTCACAACTACCATCTGTAAACAGAACATTACACAACTACCGGACCCTCTTCAAACAGATCCTTACAATGCAACGGAATATGTGCGCGGCTTCCACTAGCTAAATCGAAGTAGCGAAAAACGTACATCTCTATGAAACCACTCATTCAACTTACGAACCTGATGACCTACAAAATGAACAACATCGAATGTTTCTCTTCTTCATTCTATCCCTTCAGAACTCACTAGGAAAAGGAAATGGAGAGATTTGAACTCTCAACTCCGAAAGGAGCAACGGCTTTCGACCGCCTGTCAACCCTTGACACCACTTCCTACTTCCATCACTCAAATGAAAAAGAAAAAAATTAGCGGGTTGCCAAGCTGCTTTCCAGCTTGCAGAGCATTACCCGCTTAGTAATTAGAACCTCACTAGGAAAAGGAAATGGAGAGATTTGAACTCTCAACTCCGAAAGGAGCAACGGCTTTCGACCGCCTGTCAACCCTTGACACCACTTCCTACTTCCATCACTCGAATGAAAAAAGTAAAAATTAACGGGTTGCCAAGCTGCTTGCCAGCTTGCAGAGCATTACCCGTTTTGTGATTGACCCACTGTCTCTGAAGAATCTATGAAAGAGGACAATAGCAAGTACTTCCAGAAACGTAAAGCCTCGCGATATTGACTAGAAAATACAATGGAAGCCGAATTTTAAGCCCGTTGAGTATTAATACTAGAGTAGATAACTGAAACAACATGCGGTCTAGAGCTCACCTAAAGTTGTAGTCCGGAAACATATGGTTCAAGGTGAGGATGAGATAGATCAAAGTCCTTCGACTGCAAAACACAACAGAAGCTTAATGCGGCCATAGACACCTCATACTTGATGCTTACAGTGTGAAAACATGAGCGCTCTGACATTTCATTTGCTTCATGCGTACTCGCCCGTCCCATCACTTCTTCCCAGAAAAGCGCACCTGGCAGTGCTTGAGAGTGGTCCGACGGGTGAAGTCGAAAGACTCGACGAAAAGTGTAGCGAATCCAAAACCTGTGCCAGAAGGTTCGTGATGAGGAACTTACGAAGTCAACCGCACATATACAACAGGACCAGGAAACTCCGAATTCCACGGCCTGTAAAATACAAACACAGGAACGCAAATTTCTACCCTTGCTTGCCCCAGAATTACTGCAACACATCTCACTTTGATACGAATGACCCAATCCTAGGGTTGATGAGAGGCAATATACTTCACCTCTTGCTCTAAGCTACGGGAGAGTTTTTTGTCCATCCCAGCAAGCTTGCCTGATGATTTGGCACACAGAACAGGCATGTTACGAAGTAATGAGTATCACTCATTTGGACAACAGAAATATACCTCTGTGATGGAATGAATTACAATGTTTGAACCCATTCCAGAATTGGGAACATAAAAAAAAAACCTGGCTGTGTTTCTCTTCAAAATTTACATCACAATTCGTCCAACCGAAATCTGTCAAATACCCTAAACAACTCTCACAGACTGTTAGAATAGACAGTTTCTAACTTACACGAGTACGCTTCCAAAGCTCCTTGTATGTGACAGTCTCCAAGGTTGACATTGGAAAGAAATGCGTTTACGCTGCAAAGAGGCGGTACCCACGACGGCAATTCAACAGTGAGAAATATTTAGACCCAATAATACAGTGGCTCGCGCGCTCGCACATGCTTCCCCTTCTCATACACGAACGAACTGGCATCCCTAAAAGTAGTCCTCCACCCACATCATCAGTCCACAAATGCATCAATCGGAGGAATCAGGCACCTCAAGTCCCGAACACTTGCCAGGCGCAGGACGGCGCTCGGGACAACAACAACACACGAGTCCGAGGTTTCCAGAGCCAGACGATACGTACCGGGCAAGAGGGGTGTATTCGAGGAACTTCATGAATCCAGCTTATCATATATCCTTCGTGATCCGTTGTGACGACGCGAGGAGGCAGGCAAACTCGAAAGCCCGCCCAACTGCGAACAGCACGAAGAGAGGGCACCAGCGAGCCAAAGCTCTCGTCGCGCTCTCCGATGCGTAATGCGCAATTCGAGATCCGAGCTTCGAATCCACTCACGGCAAATCCAATCGACCTCGATCACAGCAACAACAACTACAGCAGCAGCAGCGATCACTTACTCGCTCTCTCTCAGAGCCTCGACGCCACAGCCAGACAGCTTCCGTGTCGAGCACAGAGGACCACCCGATGTCGATGTCGATGTCGCGGGGCTGCGTGCTTGGAATACGACGGCCCTGGCCACCGGTCAGCTCCTTCGGGCGCTTGCTTCGTCCGTGGACCACCTCTCGACTGCCGTCACCGATCGTCCTTTTTGCAGGACGCCGTGACTGACTGGCCTCGACGGGTCTCGGACCGCCGGACCGCTCCTTGAGACCGTGGCAGTCCTTTCTTCGTCGTGTCTTGCCGGCAGTACAGTACGGTCTTCGTTTCTGCCGTATACGGTGGTCTCGAGGTTTACGGCCTCGGATTTGATCAATTAAAATTTAATCCTCCGGACGCGGATATCAAGGCTTGCCACGAAAATGGTAAACAAATGTATATGGCTCCTCCAAGAAAAGAGGAGTGATGATGAATCCCTTATTGGTTACGACTTCAGAAGCTTCGTGATATTTATCGTTTTGTTATGTGGAAACATTACTATATATAAATTTGAGTGGATTGATTGGTGGGAAAAAGAAAAGGAAGCTCCTGTATATATGTACACTGCATGCTGAGATGTCTCTCATATTATATGGGTATTAAAAATGTTTCGGTTACATTGTGACATGCATTGAATACTATTTCATGAACAATGTATTGAACTCTGATGTTTAGATGACTATTTAATTGAATCCCCTGAAGAAAAGTACCACTTTTTAGAACTGGAAAAATTTTATTGCTTTTAAGACATTGATTCACTGATGATCTCAACGTACGAATACCGAGAGTGATTCAAGTGCATTGATTCATTACACAATACATTCTAAGTTCGGACTCAGACTTCCAATATTCCTGTGTTGTTTGGCTCTCATATGGGGTTTCAGTTTAGTAAGGTAATAATATTTATTATTATTATAGTAAGGTAATAAATTTTGGTGGAACATACAGAGATCATGCGTGGTTTTCAGTCTATAGTTTACTCACTGGTAAGGGTAGAGTGGGTGGTATGGCAACATGTTGATATTTTGCCATTTTACTCATTTGCTCACCAGAGACCAAAGGAGTTTTATGGTTGTCTTTTATGACCAATGTCGCAGCTTTTCGACGCCAATCCAAGTTCCGGACAATGGACGCAAAATAACTCAACACCCTATCAAGGTATACTATACCATATTCCTACGGATATGGTCATCCTTGTTTTGTACCTGAAAGCGTCTACCCTCACAAGTATCTTCTACCTATTGTCAGTCAAAAGACCTTCCAGAAATTATTGATCAGTGCAACAATCCACAAGTTGAGCGTGAGTGAATGAATATTAATATTTTTTTTACCTATATTTTTATATATAAAACCAGAAAAAATTTTATTGACTATAAAAACATGCACGAATTCTTTTAAACCATCACATGTTAAGAATGTGGTGGTTATGCTCAACTTGCGAAAAAATAATTACAATAAAAAATAAAAATGTAATTTTATTGAGAAACTGTCTAATGTAGTCATTTTTTTTCCTCTCATTGAAAAATGCTCCATGTATTTGCCAGCACCACACATATACAAATGTATCGAGAAACGGAAAATCTGACGACATGAATTTGGGAGTGGACGTATATGCAACTCTATAGAATGACGTGCTCTTAGTAAAGATAAACCACACAAAAATCTTCGAAAAATAACAGTAATAACGAAACAAAACTAGTGGACTGGAAGAACAGGAAAAGGCCATCACATTACAGACCATCAGCTCTGATTTTCTCCTTTTCTCCATATGTGTCGTGCTGGCAAATATATGGAGTTTTTTTAATAAGAAAAGGAGGAAACATGACTTGTATATTAGACAGTTACCCAGTAAAACTACATTTTTTTATTTGGAGACAGTAGCCGTCGAGTCGTTGACAATCCACCGAAGGATCTCGGCTCGATGCTGGTACACTACGGTCGGCCGTACATGCCTATGCGCCGCTCGGGTTCCGCCAGTCTCCCGCAGTGGACCTCCGGATTCGAAAAGCAGGCATGGAATAGAATGAAATCAAGAACATAATAATCATCGGCAGCGGATAACGCGGCATCTTTTCAGCATCTTGCGGACCAACCATTATAAATAGAAACATCGTTGTAAAGGTGCGAATTATATTCCACATTGTGAAAGCACGATTCGAGCTGCTAGCACATCTTATGCTTCGAAGATCCGAAATATACTGTTAGATGATGAAGTGTTGACTAAATTTTACCGACACTTGTCCATAGATTTCTCACCGGCTACTTAGAATTTTGCCATCCAGATCCTGTTCCACATATTCACCCGCCTTACAAATCAGACTTCAAAGCATGAAGGCTTTGCGAAGATTTAGATGTACAGTATATATATTGTTCGCTCTTGGATGGTGAGAAAAGACAATTTTCCATGCATGAAATAAATTTGAGCATGGCAAAGAGCATCATATGGGTAACAGAGCCCATCAGAAAGAACAGTGGGACCCGGCCAAAAGCACATGGATAAAAAAAGGTATCAATTTGGTGATGAAGTTCTCCCTCTCCTGCGTGAAGTGAAAATTGGAGTCGCAAGCAAACATAGAACCTGGTATAATTTTGTGTGGTCGAAATATTGGTCATTTCCATATCAGGAGGAAGAGTCTATATTCAACATAAATTCGTACATTCCTGATACTCTATGAAGTTCGTACGTAAACCCATCAATACATCACAAGTCTCTTTAGCAATTAGCGAAAGAGAAGAAGTGACATGCAATAACAAATACTTAAGTGGTGGTCTAGTGATTTGGCAAAAACGACGGAAAAGATTCATTGATTGTATCATTAATCAACATTCAAAATATTAAAAATGATATCATGGATTTCAAAATGTACATCAAATTATGAAAATAATCGCTGAATTCAAACTATATCACATTGAATAAACATATAGACAGATGATTAGAGTCAAAAAGTAACATAAGTTGATGTGAAATAATATATGAATGCAAACTACACAAACTGATCATACACTTGTCCTAATATAAAGTCATGCAGATTTGAATCGATTTGTTTAAAAAAAATGTTTCACAATCCAATGAAATTGCACAATAATGCACTATTTACCCAATTAAAATATTTTAAATGCTTCATACATCTATGATTGTAATATCCATTCCCTAACTTTCAATGTATTTTCTTTGAAATAATACATGGCAGTTTGAAGAGAAAATTGCTTGATGTGGAAATTCCAAATTTTTTTTATTTTTTATTTTTTATTTAATTTCTACATATGATGTAAAGTGTTGGAATATTTTCAAATATTAACATAAAATATAAGTTTAAACATTTTTTTGAAATTCATTTGATCGATGATTTACACTATAATCTGTTGCAAAAGTAAAGAATTTTTAATCAATGAATAAATTGAACAAGCAAATGATAAACTTGGAACTTCAATTTTACAACGTTTTGGCTAGATGTTGCAAAAAATGAATCAATTTCTTGCAACATGAAAAAAATTGATGATATTAAAAGTTTTTAATTATCCAATTTATTTCAACTTTAGTTATAATTTGATATGATCAATACATTTGTTACATTTGTTGACATTTGATTTGACTTTTGCCAAAAGTAACATGTCATTTACATAAAACATGAGATTATTTGGACTCAAAATATAATATTTTGGTCGTTTTATGTATAAACATAAGTTAAATGCACAATGAACATATTTTTATTAACTCATAAATTCTTGTATTATATACGAGATGAGCTTCTTAAAATTTAAAAAATAATAACTTCACAAAGAAAATTGATTTTCTCACATCAATCTGTGAAAAAATCTATAGAATATTGATGTTGATACTTAGATTTGATTAATGATGGGAACAAAATTTTAATAAATATATAATATATATATAATATTTACATATAAAGAAAATGATCTGAAGCATAATTTGTTATTGATAGATTATAATATTTTATCCAAAATATTAAAACTACCACACAAATTGTAGAAATGTCCGCACTGATTTGGTTAATGTGGATGCTAAGGAAACAACCGGATGCAAGGAAGACTAGGTCTTTTGACAAGCCCTCAAAAAAGTAGTAAGGTTGTTTTAGTAGTCTTTGAAAAAAGGTGGGAATAGATTCTAGAATGAGCTAGCAAGAGAACTATTTAATTTCGGATTACAGATCAATAGATGGATCCATGGAAGTATCACCTCTTACGCTCTTATTTGCACAAGAAGGAAGTGGAAACCAAAAACACACTCGCAGTTCATACTTAGACTTGTGTGCAACAAAATTTTCATGTGCATAATTTTATGCACATTTTAAGAATATGAAATAAATGGTTGGAAACATGAGGTTCGAGATAAAATTTTTGAATATAACATTTTTTTAGACGTTTGTTCATAACAAAATTCTTTTAACATTTAAAGCCAATTTAATAAATTTAAAGTTCTAATTGATATTAATAATGTAATTCTTAGGAATATAAATATATATATTACTCAAGTATTTCAATTCAAATTGCATCATATTCAGATTTTTTATATTATATTTAAAAAGTTGGCTTATTTATATATAATATTGATATATAATATGCATAAATTATTTGTTTTTTTCATCTTTAATTGTGCATTTTGTTTAAATATATAAATTTAAAATTTGAAGACATAAATTTCTTTTCAAAAAAAACTTGTCTCATGTTATGTAATGAGCTAATATAAGTTAATTTATAAATAAATTGATATAATTAGATATTTTTAAAAGTTACATATATGTTTTATTAATAAGTTTGATTTATTTTGATAACAAATTAACCATTTTATATTAAAAATGTATTAATAGAGTTACATATATAAAAAATTATTAAAATTCCATTTCAAATATCTTTATTAAGAAATGCATAACTTGCTCATTCGAATATAAAAAATCATATTTCCAAGCATCAACAATTTATACAATGTAATTATTAGCTTCGATTTGGTGAGCGGTTAGTTATCACTCACTTAAGGTTAATGAAATCTTACCCTACTATACTATGCAAAGTAGCTATTTGAAATTGGTAAGAATTAGTGAATGGAATATCGCGACATTTTTACATCCTATAAGCTACTTTGATTTCACTCACTTCTGCACTTTCACCTA